GGAGAAATCAAAGATTAATGTCGTACATTACGTGTCCCTGTAATCATATTGGAAATAGAAGCTTTATGAGAAGCTGCCAGAAGGCATAACTGGTTAATGGACAAAGTCTTACAAAGCAGATTTCGGTAGGTTTTTATAAATTTATGTACTTGCATTATACATTTCAGAAGTGGCATGGCCAGTAATGTATAATGCTGAAGTGGATCTAGTATGTTTAGACCTCAGACCTAAGACAGTGCCTTAAAAAGATGTTTATGTTAACATTAGAGTCAAGGGTTATTTAAGCGATAGACCAACACAAAGTAGCACCTATTGTGTCTAGAAAGGAAATTTGACTGTTTGATTGATTCCTGCCTGAGAAAATGCTGTGTGTAGTCCTATGGCATCACTCCCTGCTCCCTCTGCTGCATTGGTAATCAGGTCTAAGTGGTTAAACATGTGGCAGCTCCAGTTACCAGGAGTTGTTTCACATTGGAGAAGTACCATATACTCTTGACACACGCAATAAGTTACAGCCAGATCCGTTTTTTCTCCTGTCTGCCTTGCCCTTGTGGGGTACTTCAGTTGTCTCCTGATCTCTAGACATCATTAGCCTTCCTTGCCTTTTGACCAAGTCTGTTTGCCTCTGCCCATGTCTGGAATGATCTGTGAAATCACATTGACCCAAACTTGGACTTCAAATTTTTCTCTCCTGGAACCTTTGCCAAATTAGTTAGTTCGTTAGTTTCACATATGAAACAAAGACAGGAAGACCAACCTACATACCACATAAGTTGGGTATAAGTTTGATCAGTTATACATAGATGTTTCTCCTCAGCCCTTTTTCCTACTCGAGGCTTGGGTTCTGTCAGACATGGGCATTGTGGAGTCAACAAGTCATCTCAATGTCATGTATTGGTTCTACCCAGCCACTGAAGCAGGTTAGTCCAATCTTCACCGTGAATTAACCTGTGCAGATTGGACTCACCTGGTTAATTGGCTGGGTAGATTAAATACATGACATGGAGATGACTTGTTGACTCCACATTGCCCATGTCTGGGTTCTGTTCTACAGTTCCATTATAGAGATATAAAATCAAACGTGCTTTTATGATTTATTTTTTCTTCCTTCTTGGTTGATGTTATTTATTGAACTTTCTAATACGTAGTCAGGGTCAGCATCAGGGCATAGAATATACACAAACTGCCCTAAAGCCAGACAAATTTACTACAACTTTTCCACACATGGGAATGCCATCTCTCAATCAGGCTCCCCTGTGTCCATGTCTGGGATTGTGTATGGCAGGCCGGGTTGTCCTGTGTGTCCCTTTTGGTGGTTTTCAATTCAGGAGGCATTTGAAAAAGTTGTCTGAGCCACCAAGACTGCCAGAAAACATCCAGAGCTCTGAGGTGCTTGAGCTGTATCTTGTCCACCCCCAAAGCCTTGCTACCGTGGAGTTTTTTTGCCCCCCTAATTGATAATGAATCTGGCCCCTAGCACCCTGTCTATTTTTCCACCATTAAAGGCAAATCAGCCTGATTAAGGAGATCCTTAAATTATTCCTTCCAATAATAATGTCAAATGATGTCCTCATTCTTGGTCAGACACCAGTTTTTACCTCTGCAACTACCGCAGCAGCAGGCTTGGCCTCACGATACCTGCTTACTGCCTCCAGACTTGATGGGACTTCTTCTTCAGCTTGAGAGCCTCCCTTACTGTGGCTGTTCACAGACTTCAGGAATTGCCGCCATGACACGCCACAGCTATGGGTGGCCGTTTCAGCCATAGAGGCAGAGAACATGGCCCAATAAGACTCAATGTCTTCAGCTTCCCCCGCAATCTGGAAGAAGCTTTCCCAGAGGTGGGAGTTCAACCCATCTCTGACCTAGGGCTCCACCAGTCATTCCCATCAGACCCTCATAACTCACTTGGGTTTGCCAAGTCTGTCTGGCTTCCTCTTCTTCCAGTGCATCCAGATCCCCACCAGGGTTTTGTAGATGGACCAGGTCTATGGTTGAACGTCAGAAGATATGTCTGTAAAGTCTATCATCAACCTCCAGCCTAGGTCATTTCCTGGTGCCAGGTGTCCTAATTGACATCATTATGCCTGAACATGGTGTTCATTATGGACAATCTGTGACTTGCACAGAAGTCCAAAAATGAAATACCACTCTGGTTCAGAGCTGGGGGCCCATTCCAGGGGATGTTAAGAAGGCTTGGTACTGTATTCCGTACTGCCGCCCGACCCATAGGCCAAAACCACAGTCAGAGATCTCCAACTCACCCGAAGGCAAAGACCTCTTGTCCACCAGGGTAAACTCCAACACAAAATGGCTGATATTGGGGAGACGAGCAGTCTCACCCGTGCTTTCCATCTCCCCCCGTGGGCCACTCCACAGCAGAAGAGAGTTCAGCTCCTCTCAAGGATCTGGGTTCAAGAATCCAGGCTATGCGTGGAGGAGAGCCCAACTATTTCTGTCTGATATGGCTCCTTCCTCCCTCAGTGAGGTGACATTCCATCTCCCTAGAGCCAGTCAAAGCCCCTGTGGATTGGGTTGTTGAGTTCTCCGTCACTGACTGCCGCCCAATCCTCTTTGCACCGGTCCTTCGTTGTTCCCCTTGCAGATGGTAAGCCAACTGGCGGATGGCCACTGATCTATAAAGTCCCCTGTTTGATGGGTCATAAACAAAAGTTACAAAGCAGTTACCATATCCTGATGGTTCCGGTAAGCCTTTCACTTAAGCCTGAACAAAGTATTTACTTAGCAAGCTCCTAGGTCTCATGTTCAGTGCATCACTGCAAAAACTGAGACATAAAATGTTTGAAATAATTGTATTGTCTCTTTATTTGAGCAAGCAAGAAGGAAAATTTGCTCATGGAATAGAATGAAATTCCCATTATTAAGAAAAACAAAAACAACAATCCTATTAACTTATTTCGAGTGCATAATATTTTACTATCTTACTTAAGGAAGCAAATACTCATTCCATTGGCAGATCATTTTTCAAATGATACACATTTTTTAAAAAGAGAATCTTACTTATTTTCATATCAGTTTTTTTCAGTGTTACTATCAGTTTCTGTCTGTCTTGCTAACTGCTGAGCAGCACAAAATTGTGACAAATTTTATGCAGAATGTTAGTCAAAGTCACATCTAATTTGCATTGGTTGTCGGAACTGGAGTCGCATTCCAAAAGATCAAATTCAGAACCACTTATGAATGGCACATAAATGTGACCTGGAAAATTCAGATAGGGGCCAAATCTTAGCATCCACACTTGTTTTATACACCCTGAACTGATCACCTGAACCCCCCCAAAAATCTGATTTGTGCCACATTTGCCCTGCAGTATGAACAGGGCATAATTCTAATATGCCACATCTCCTGTCAGCACTCAGCTCTGTTGATATTTGTTAAATTTTGGAGCTGGAAAAAAACAACAAAAAAACATTTGTGTGAGGTTATCTTCCCTGTAAACTGTTTTTTTTGTTTTTTTTTTTTTAACAGCATTAAATCTGACCTAGTTGCTTCCCCATAGTTTCAGATCAATGCTAATTTCAGCTTCTGTTTCATGATTATCTGTCTTCTTGCAACATGTAATTCATTTTTTCCACAATCAATCTTTCTCACAATTATAAATGCATACAATTTTATCTTTGAGGCTTCAATGGAAGTTTTGATGTAAACAGTGATGTATTTTTCAGGATGGCATACCATCCTGAGTTTTTTTTTTTTAGTTTTATATAGCAAACTTGCATGTCTGTTGAATGGGGAAGGTTGCCTCTTTGATGTGCATACTACAAGCATATTGAAAAGAAAATTATAGCAGTCGACCATGGGTTGATGATGGAGCTGAGGTTTTCATCCCATTCAAAACTTATGACTTGGTGAGAGAAAGTCTGGGCTACATTTGAACATCTGGATAAAAAAAAAAACCTCATTACTCATTAAATATGTACTGCATTATTCCATACTAAAGTTCTGTTTGACATGTGTAAATGATTCATTGTCGTTACAAAACATAAAGAATTAAATTTTTAAGATTGCTTTGATTTCTTGGCATTAGTTGAAAGGGAAATTCTGAGGAAAAATCAACCCTGAAATAAGTTACTCTACAGTGATTACCCTCACAGAGCACCATTCAAGTATAAACTGGAGTGGTGTAATCAGAAACATACTGTAGCTTATCTTTTGCTAAGAGCTATCTGAATCATCCGATTGGCTAGCTTTGTCTCTTGATTGCGTGTGGAGATTTACAGCATGTCAGTGCTGACAGCTGGAAAAGTCCCATTAAACTGGTGACCACATTCCTTAGGTCTATCATGAAAGATGACCCGATGCCCCTGAGCATGCAAAAACACCACACACCTTAAGTCACACACACAGATGCAGAGAACAACAAAGGCTTGTAAAACATGACAGATTTATCCCCCCCCACACACCCTTTCACTTTTGGTAGCTCTTTGCGCTGTGAGGCACTTTCTTATATGAGCATATAAATGTTGAAACATGATATTGGGAATAAATGTTGACTTTGGTTGCACTTCTAGATTGTATTAGCTGCTCTGCCTACTTGATGCAGGTTTTTTTTTGTTTTTGTTTTTTTTGTTTTTTTTTTTAAGCCACAGGGATTGATTTAATACACTGATTTTGCTTGAATGAAGTTTCTTGTGCAAAATTGAAAGCCAGCAAAAAAAGAGCAGCCTAGGGTTCTAAAATCTGGGTTTCTTGCTCAGACACGTTAGTTATTCATTCATATGAGTTTTTGATTTCATTTTTCCAATTTCTTTTTTTTTTTGCAAATATATTTAAACTTTGCCCTTTAATTTTGAATCAATGCTTTTCAACAACATTAGACACTAATGTAGGGTCATATTTTATCTTTAATTGCAGCTAATTTCCTGCTGGATGTTTTTCTCCAAGCGTTATCTGTCATTTGAGCTCTCTTGGATCCAGCAGGTTGCTGCAGCTTTACTCCCACCCCTTTTATCCCAAACTTTTCTCTTCAGTGAAACTGATTCATTCACTTTAACACACCTATCCTCTGTCTCTCAGATACAGACAGATCTACTTCTTTGCTCTCTTTCACTTGATAATCTGCAGCTTGACTTGGATAGTTTTTATGTTGTTTTTCTTTTGACTCTTGAAAGATTGAACTCAAAGGATAATGTCTTCATTGGTAAGTTAAAAAAAACTCCAGAGCCTACTCTAGGATTATATTTGAAACACATTTTAGTAATTGCACTTTAATATGACATTTACAGAGTAGTTATGGATTTCAACAGCGTGGATACCCTTAAAGACTGAATCTTTGGATTAAGGCCAGGATTTCTAATTTTCAGATGCTCTGCTGCTCGTTAAATAGAACTCTCTGTCAACGCAGAGTAATTTTCCTTCCTTGTTCCTTGTTGGGTATAAAAATAAAATGATTAATGCAAATGGTCTATATTGTTTTAAGAACACATACAGTAATATTTTGTGCAGAGCCGTTTCTTTGCCTCCGTGTGCATTTGCCTCTAGATGTGCATCTACTCATGCAAATTCAGCAAATGGCCTTATGCAGTCGTGTCAACTCTAGTGTATCATGGATAACAAGAGCACATCAAGTTGTTGGTTAGAGCAATGTCAGAAAAGGAAATTGTCTGTTATGTAAACAGGAGCTATTTCACATTTTTGTGTGGACCTACCAGAGTCCAAATGCAAATGCAATGTGTTATATTGGCAAACATCTGTAACTTGTAAGTCGCATATCAAAGTTTCCTGTATTTGTTAGCTTGAACCAGCTTTAGATCTAGATTTTTTTTTTTTTTACACCAAAGACATCTGCCAATGCAAGCAGTAGCTTTAGAGAGGTGTGTGAGTGTGCATGTTGCGCATGCGTCTCTACTGTCACCAGTTTCCCACCTACGGGGATAATCCATCCTGTGAAGTGGTGAGGTGGAAAATGCCATTATCTAGAAATGGCTGACATGCAGTTAGACTTGGAGGCATATGAAGTGTGCATATGTGTGGGTGTGTGTAAAAAGTTGAGATAGGAAATAAAAGAGGATGGGTGGGAATAAAGGCCAGAGGTGGTAAACCTTATTTTGTAACATTAAATAATCCACCTGGAAAAGTGATGAACTAAAAGCTGCAGACACAACAAATGCACTTCCTGGCAAAGCAGAAAAATCCTTGTGATCCCAGCATGGTAAGAGTGCAGGTTGTAGTCACAGAGGGATCATTGAGGACATGCCTGTGTATTTGACTTAGGATTGTAGAAATTGCAGAGATGTCTTGAGGCATTGTTGGGATGAACAGTGAGGATGTCTGACATCCGTGTTGGTCATAAGTTAGGTATTTGGAGCAACAGAAGGATTCAGGCTTTAAAAAAATGCTACACTGACAGACATTTTGTAGAAAATAGTACTTCCACAATGAATAAATCACCATAAAACATCTTTTTCCAACTTCATTGATTGCCAATTTGTCAAATGAATAAAAAAAAAAAATACTTATTCACTTGAAATAACGTAATAGCAATCTTTGAAGATGAGATGCAAAATATTGTTTGTTCAATGCTCACTGAAAATAATTAAATCAATTTCCAAACAGATGAACGATAATGCCCCTCTCCTAATCTATGGTCAATGTATAGGATTTAAAATGAACATTTTGTTCACTACATATTGAGATTCACCTTTAAATATAGATGTAGCTGCTAAATAGCCTTCAGACTCTCAAGGAAGACTGGAAAAAAACACCAATTAGGTTATTTAAAGAAGGACTACAAGAAGGTGCGGTTTTACTATCCAGGTCTCATTTCTCAGGCCCCTGGCAATGTTTACTACCTTTTTTTTAGCAAGCTTCTCTAACTTTTTCATAAGCATAAGATTAAGGCAAATTGTAATACTTTCTTCCTTGAGTGACACTAGGTACCCAAGTTTGAAGCGTGGTTGCCTCACAAAGGACTCAATAGGTATGACTTTCTAACTCGCTGTTGGAGGATTGTCTAGTTCATGAGGTTTTTTTTTAGATGGGAGTGATGAAGAAGCTTTTAAATGCCAACCTGATATTGAATAACTAAAGCAAGGGCTGTTTGCATTCTCAAGACAATGTACTGTTTGTGCATTTGGATTCTCTAAGGACTTTCCCCTTCTCAATGGTCCTGCTAATTTGCTTAAATACAGAACTTAAAGGCGAAATTGTGGAGTGGATGCTTTGTACTTGGTTATGGCAGATTGAGTGCTCTTCTTCTTAAAGTGGAGATTTCTTTTCCACTGTTGCTACAGTACATGCATGCTCAGTACAGGTATAGGGATTGTTGCAGAGTAAAACTGTCCTTAGATGGAAAACAATCAACCCGTTAGATAAACTGATTGTGAATGCATTATTTGATAACTTTAGTGTGTTTGTGTTTTCCAGTGTTAAGTGCCTTGAGACATGTTGTAAATCGGCAATTGAAATCTTCAAACCAAAGAACAAACATGACTATTATTTGTAGCTGTGTGTAAAGAAACAAGGATATCAGCCAGCACCTACATGTCTGAGCAGATTGCTCTTTTTCATGACAAAAAGATAGAAGTAATCTGGAAAGTAATCTATGTGGACGCTGCTCTTATCTTTTATAGTAAAGGAAGAGCTACACAAAAAACAAATGGATTTAATTTACTGGTATGTTTGTGTTCCAGAGTGATAAATAATGGTATAATGATGTCCAATTTACAAGCGTCTGAAATGGCTTCATCAGTTTGGCGCTTAGATTAGAACCATTTTTACAAAGGGAAGCTCAGAGTTTAGCCCATGCTCCTCTGTGTTATGAAGCAGGATACTTTATAATAGCCTTTATTTGAAGTTTTACCAGAATGTCTCATGAGATGAAGACCCAACATTACTCCGGGATAGTAAAAATCTCTTCCTGGCTGGCAACACCTTGGGATCCTTAAGAATACTTCTGAATGTTCATGTCCTGTTAGCTCTGAGAACCCATCTAGAACAAGCAACAAATGACTGACATCGATTACTAGGTAGAGGAATAAAACATTTAGCACCACTTGAAAGCTGTCTAACACCACCGCTACACTGTGCATTACACATCCTTGAGTCCATTGCAAATTTCCCCAAAAATGATATTCTATTCTACTGTATTCTATTCTATTCTTAATACATTCCTAATTTTTTCAGTGGTTACAGCACATGAACGCACATGGATGCCTCCTATAATCTATAATGGACAGCAGCTATGGGCTGTTTATGGCTAAAGACTATGGTGACTGGGGTTAATTTTGACTATAAATGCTTGTGATTACATTTTATGTTAATATCTTACTTTTTTCTTAAGTATCTTTAAAGTATTAATGCAAGTCTATGAGTCTCATACCCATTTAAAACTCCCCTTAGCATGGACACAGCACAAGGCTGGAAGGCTCTGTCTGCCATTCATCATAACACAGGAGCCTCTCCTCTCTGCAGTACAGTACAAAGGTGATGCATGCAGAGACAGATCTTAGATCTGCACTGGTATGTGAGAGGGAGAGTGAATTTTTTTTGGCTTATGCATTAGAGTTCAAGCCCTGCCAGTTCTCACTTCCTTCTGCAGGAGCCGTAAACTATTCAGCCTGCAGCCCTTCTGGCTTAGTCAGACCAGATGGTCAAATCACATGGAGGAATTTTTCTGGAATTTAAAGTCGTGTTTATCTTATTTTTTATGCCGCAATCATGCAGATTTACAGCCGAAGTGCTCTCATGAGGAAGCTCATGAAGTTGAATTGGCCTGATAGATGGGTTGGGACTCATTCAAACCCAAAAGAACTTTTGAAAACGTTGTCATGTTACTGAGTGAAGCAGCAGAACTCTTTTTGATGTTAGTCATTTGCACATGCTGGTGCTGTTCTCACATGCACGTTTGCAAGATGTGTGGGGATTAGCAATCAGATGTAAGACATAGCAGAGAGCATCATTTCTCTTTATCGGTGTTATTTCTTTTTTTTTCTTTGTTTATTCAGTCGATTTTAACCAACTCTTACTGCCGTATAATGTATTATGTGCTAAAGATTAGATCAGATGCTGACTGCACTTTACATAGTACATGTTTATTATTCAATTGATGAATTAGCAAGACATGTGGGCTAAAATCAATAACTAAATGCAACATTTTGTAATATGTTGGGGCTGGATATTGCTAAAGTCTCAAGCTAATTTTTGTACTGCTTTGCAAAATCATACATTCACTCTATTTTAGCCTAAACCCTGAATTTATAAATGTAGATATACTTTTAAATGTCTCATTATTTAATACCACTGCTCTCTTTGCTCATTGATTGCTGGAAATGTGCACCAGCCCCCAGGAATCAATGTTAGCACAACCAGGATGTTTAATAAATACTTTCCCTTGAGAAAAGACTTCCAGTCTTTGGTTTTTGTAAACTTTTACCCTCTAATGAGATTTTTATAGAGATTTTATTTAGATTAGGATTTTCTTTTAAGAGTTGTAATTTACACTTGATATATCTGTCTAGCCTTCTAATTACAAGTAATATTTATATCAGAAGCAGAGTGTTTTTGTTCTAATTAGCTTTACTGCACTGTAAAAATAAATATAAAAAAGGGGCATATTTGCCTTAAGGTTTTGACCTTTCATAACCTTTTAACAGTCATTTTATACAGCATCCTATTAGGATTCAAGTTAAGCCCTTGACTTAGCAATTCCAAGATCTATTTTGAGGCAGTCAGAGGTTCCCTGGATTGAGCTTTGGATTGTATTATGCTATATAACCCAAGTGCTGCTTAGATTATAGTTATAATTTGGTGGTTGGATATTTTCATTTCCTGTTGTATTGTAAGTGTCATGATGCGTGGTTGGTTTGCTAGCCCAAGGATGCAGAACTCCACAGACACTGAGGCAGGATTAAAGTCCAATAATTATTAGTGGCACACAGGATTCTGCCCTGGAAGGCAGAGAAGACAGAGCACAGGTTAAACTCAGGGACAGATAAAGAAGCTCAAACTCACTGGTTCGCTGGTTCAGACAGACTGGGTTTAACAGGCACAGATAAGCAGATTCAGGCAGGCAAGGCAATGGCATGGAAGAGCATGGCAAGGCTGCACATGGCAGAGCATGGGAGAACATGGCAAGGCTTGGAAACGATCCGGCTAAGAGTGAAGCTATCAAACAGTTTATATGGGGAGAGGTTAATGAGCAGAGCTGATGGGAAACAGCTGTGCGCTGAGAACCAGCTCCCAGGAGAGGATCCATGGCGCCCTCTGGTGGGCAAACCTCTGGATCCCAACAGAAACAGAAGCCCACAGGAAGGGATACAAACAGAAACAGAAGCTACAGAATGGGATCCACACCGCCCTCTGGAGGGCAAACCTTGGATCCCAACAGTACCCCCCCCCTCAAGGGCGGATACCAGACGCCCAAAAACAAAAAACCAGAAACCAAAACAACCCACCTAGGGCGAACAGAGGGGGAAACAGGCACGGGGGGCCAGGCACAAAAAACAACAGGGACCAAAACTCAAAACAACCCACCTAGGGTGGGCGAGGACAGAGAAAGTCTCGGGTGACCGGCCGAGGGGCCGGTAGCAGGGCTAAATCTCAGGTGGCCTGCCGTGGAACCGGCAGCAGGATAGAGTCTCGGGTGGTCGGCCGTGGGGCCGGGGACAAGGCAGAGTCTCAGGTGGCCGGCTGTGGGACCGGGGACAGAGCAGAGTCTCAGGTGGCCGGCCGTGGGACCGGGGACAGAGCAGAGTCTCAGGTGGCCGGCCGTGTGACCGGCAGCAGGACAGAGTCTCAGGTGGCCGGCCGTATGGCCGGCGTCTCAAAAGCTGCAGGGGCCTTGGAGGAGGGCGCCTTCTCTGCTGCTGTAGGAAGCTCCGAGTTGGACGCCGTCTCTGCCTCTGCGGGGAGCAACGAGGAGAACACCGTCTCAGCTGCTGCGGGGAGCGTCGAGATGAACGCCGACTCAGCTGCTGCGGGGAGCGTCGAGGAGGACGCCGTCTCTGCTTCTGCGGGGAGCGTCGAGGAGGACGCGTCTCAGCTGCTGTGGGAAGCGTCGAGGCGGACGCCGTCTCAGCTTCAGCGACACAGCAACAGGCTCGGCAGCAACCGACGACTGTGGCTCAGGGGAAGGCTCAGAGGAAAGCGTCGACTGCAGCTCAGGAGGAGGCTCAGAGGAAGCCGCCGACTGCAGCTCCACCCCTGGAGCAGGGGAGACCACCGACTGTGGCTCCACAGGAACCCAGGAGGCTGCAGATTGCGGCTCCGGATCAGGAACAGAAGAGGCCGCCCATCGCGGCTTCACTTCAGGAACAGGGGAGCCCGCTAGTTGCGGCTTCGCATCAGGAACAGGGGAGCCCGTCGATTGCGGCACCCGGTCAGGAACAGAGGAAGCCGCCCATTGCGGCTCCGCATCAGGAGCTGGGGAAACCACTGACTGTGGTTCCACAGGAGGAGGCTCAGAGTAAACCGCCGACTGCCGCTCCACCCCAGAAGCTGGGGAGACCATCGATTGTGGCTCCACAGGTAGACAGGTGGCTGCCGGTCGCGGTTCCGAATCAGGGACTGAGGAGGCCGCCCATTGCGGCTTCGAATCAGGAGCAGGGATCCCTAGACGCCCCCTCATCTCCTGCACAAAACGAATCCGCTCCTCGTCGACTCGTCTCAGCTCCGTCTCCACCTCTCGAAGGTAATTCCCTAAACTCCGGTGCATCCGCCTCCTTAAGAGCTGCTCAGGGGACTCTGGAAGGCACGAAGCGGGCTCAGGGGCTAAGGAGGCCAATAACTCATGGTAGTGTTGCAGCTGCGCCTCCCACTTGGGAGGCAGCAGACTGCGCCGAGCGGGCCCCACCAGGTGAGCGTGGATGGAATCTGCTGGGCTAGCTTGTTGGCCGGATCGTTCTGTCATGATGCGTGGTTGGTTTGCTAGCCCAAGGATGCAGAACTCCACAGACACTGAGGCAGGATTAAAGTCCAATAATTATTAGTGGCACACAGGATTCTGCCCTGGAAGGCAGAGAAGACAGAGCACAGGTTAAACTCAGGGACAGATAAACAAGCTCAAACTCACTGGTTCGCTGGTTCAGACAGACTGGGTTTAACAGGCACAGATAAGCAGATTCAGGCAGGCAAGGCAAAGGCATGGAAGAGCATGGCAAGGCTGCACATGGCAGAGCATGGGAGAACATGGCAAGGCTTGGAAGCTTGGAAACGATCCGGCTAAGAGTGAAGCTATCAAACAGTTTATATGGGGAGAGGTTAATGAGCAGAGCCGATGGGAAACAGCTGTGCGCTGAGAACCAGCTCCCAGGAGAGGATCCATGGCGCCCTCTGGTGGGCAAACCTCTGGATCCCAACAGAAACAGAAGCCCACAGGAAGGGATACAAACAGAAACAGAAGCTACAGAATGGGATCCACACCGCCCTCTGGAGGGCAAACCTTGGATCCCAACAGTAAGAATCAGAATTCATCTGTCCGTCTATTTTGCAAGGTTTTTCAAATGCCCAAACCGCTGATTTTAGCCCATCATATTTTCTGCAATGTGATGCTCTACTTTTGAAATGTTGGTTTTATTGTTGATGTAATGCAAAACTTCCCACTTTTGACTGGTCAGTTCACAGACTATCATTCTTGTTGTATTGGATCAGGGCCACCAAGCTATCTGTGGGCAATCTGAAAAGAACAGTTGTGTTCTTTTTTGCTAGCAATGGCTTTGGCCTTTGAACTGTCCCATGAGAACCACTTCTGCTCAGTGTATTAATTAAACTGTGAAAACCGACTTTAACTGAAGCAAATGAGGACTTGCTTTAAAAGCTCTTTTCTCTTTAACCATTTTGAGTCATCAATGTCATCAGTGTCACAGTAATTTGTAGGTTTTTGTTGGTTAGCTAAATCCTGTGAATATTAGTATTAATATGCTGGTGAAGGTTCTCAGTCATCCAGGTCATGAAAAGCAATCCACTGGACTTGGTTTCCGAGTTTGAAAACGTTTCGCTTCCCATCCTGGAAGCTTTTTCAATTCAAAGTGTCAAGAATAGCATTGAGTTTGAGGTTTTATACAGTAGCCCAAAAAAGCCTAGTTTTTGTTTTGAAAACATGCAAATTGGAACCGACGAAGGGATCCACCCATTTGGAATGGGGGTCATTTGTCTTCTTTTGTAAAACTGCAATACCCCATACCCATCTAAGTGTCTGAAAGGTCGGTCGTTAAATGGGATTGTTGGACTGGCTGTATAGACGAGGTCTTCCACTCCCCTGCGCAGGGGGTGGGGCTGCAATGATAATCGGAAGGGATTACCTCAATAGTTGCATTGTAGGTTTCAGGAAGCTGGAACCTGAGTCCACCTCGTCTGTTTAAGCTTGGTTTTTCTTTCCTTCACACCCCTCTCAGACCACCTATTTTCTTTGTCTAAAATGTGAACATTATGGCCCTCAAAAAAATTTCCTTTGTCCATAAGATGTAAATGTACTACAGAGTCTTGTCCAGAGGAGATCGCTCATCTGTGTTGGGCCATGCATCTGTGGAGAGGTTGTCTGGTTTCTCCAATATAAAGATCAGAGCATTCCTTACTGCACTGCACTGTTTACACCACTCCGCTCATATTTGGTCTGGCGGTTTTGTCCTTATGATGCACTAGCCTCTGTCTAAGGGTCTTGTTAGGTTTGAAATGTACTGGGATTTTGTGTTTGAAGAAATTCCTCTTGAGTTTTTCAGAGACTCCAGCAACATATGGGATGGAGATGTTTTTGCGTTTGATCTTCTCACCATTATGTTCTGCTGGGTGTCTTTTGGATTTCCTTGCTGATTTGACAAACGCCCAGTTTGCGTATCCACAGGTCTGAAGAGTATCTTTGATGTGTTTCTGTTCTTTGTTCTGATGACTGAAAGTTTGTGTTCTAGTGGGTGGTGTGAGTCAAAAAGAAGGTATTGGTCTGTGTCAGTGGATTTCCTATAGGCTTCAATGTTGAGGTTTCCATTTCCTTTCATGCTCCCCAAACAGTCTAGAAAAGGTAGCTTGTTGCTATTGGCATCCTCTCTGGTGAACTTGATGTTGTGGTCAACGAAGTTGATGTGTCTTGTGAAAGCTTCCACTTTATTTTGATGAATGTGTGATCCACAAATATAAACCAATGGCTTGGTGGTGTTCCTCTGAAGATGTCCAAAGCTCTCTTTTCCATTTCTTCTATGTAAAGGTTCGCTACAATTGGTGACACGGGAGATTCCATGGCACAACCATGCTTCTGTCTGTAAAAATGATCCATGAACTTGAAAATAGGCTGTGGAAAACCACTAAGGGGGCTAAAATAACAATTCCGATGGATGATGGCAATTTTTAATGTAAAAATCAAGGTAATAAATTATTATACAAATATTTAAAAATTAAAAAAACCCTAAAGAACTTAAGAACAATTCAAATTTAAAATGACAAACTCTGATTTAGATATTCTAATATTTACAAAAGTAACTTTCTTTTTTTTTTTTTTTTTTTTTACAATAAATAACCTGGTAAAGAAAACCTGAAAGAAAAAAAAATGTTTTTATTTACTTGGCTATAGGGACTAGGTTCCAAAACTGTTTGCAGTCAAAGTGATGTGGCGAGCAACAGCTCAAGGCCTTGAAAGGCACCTTTGAAAGAAATAAAGCGTTTGCAAAACGGCAAGACTTTATCAGAGCTGAAGGAAAACAATCTTGATCTGCAGTTGTGGGAGTTTTGCGTGTTAATTATAAGTCATTTGCAAATTCAAAAACTGTCTGGGTGTTTATCTTAGAGGGTCCTTAATTACTTTGCCACTCCCGGTTCATTCTCTGTACTTTCAGATGGGAGCAAGGAGGCGCAGTAATTGATTGATAAGTGGAGCTGAGAAGAGCTGGAAAGGAGGAACAGGTGACTAGAGGAGGAAGACGAGTATGGGGCATTCATCTGTCTGGATCTTTCTGTTGTGCTTCACACTCTTTCATCAAAGGGCTGCAGCACAAGCTGAAGGTATGTGATGACATTTATATCGACTGTTGCCTGAACAACTCTCAAACACAATTTACTCCATCAGATAGTTCTGCTTTCTATTATTTCTGAGAGTTCAAAGCTTTTTTTGCGACTTCAGTTTTAAATGGCTGCTTTTTATTTCTATAGGCTTTCGCTATATCACATCTATTTGATTAGCAGTCCAACCCATGACTGTTTAATGGAGCTTCCTAAAATACATATCTTGGCTACTCAAGTCTTCTCAAGTGTCCCTTCATTAAACCTTCTCATGTGATTAATTCATAGTGTAGACTCTAAACCAGTTGAAGTTTTATTCAAAACAAATTATCTGCTGGTGCCATGGACACTATACAGTATATATCTTCTTTCTGCAAGCCTGCCAAATGCATCCCATAGATACAGAAGGTTAGCCTTAGGTGCTATTGGATGTCATTTAAAGGTCATTTAGCAAATCAGAAATTGGATATCTTTCACCTGGAACATGATCGACAGAAAATTACAACATAGACTTATAGGAAAACGTATAAATATCTCTGACGTGAATGAAGCCCTTCCTTCTTTAGATTTGCTGACGGTGTATCTCATTGAAGGCAATGACTACAATGTCATTACCTGACCCTACAGGCTATTGGTTCAGTCCATAACACAATATAAACAACTCTCCAATGCAAAAAACAGCTTCCATATGCAATATTGTATATACAATTGAAAACATTACAATTCTTTTGAAATCAAATTAAAAAATAAAACTTAATAAGTTCTTCTTAGGGATCATTGTAATAAACCAGTGCAAAGCGGGGCTTTTTCTTGGGCTGAAATTACAGAGATACAAAAATAAATAAATAAATTAATAGATAAATTAATTGATCTATTGCTATATGAATTTGACGGCCATTTTGCAAGAAAGGGGTTTTGTCATCTGCTAACTAGCTAATGATTAATTCCATACTAAAGATGTCTATTTTTAGGTAAACAGCTAACATTTCTGGAACTAAAATAAATAGATATGGAGAAGTTGGACATCCTTAAGGAATACAAACATTAATGTTAAATCTAGCTGTCCTACCTTTAGGTAGTTTTACACGGCTATTGATGTTCTGATATAGGCCTCCAATCAAATAAAAATTTCTCTAAAGCCTAAATATTTAGTACTGAAAACAAAAATCAGTGTTCCACAGAATCCAAGGCTTTATAAAAATCTAAGAAAAGAATAAGACTTCATCATTGATTAAAGGTTTTGTAGAGGATTTTCCCAATTTCCAATTTTTTCAAAAAGACCAGCCCTCTCCACTTAAAATAAAAATGCACGTGCAAGGGCACGCATAAGCCCAATTCTCACTGTGCACGCTTTGTTCAAAAGTTGCTGTTCTCTTAGCTCATACAAGCCTACTGTGCCCGAACGTCTGCCATATCCCTAAATCCCTAAATCACTATATAGAGCGGGCATTATATAATGGACTTTATAGTGAACTCAGTTAACGTATCGGTCAGACAGAGGATCACTTAGACCACGGCATGGTGCCTGTGCCATCTTTGTTATTAGTAGCCACTGTCTGGTAGCCACAGCCTATGTTGATAGGGGGCTGCTGTGACCACAATTCCCATAATGCTTTGCAGGAGAGGTCTCTGCTCAAAGCATTCCGGGATATATCTGCTTCTTCTGAGAATTTCTTTTCTTCTCATACTCTCCCTAGACACTTTTTGTCTCATGAACCTCGGTCATTTTCAAAGGAACAGCGGTGATGACTACTGTCTAAAATTGTAGGTCACCACAGATATACGCCTGAAAGTCCGCATGCGCAGAAAGCGATAGCTAACGGGGCGAGCACGTAGGACGACCTTACGTAAACGTATCACAAGAATGATTGACAATTAGGAGGACCACTTATACAGATGATCCACCCAGAAATAAAAGATCATCCTCTCTACCTTTAAGTCTCTATATTCAATTAAATCCTTTATTTTTCTAATATTGTTGTGGATCAATTGTATTTTTCCTGTTTGTCGTCATTTTCAAATGGCTTTTTCATTTTGGGTCAGTCCTTCTATATTTATATTTCATTTTTGTTTTTCGTATAACACATCTTTTGAGGTTTACTACCCAGAGCTGCTTAAAGCATGTCATTTCCGTCTGCCATCTTGCCTCGGACCCCGTTGTTGATTTGGCTACCTGTTTTAAGATAGAATGGACATGGCTCTTTGTAATGATTTATCTTCATATTTTTTTTATGACCTAAACCTGCTTTTAAAATTTCTGTAATTTTATCTCCGCCATGTTCTTCAGTCCTAGTGATATTATTTTTTCTCCAACAAAATTTGTGGTCTTCACAGATATGTTCGATTCATACTGCGATAAAGTACAAGAAAAAGTATAGAAATTTTAATACCAATAAGGTGACTTCAAAAGCCAGTTGGCTTCTTGCATTTTATTTAAGGAGTGTCAGAATAAAGGGGAATTTACCTTAGTGTTTTCACATTTTTATATAGTCCAAACATAATTAATTTGGAGTTAGAACTGCAAAATGCTGGGCATTTTAAATTGAAATGCTACAATAAAGAAAGCACTAGATTTTTTTCTTCAAAAACAAAAACAAACTTTGAATAAAAAAATCAAATAAATGATGACTCTCCTTCTCTTATCAGGACAGTAAACTACAGTTTTTTCTGTTTGACTTGAAGTGTATTGGGTTCTTCCTTTGCTTAATCTTCAACTGACAACTAAATTTAAATCATAAATCATTACAATTGTCTACCTACCTGAGGTTTGTTTTAACATGAAAAAACAAAAAAAATGCTTGGTTAAAAGGCAACCATGACAAATAAAAAAAATGTATTAGACTTGTTTTCAATATTTTGAGAATGATTTTGCCCTAAAAGGACATAAACCCCAGACAAACATCTCTCAGGTTGTATATGATCTGTGGTGCAAATTTTAGTCATGACATTTAGACTTTAGCTGCTGCTGTTTAAACTTTTTTTGGTCTTCTAACTGACCTTTTCACAGGATCAGACCCACATGCTGTGCACTTTGCTTTCATAGTCAGGTACAAGAGCTGGACAGGAAACGAGGAAAAAACAGCAATTTTATAGATAAATTGATAGAAGCTATTTAAACAACCCCTGGTTTATATTTTTTCTTGTCTGGATTGGCTGGTTAGAAATTCTCAATGAATAAGTGGCAAAATAACGCATCTCAGCCTTATAATATTAGATAAAAATAAAAGAAATTGCTTTAATATAATATTTGCAGGAAAGGCGCATACTGGTGCTGATACAATAATGCACTGACTTTAAAATTTTGGTCATATACGATAAACTTCATGTAATATTGATTGAGAAAAAATAAAATAATTTTATTTTCAAGTAATTTCACAACTTTAGCTTCAGCCCAGCATTATCTTAAAAAGATTGATGACCTTCATTGAGTTTAAAAGCTTCAACTGTTTTTTTCACAACTGAAATATCTCCTAAAAGTCAACCTTAATCATTCTTCTCAGGAAAACAACCTTGTTAGCACCTTTTTTTCAGCAGTTCACTGAAATAAGTTTGTGCAGGTGGATTGCCAAAGGAATGTCATTCAACTCCGTGCAACTGGTCAAAACTCTGTTCACTCCAGCATGTTTCATTTTAAGGGTTTTTCAGTTCTACCAAATGAGTCCAGTTCCAGGCTTTATCTTTAGAATTTAGCAAACATAAATGATGGTTTAGTTAGAGAACAATAAGTAAAATTTACAATGGAAATATTTGATCAAGTCTGAATTTAAATGGTATTGAGACGCTGCTACATAAACTTGAACAAATTTGTCATGCTAAAAAACTGTGTGGCCAAATTCAAAGTAGTTTTTGCAAAGAGTGCTTTGAAACTCCTCCATAGGATGCAATGATGAAGATTTTATTTTTTAAGAATTATGCTCTTTGTGTAAAACCTGAAAGTAGCACAGAAGAAGGGACCATTGGTACATGAAGGTGATGTCACATTACTGTACATATAAACTGAATGTATAAATTGCAATGAACATGACACTGAAAACAGCACTTCCAGTTATGTTTAGTTTACCTAACTGGCATTGGTCTTTTATTGTTTAATATTTCCATTCTGTTCACAAGGTTTGTACTTCTCATTTAAATGACTTTTTTGCATTAAAGGTTTTGTGTTTATGCTCACCCTGTTAGTTTTCATGTTTCTAAGATACCTGCTCTTTAAAAATGTGAATTGCTTCCCTTGTGTTTGGTGGTGCTGAATGCAGTAGTGCATCACTAAGGGGTGTTTTAGTGGTATTCTGCTGTATATGTTGAAGGTATTGAGCAACGTCTAATGGTTAACAATAGAGTTTTAACCTTTGAAAAGTCTGCATAGATAACCTTCAATAAAAACATTACTAATCTCTCAACTTGTGATGTGTCCTCATCCTTGGCATGTCGATCTTGCCTGCCAGCCCAGAGACACAAACCTCTGGATAATTGATCTGGTTTTCCATCCCACTCTATTCTTTTTTTTTTTGACTGACGAAAGCCCCCAGCTGCTTCTAGCTCAGGGCATCCTCCACGTTTTATGTGCTTTTGCAATAATCGGAGGACTCAAAAGAGTATCCGACTGAATAGATTTGCTGCTTATGCAAAATGTGGCTGGTTTGCCTGTGTGAGATTCAACTCGAAGGATAAAATGGATGCGCATTGTTGTAGTTTTTGAAATTTCATCAATGATTTTATCTCGTTAGTGATAAATGTGCTCTTGCTGAACATAAACCAAAGCCAGAATGTACGCAAAGATGTTGGCTCAGCATGCGGGGGGCCGCAAAAATTGGATTCCTTGTGATATTTGCTGCCTTGATGAAATGTATAGGTGTGTAAGGGTGAATATAATATTGGATGGGCATGGCGCGGGGACATATGTCAGCTTCCCTGGATCCTGGGACAGCAGCCAAAGCAAGAAGGCAAGCAAGAAGCATTAGAAGGGAGCAAGCTCTGTAATCAAATTGAGGACAGGCGAGAATCACTTATCACTTACAGAACAATCAGCGAAGCCTATCTTTTATTCACCAGCCAATCAATGCTGTTGTCACTTTTGTTTATTGCATATGTAATGCCAGAATATTGACTCAAAAGGTGTTTGCAGACACAGCAGATTGTGTGTATGTGTGTGTCTATATCCAGATTGCTTATCTCACACCTAAAAGCATCTAAATATATTCAAACTTAAGTTAAATGCATTTGTTAAGCGTGGCAACTGACCCTGATTTTGGGTGTGTTTACCTTATTATTCTAAGTGTTCCTCATTGCTATACTAAAGTTTTATTGCTGGAGTGCTCAGAATATTGATGGTCTCTTTGGCTCACTTGTGTCTCATTAAAAATTCATGGGGATTTCTGTGGTGAACTGGCTGCATGACAGAGGCTGGGGGAAAGGAAACGCTCCTACATGGTGGAACAATACTGCCCTCTGGTGGTGAGTCTAGAGGACACGTCTCAAATCATTAAAATATTTTCTTTGATTTCCACCTAACGTTTGTTTGATATCATTAACTAGAATATTTGGCAGGCTAATATATTTCTACATAAAATGACATTTTTTTTTTTAGAGATAAAGGATCCTCATATATATGCATGCAAATGTCTTTATGGATTTTTGTATTTGCCAAAATGACTCTGCCTCTGATTGGCTCCCACAGCTCTGGGGGGAGCATTCCTGCTGGAAATGCTTTAAATTACAAAAGCTAAAAGCTAAAAGATGCTTCTTGGATATTTTCTGAATCAATTTTAATGGGGGGAGTGGCGTCCTAGTGGTTAGGGCATAGAGCTTGGAATCCTGAGGTTCTGAATTCCAGCCCATCTGCCACAGACTGACACTTCCTGAGAAATGGCCCTTAACCCCACACTGCTCTCCGGGTGCCGCACAATGGCAGTCCACTGTTCCCCAAGGCGGTGGTTCAAATACAGAGTTAAAGTTCAGTTCTGTAACATTATCAATGACCCCCTCACATCCCCACTATGAACTGTTCTCCCTGCTGCCCTCTGGGAAGAGGCTTTGAAGCATCCTATGCAGGTCCTGCAGATTCTGAAACACCTTCTTCCCCACCACCATCAGACTGCTGAACAGTTGAAAAAACTCCTAACTCATTTCACAACCTCTGTATCAACTGTCAACACCAAACCCAAACCATGCAAAATTGCACCATATATATTTAATGCTCTGAACTTCCATATCGATGTTTTGACATGTCTTTTTTCTCCAAATGCTGTTTACATTTGATCACTTTAAGAAATGGAAATGTCAGGAGAACTGTACAAATTGTTTTGTATACGTGCTGTGTATTCAAAATGACAATAAAAGAAGTCTAATTCTATGTTATACCCCTCAAATCTCCACAGTAGTTTATACATTTACTTGGATCTATTTTATTGGGATTCTATAATTGTGATCTAAAAGGAAAAATCTTTTAGAAGCCTCTACCTGTTTTTATTTGTATTTCTTGTAATCTAAACATAAACCTCTTGCTCATAACCATTTGCAGCTCTGAATATATTCTGGGTTGTACTGTAATGCCGGTGGAAAGTGAGCCTGTAAACAAGTGTATCGCTGACCAATCCTTTGCCTTTGTCTCCATTCACTGAAGCTCATTTGAAATGCACATCACACTTTTTTATCTTTAAAATTTGCAATAAAAAAAAAAACAAAAAATGAAAAAAGTTTTTTCCCTTCAAGTCACAATGTTGTTTTTTTTAAGTAAAATGTTTAATCGCTCAAGGGACAAAATTCCATTTCTTGGTTCTCAGCTTGCAGGACAGCAGTTCAAGCAGACATTGTGTTCCTGGTGGACGAGTCATGGAGTGTGGGTCAGACCAGCTTTTCCAGAGTCAAAGACTTCATCTCAGCCATCATGTCCTCCTTTCAGGACAACACAGTAGGAGCTGAGGGGGTTCGCTTTGGAGTCACGCTCTTTGGGGATGTTCCAAGGTACTCGAGCATTATCTTCAGACATCTTTTTAAATTGTTTTTTTCCTTTTTGGGTTAAAAAGTCATCTTACTTAACATGTTGTATGCTCATAGAAAGCAATTATTTTCTTCTGCTCCAGCTTTTCTACATGACCCAGTTCTGATCCATCCCTTTGCTCTACAGGATGCTGGTTGCTTTGACAGACTACAGTTCACTAGAGGAGGTGCTCAGAACTGTTGGAGACCTCCCCTACGGTGGAGGATCCAGGAAAACAGGCAGTGCTCTGCAGTTTCTTGTAGATTCTGTGTTCAGCCCTGCCATCAGCAGAGACTTTACCCCAAAGGTGTTGTAGTTCATATGTTGAGATCAGTCATAAGTTACTGCACTTGCCTTGTGTTGTTTATTTCATTGTTTTTTTAAAGCTAGCATGCACGTTTGACAAAGAGTGGAAAAAGAACCCTTTGAGGATGACAATCCATGCTGCAAATACATGCATACACTGTGCCCTGCATGACAGGAAATGACTTGCCAGGATCAGTATTTGTACTCCACAGGACACCGAGGCATAAACAAACAAAGTGGTCCACCATTTCACACTACCATGAATTTGATTAAAGTGTCCTGCTGTATGCTTGGAATAAAAATTGATCGTGTGTCCGTGGCTGACGGCCGATTTTCATCTGTTGGCATTGTCTTTAGTTCTATAAAGTAATAACAAAAACGTATTGATTTTTCAGCACTATTTTTGCAGGCTCAATCAAACTGTCAGTACTGTATGACTTGTCAAAGCAGCTGTGAATGTAAAACACACACAAAACCTGTAAATGCGGTGGTCAGCTGCACAATCAGTGACAAATATTTAAGGTCCCCTTAAAATTAAGAAATGTTCTCACCATAGGTTTATTCAAGTTTCATTAAGAAAACAGAAGAGGCACAATTTTGGGAACCCTCTGAAGTCTAAAACACATTATTTTTCTGCATTTTTCTTATTATATATTCATTTTTGCAACTTGGTTTGAAAGTCTTCTTAAAAAGGGTTTAGTTAGTTTTCTAATGTTGCCAATGCTTGTTTCAACAGACATTCTAGCATGAGGAAAATTGGATAATTTCAACCTCATTTATACCAAATCCACTTTTATGAACATTACAGTAGTCATTAAAAGTGAAATTATACTTCTCTTATAAAACATAACATCCCAGCATCCTAGTCATAGTGTGTTAGAGGAGAACGGAGAATGAGGTCAAAATATAACCTTCACTTTCCTCCCAGAGCTGAGCATAAACAAAGAAATTAGGAAAGTCAGTTTTAAGGGGCCATTATGAAATTCCTGATTATGTTTCTTATATTTAGGCGTCTCTATTTGTCAATGCCAATGGAGGATTTAAAGAGAATAATCAATTTTCAATGCTGGCTTCTTAATAAAAAATTTGTCTGGAGGGCAGATTTACATAATTAGTCATGCCTGCAACAAACAAAAATAAATTGAGCATGCAAGTTCACGGCAGATACACAGCTGTTGAATCTGGATCATGGAGAATTATTTTATGCTTATTGTTAGGCTGTTTATTTCATGTTGGGTGTCTCTAAATGCTATTCTAAAATGCCTTTTTTAATGACTGAATTAACATAAAAAATGCCATAAGTCTGATGGGCGAATAAATATTTATAAACCACTCTCAATAGTGCTGCGTATATATTTTATATATTTTATATATATTTTCTGTCTCTTTGCAACACAGATTGCTGTTTTGATCACAGCGGGGAGCTCTGATGACCGGGTCGATCTTGGTGCCAAAGCAGTTGCAGACAGTGGGATAACACTCTTTGCAGTTGGTGAGTCTTAAACTAGGTATTGTGAATTCCTTCAACGTTTCCCCTGCAGCAACAAACTTTAGATTTTATTCAAGCTCTACCAGCCTATCAGATATGTCTTGCTGCCAGAGATTGATGTTCTGTACATTTGAATTCACTGATTCAGTGTGTGTTTGTGTTCATGTGTTAAGTTTCTTATTTGGGTCTATAGATGTGTGTACATATATGTACCTATATAAGAAACTTTATATGACTTTTAATGCATTTGTTGAACTATTATAATTGCATGATCTTAATATTTTACCTCTTTTACCTCTTGTACACTAACCATCCACACAAACTTTCTTCTCTTAGTGACAGCGGTGCAGTAATTACTGCTCATTAGAGGAAAGTTTGTGCTAATAGCAGCTATTTTTCATTAGCAGATTCAGTTTGCCCCATCCGCACCTCTGACACAAGGTCCTCTGCTCCTGCTCATCACCTCTATTGAAAACCTACATTATGCAGCCCTGTTGCCAATAATGCACGACTGAACCAGGATAAAAAAAAATAAAAATAAGAAATAAACAAATGCTGTTATTGTGAATCTTTGACATTTATTTTAGTGAATTACTTTTAGTTGATTTGCAGTTTTTTTTAGATTTTTTTTGTATCGGTTGTTCTTCACATATACGCAGTGCAGTTATTTGTTGAAATGGGTGCTACAGAGTGTATAATTAGATCTGCGTGTTTAGAGTACTCCGGAATATAAGTTTCTGCATCATTTAATCATCTGACTTGACTTACTGCAAATGGTTTGTGTCAAAGTGCTGAAATAAAACCTGTGGTGTTTAATCAGTTATAAATATCTGTCTACATAAAAACTGTGATTCACTCTTCTTCCTATTTTTTTAACTTTATTATGAAGGTGTAAGAGGAGCTGATGTGTCGGAGCTAAGAAGGATTGTGTCCAAGCCCTTCGAGGAGCATCTTTTGCAATGTGCAGATTTCTATCTCCTGGAAACACTTCTTCCTAAACTGTCCCGGAGGTTATGCATCAGTGCGTCTGAGCCACCACGACCTGTAAAAATCACTAAGCAAAGTAAGTTTCCTCCAGCTCCTAGGAATTCTTTTACTTCTATCTAGATGTAGTGAGCTGTAGGGGTACATGTATCAGTTTGGCCTGGGTACATCCTCTACATGACCACTAGAAAACTAGAAACCCAACTCCCTATTTCTTTCTTTCAATGTTTTTCCTTCAATCACTGATTTATCTGTCATTTTATGATGATTAAGTCTCTGGAAGATGCAGTAAAAAGTAAAAATGAATGTCTCACAATTTTAATGTCTACTTTAAAGCTGGCAGAATGTTTTACTTTAATTTGCTAATATTTATTGGCTTCTCATATCTTCATCTGATCTGTGTATTGTCACTAAACTGTAGGTGAAGAGAATGTGGTGGGTCCCAGAGACCTGCAGGTGAGCGAGTTAGCTCACAGCTCGCTCAGGCTTACATGGAGCCAAGCTACAGGTGATGTCACTGGATATCGCCTCCTGATCACACCTCTCAGCTCTAAGGGTCAACTCCTGCTGAATCAGCAGAGACAGGTGAGGGATGGATGCCTTTTACATAGAAGAGTGTAAACAACTTTACCAAATATGTTAACAGCTGTGTGCATAGATACTTACACCTCTAAATAGTTTTTTTCCCTTCATCCAAATCCAATGATTACTTCTATACATGGTTAAAATGGTCCTTAATTCCAAAACTCTTCCCCGGGTATTTTGTCTTATTTGTTTTTGCCCGCTGAGTCATGTAATTTTAAACTCCTTAAAGCCAGATGCTCATCACTTTATTTTTTTAGCTACCTTTGTGTAATCCTTTACAGGTTTCCTACAGTCTAGAACCTCCTGAGACTTGATTTCAATATTTTCTAAATAAATGTGATTTTTTTTTTTTTTGTTGCCTCCCAGAATTTATTTCCTGTCCAGTATTATCCAAATGTTGTCTTTCTTTCTTGTTCCCTTCATTCCTTATAATGTTTTTTTTCCCCTCATAGACCATGGTGACAGAGCTTTGCTTTCTGTTTCTCTTTTTAACTTTAGGTTTCCTCCTATTTTTCTGTCTCACTAATTGCTTTTGGAAAGCTTGTGTTAATGAGTGATGCCTGCCAATAGTTCCTGCAAATGATTTATCCTCGGGACCTGATACAACACTTTATCCTCCATTTTTATGTAATTCTCTGTTCCTGTTACAAATAGTTTGGTCATTTCTTCTTTTTTCTATCCATCTCTTTGTCTTTATCTGGCTTCCTTCCTTCCTTCCTTCCTTCCTTCCTTCCTTCCTTCCTTCCTTCCTTCCTTCCTTCCTTCCTTCCTTCCTTCCTTCCTTCCTTCCTTCCTTCCTTCCTTCCTTCCTTCCTTCCTTCCTTCCTTCCTTCCTTCCTTCCTTCCTTCCAGAATATCTAAACTTACCCACTGTTTATTATTCTCCTTGTTAACAATACATTTATGTATTACTCATTTATCTGTTAATATACATCATAACTGTGTATCTATGAAAAAAGAAAGTTCACTTTGCCAAATGAAAAATGTGTTTAGCAAAATTAGGCAGTAGCTTGGAAACCCTAAAATCACCTGCAGTTTAGAAAATTACTTTCATGATTCTCTAAAGAGGCATTACTCTAAAAGTTGCACTGACTTAATATTGTGTGCTTTCTTTTTCTTGGATGACTGACTAGATAATCGTATGGTTACGTGCTCTTACAGAAACATCATTATTTTAGCTATTCTTTACTAATTATCCCTGTTTATATAACAGCTGAATCTGAAGGCAGATGTGAGCTCCACCATGGTGATGGAGCTGAGTCCAAAGACAGAGTATTCTCTCACCCTCTATGCTATCTACCCAAACCTCATTGGCAACTCTGAAACAATCCCAGTGAAAACAGGTGAGATTTTTCATAACATACAGGGAATCTGGAAATACTCAAAGTGCTGCACTTTTTCCACATTTAGTGATTTTACAAGATTATTCCCAATGGTATTAAATCAATCTCTTTCCTTAAGAGCTGTACTAAAAATACCCTGTTATCTCAGTTTGAAAAAAACTTTATTGTTGCAAATTTAATGCAAATTTAAAATTAAGAAATCACAAATATGCAGGTAGTTAAAGCGTTTCCCCTTAAAGATCCAAATTGAACTGAGGTTCATAACTTCCACTGATTATTCTTGAGATCTTTCTTCAACTTTATGTAATATTAGTAAATTGGACATGAAAGGCTAATCTGGAGTTTGCAAAAAGACACTCAGAAGAATAATAAGAGAAATATAATGTATTGATCTGATTGGACAGATTATTAACTTTGCTAGTAGTATTGCCGGGCACAGTGTTTAGAGAAGAGCAGGTACCATTCATTGTCATGCCATCACAATTCCTACAGTGAAGCATGGTGTTGGCAGCATGGTACGGTTATGTCTTTTCCAGTAGTAGGAATGGGTAGACTGGCAAGGAGAGAGGAGACAAAGAATTATGAATGCAGTGATGTACAGAGACATCCTGGGTAAATAAAAATAGTCTCGGGCCCTTCAGACTGATAAGCAGATACTTTCTTCAACAGGACAACAATGAAAAGGACACAGCTTTAATCAGATTGATATTGCCCAGATGTCCCATTCAAATAGATGAAGCATAAGAAGAACTGCAAAGAAGAAACCTTTAAGATAGCTGGGCAAAGCTTATAGCAGCACATTTAAAAGGACTCTGCGCTTTTTAAAAATTTTTTTTAACATTCATTTATTGGTCTGTAGCAAACTGTGGGACTAGAATATGTTCATAGGTGCCAAATCCATTCGATCTCCACTAAGTAACCTGTTGCAATAGGAAAAAGAACAAGAACATCATCTGTATGTTCCTTATAAATCACTAGAGACTAGACTTTGATGAAGCTCTTGCTAATAAATCTATACACATTTTTACATTAAATCTGTTTAAATTAACTATTTGTGATTTGCTCTAATATCCATATGAAATGGGTAGAGTGGTAGTTCTTTAATTACGTTGAAAACTACTAGATGGCCTGCAGAAATACATAACTTCCCTTCTCAGGCATAATGGACAAAAACTAGTTCTGAGGAGCGTGAATTCTGTGTTTCTCATCTTTACTGTTACTTTAGTGATTTGAATAATTACCTACTGTATTTCTCTCATCAATGGATAATATACTAACAATCCAAAAGGCTAAATTAGGTTAGACATTCCTCCTAAGAGTATCAATGCTGCTGGTTAGAGGGGAACTGCTTGTTCAGTTGCTGCACAAGAACAACAAATCAGCTGTTAGGGGTGGTCAATGATTGTAATACATACAGTAGCCCCCACCCGTGGCTGTAGCATGTGGAAAAAGTGCAGAGCTGGGGGCACTTTAAATAAATGTATAGCTTTTATTATTATTATGTTATTTTTCAATACTACTTCCACGTCCTGCTTTTCTCTACCAAATGCTTTTCTTTCCATTAGCTTCGTTACCCAAAGTATCAAACTTCCGTGTTATCGAAGAAGGTCCCTTCTCTCTACGTCTTGGCTGGACACCTCCTCTGGGAAAGCTCAACGGGTTCAAGATCTTTATACCTAGGTGTAAGTTGACATCTGTCAAGATTATTGACTTTAAAGTTTGCATAGCAACAGTGCCTTGCCAAAGTATTTATGTCTTAAACATTTTAAGATTATTTCTCTTAAAGCACAAATTTGACAGCACTTTCTTTTCTGCTGTTGCAATGTTATATTGGTAGAAACATTACATTTTGTTCATATCTTAACAGGAAACCTGCTTGTCCATTGTAAAACAAACAATATGTCTTATGGTTTCGTTTAATCAGTGGCTTTCCATTTTACACTCTTCAGTACAGCCATAGTCATTGTGTAAACCTATTCTCCATTTTGGCTTTTGATCTGTTCAGCTCCTCCGGATTTAGCAATGGGCCTTTTGGTTCCTTGAAATTAAAACTCTCTTTATATTTCTATGTTTGCCATTGTGCAATAGTCTACATTTTTGGTTAGTTTTTTTTGGAAGAAAGTTTAAAGAAAGTAAAAAAAGGCTTTTGGAGTTTGAATACTTTTTGCAAGACACTGTGTGAAAGGTTTGTTTGAGTTAAAGACTCTTTTACATTTTCTTAAATACTCTTCAGCCAACAGACCAGGATTAACATACGAGCAGCTGCTTCCTGGGGACATCTCCTCTCATGTGATTGACAGCCTGGAGGAAGATAAAAAGTATACCATCAGTATCTATGCTGTTTATCCCGAGGGGCCAAGTGAACCAGTGTCCATAGCGGGAAAAACACGTAGGTTTACAAAATGAAATCACTTTGTCCAAACAATATTGACTGCTGCATTACCTTTTCATAATGAATATCTCCTCATCTTAAAAAATACTGAATATCTAAAGAGATTATATGGCATAGTCAGTTAATAGATTTATTACAAGACAAAAAAGATCCCTGTGTAGTACCTCAATATTTCCACAGGAGGGGGGTGTTGTTCTAAAATCAACCTGTCAGGAATATACCTCATCATCTCCACAAGATCTTAGCATCTTACACTATAGTAACACCTCTAACCATAGAGGGAAATGGATTAGAAGGTTTTGAATATATATTTTTTGCATAAGTTCTACTTGCTAAGTTTGGTTATGAAATAAAAAAAAATGTTGCGTCATTATTAATCTCAGCTATGTGATTAAAATGGAACAGCCTGCCCCTCGGTCTGCAGGTTCTCACAGATCTGCCCCATTTGAAACCCATATTAGAATAATTTTTTCAAACTGGCTTTTAAAACTTGGAAAACACTGTTTTATATTTTTGTTTTTTACAATGTTTTAATCTTATTGTGAAGCACTTTGGTCTTCCTGGTGTTGTTTTAAAGTGCTACATAAATAAACATTGACTAATAAAATGCTGCATAACTTCATCCCGTGCTTTTGCAATGTCTCTAACAGTAAAAGTAGTACCAGTTAAGCAATTTTTGGTCCAGAATGCCACCACAGACACTGTGCAAGCAAGGTGGCAATCAGTCAAGGGAGCAACGGGATACCGTCTGACATGGGCGTCCCCAGGTACTGTGCATATCTATGAATTTTTGTCTTTAGGAAGAGACGATGTATCGTTTGTTCAGTTTTTCTTTAACAAAAAAGTTTTTGTATCCTCATATGATCTGCTTTTCTCATTGTTCTGCAGATGGCCACATAGAGAACATCAACCTTGGAGATAACTTCAACTTCTACATGATCCAGGGCCTTCACTTAGGCTCTGAGTACACAGTCACAATTAACCCCATCTTTGGAGACATTGAAGGGCCAGTCACCACCAACAAAGTCAAAACATGTAAAACATTTATACCAGATATAAGATGTTACAGAACTTAGTTGAAGCATGAGTTGACCTGTTATTGCTTTCAGTCATCTTCTGGTTTGGTTTTTGAAACATTCCTCTGATTTTTTTCTGTTCACTTTAAGATCTAAGTGTCTTAGTTTGCTATTACCATCTAAATGAGAGGAAAAATAACTAGAGTCAGTATCTATGTTTAAAACCAGATATTTACTGGATAAAAAGGAACTAATGTTTTTTTACTGCTGTTGCAAATTGAAACAGATTTTTTTTACTAATTACAGACTGTTTTCGATTAAAGGCAAAAATAACAGATTTCTTTAGCTGTCTTGATTTGAGAGTGGACTCTGACTTGAAGCCTTGTATAACAATACTGGTATATAATAAAATAATTTGGGAAGATGCAGCCACAGTAAAAAAAAAAAAAAACTTTAGCTGTTAGCTATAGATTAAAACGCTACTTGGCCTGTAGAAATCCATTACTCTAAAAGCACTAATGATGAAACCAGTTAGATTGTTTTTCCACAGTAACAAGTACAACATCTACAACCGTGACTCGGCCTCACCACTTAATACAAAAAGAGTTGACAAAAATATCAAACTTTTTTCGGAATCTTGTGAGCGAATATTGTGAACATTGGACCAAATTCTTATAGTTTTGCAGGTCATTGAACTAAATGCTAGATATTAAAAAATGGTGTGAAAAAACATCTCTCCTAATTCTGGTTTACAGAAAATATAACTATTTAAGTCAATCCTAACTGACCTAGAACAGGAAAAGTTGTCAGAAAGATGTTTTTGTAGAGTGTGTGCATTTATTTATTTACATATTTAATTACTCTTGACTTTTTAATATTTCTTTCTCTCTTTTTTTCTCTTTCTTTCAGTGGAAAGCAGTGCTGTTCAGACTTTAAAGGTCTCCGCTGTAAGCACCAATTCAGCTGTTGTGTCTTGGAACAAAGTCCCAGGGGCCACAGGTTACAGGCTGGCATGGGGACCCACCCCAGGTACTATATATCTTTGTTTTAAAGGTTCCTCCTGTTTTCAGTTGTTTATCATACAACCATTATTCTTAGTCAGGCTATAAAGCACAAGGTTTATCATTCTCTAGCATCTCTTTTTTTAGAAGAGCTTTACAAAAGCCAATAATACTGAAGAACTGGAGCAATAAAAAGTATTAAGTCACGTACTGATTATGCAAATTATCTGGTGTCCTTTTAGATGTGTCTCTCTCCCTACACAAGCAGGGTCCAGGGGGCACAGTACCCTAGGTCTCATTCAGTCCCTCTTTGGCCTGTGGGCTGCTGCTCATGTTCTTCACTAACGACCTACCTCTGAGCGAGCCGTATGCCTGCCGTAGGGTGTAGTCTCTGTGGCCTTTCGGAGAATAATTGAAATGGTTAAGGTTAATAAAACACAGGGTACTAATCCAACAATACGGTCAGCCTACAACGATGCTTGAGGCAGTCTGGATTTAATATAGTGAGTCACACAATTAGGATTCTGTCTTGAGATATCCTGTTTGTTGGGCAAATCTGATGTGACACATGCAGACAACCAGCTTCTCTCCCTGAAAAAAATCATTCATACATCTTTTGCATCGACTCAAGCATATTTAGTTACTTTAACACACCTGTTTCATGTACCACACTGCTAACATGAAACAATTGTGTTAAAGTAACTAAATATGTTTGAGTTGATGCAAAAGATGTATGAGGACACATAAATAAAAAAAGTAAAAGGGCCAATATTTATATCTACATGCATACTTAGGAAAATAAAGCTTGTCAGCAGCTAGTTGGGGAAAATTGACTATTGGGGAGAAAAGGGAATTACAGATGTCCATGGTGAAAGATATGAGGACAGAAAGCTATACTGAAAGAAAAAACTAAAATATTGCTTTTATTGTTTATAGAGTTTATTGGCAGAGATCGTCCAAGACAGTTGGCTTTGAACAGCAGCACTACAGAGTACAAGCTAAAGAACGTTGCCCATGATACAGAATACGTGTTGACACTATATGTGCTGTTTGGGTCTGCTGTTGGGCCTGGGATCTCTGCAACCTTCCGAACTTGTGAGTAATTAAGCATTTTATGAATCATATTGTAATTAACACCTGTAGGTGATAGGAATTCAACACATGAATGTCACAAATCTGCTTTTATTGATTGCTTGGAAAAATGTAGTTTGCTTCTGAACTTTTGGAAAAAAGTGGAAGACTGGAGCTGATGGTTGGTGCAGGGGTAGAATGTATCACCCACGCACAGAAGCCTGAATCCTCGAGTCGGGCATCCCTGTTTCATGTCCTGATCTGGAGAAACCTTTGCTGCATGTCTCCCCATTTCTCCATCCATCTCATATCAGTTCACATGATTAAAAGGAAACTGGGACAAAATTAAAAGCATAAAAAAATTTAAGACTGTCAAAAGTATGTTCCAGCATTTTAACCTAGTGCAGCCCTCTATACCCAAGAAAAGCTTATTATTAACTCTGTTTTTATTATATCTTTTTTGTTTGTGTAAAGTGGTGACAGGAAACCATGTGTAAGGCAACCGCAATGCTGAAAGTTTTGCTATAGAATACTTGGAACAATGTTTGCCTAGTGTGATTGTGATCTTTTCTAGCTTTTATCAGATTTTTTGGATTATCAAACCATGTACAACCAGATACAGTATGTTGTTAACCACGAAAACAAACACTATTACCTAATTTTGAAGTTTCTAAGATGAGATCACAGTGGTTTGAGGGAGCTTGGTTTAAAAGTTCAGAATGGTCAAGTGAAGATCTTCATGCCTGGTTGGGAATTCACTGTGCCTTTAAGACATTACAAACATAGCCCCTCAAGTCTATGCACACTTTGCCAGTTTGGGTTAATCTGACAATCCTAAAAATTTCTCCTTTTTCTGTGTAGTTAGATAATGAATAATAACAAACTTGATATTTCAATTGAGAAAAGAAGGCAAACTAACAAGACCCTAACGAGACAGTGTGTGACACGTAAGGTAAAATTAAATCCATCATTTTAATGATTCATCACTGTTTTCTTTGTATGTTCAGAATATTTAGGTATTTGTGTTACTCATGATGTTTCAAACACAGTTCAGCATGTGTTGAGATGCTTTTGGACTTTCTTGTGTTTTGTCCCTTTTGTTTTAGGTGACATTTCCAGTTGAGTGGTCTTTAGATTTTGGTATAGTAAGGTTTCTTTGTGTTTAGTCTTGGCTGTTGAGTGTATTTTCCTTAAATATGCAATTCAGTTCAGTGTTCACAACACATGTCTTCTCAAGACACTTTACATACTGTCAGACTGGTTCAAAGTTTTCTATCTAAGGAAAACCAGCTGTTTGCATTGACTCAAAAGCAATCCCTCAGACCAAGAATGCTTGTAGTGACAGTGAAGAGAAAAAAAATCCCATTTAACAGGAAGAAACCTACAGCAGAACCAGGCTGTGTGAGTGGCCATCTGCTGAGGCCGACTGAGGTTCAAGGAGACAGAAGCAGACATAGAAAAAGAAGCTAAGATAGAAAAGGCAACTGTCAACTAGCTCCAAAGGTGGCCCCATCCAGGAAACACACAGCCGGGAAGAAGAGCTCCGAGCAAGCTCCCATGTCGGAGGATAAAAGAGAGCACATACAGTTAGTCACAGTCAAAGAAAAAGAACTACACTGAAAAACAGACCAAGCCCCGAAATCTATAAACAAAAGCGTTGATGGCAGCAGCACAGCTGATATTTCTCTCCGGGAAGGTGTGACAGCCAAACTGAAACAGACCAGATGAAGCTATGATGATGAGAACAATCAGAGAGAGCTACAAAATTCTTTAGAATGGGACAGTAGAGAGAGAATAAAGCAGAATGATGAAAATAATGCCCTATGTCCTCCAGCAGTCTAAGCCTATAGCAGCATAACTATAGAGATATTCAATCTATTCTAACTATAAGCTTTATCAAAAAGTAATGTTTTAGGTATTGCCTTAAAATTAGACAGAATCTGCCTCACAAACTAAAACTGGTAGTTTGTTCCGCAGGAGATTCTTTATGTGAATTGGACTTGCCTCCCTCCAATGGTACTGTTATGGCCTGTTTACTTTATTCCTACTCTGTTTCCAAGGTTCCTGGTTCCCTGGTTTGCTTATGTGTGTTCCAGCTTCTCTGTGGTTCAGTTGTTCTTAGTTTTAGGACTATTTGTCTCTGTTAATATATCTAACAAAAATCACAAATCCTAAAAAGGTTCTTGACATTTTCTAAAAAAAAAAAAAAAGATATAATACCTTAATAAGGTCCAATTAATTGCTGTATTAGTGAATGAAGATGCAAAATAAAAAAAACTAAAAATTATTATTTTAAAGATGCAATAAATAAATGAACAGTAAATCTTAATGTTTGTATGATGTGCTAAAGGGTACTGCTTTTATTTCTTAGCTCCTTTAGGTTATGTGTCAAACTTTAAGGTGACGTCGTATACCAGTACCTCTATAGCAGTAGAGTGGAGTCCCATTGTTGGAGCAACAGAGTACAAACTTTCCTGGTACACAGGTAAGTCATTTAAATCAGTCCTTTGTTTAACTATTAGTACTCAATAATTTGTATGGTATATTCACATACCTCATGCTGTTTTATACTTCAAGATGATAGCAAACCACAGTTCCAGTATTTGGACCGAAGTGTCCTGTTGCACCAGATTAAGGATCTCAACCCACAGACCATCTACACCATTACCATCTGTGCAGTTTATGGAAACTCAGAAGGACCAGAGATCTCTTTGTCTCAACTAACGGGTAAGAATATTCACTGCAAAAAAAACATGATCAGTTGGTCCAGATATTAGATGCCAACTGTCGCTCATGTAAATGCTCAACATTATGCCAAGTTTCTTTGGATAGCTATTTTTCCCTTAATGGCAGTTTTGAAAACGTTTTTTTATAAACTATCTTATTAGCTACTCTTTAATGTTATATTTTATTTTAAAATATGAATGTATGTTTTTCTATTAGCTGCAGTGTCACAGACGGAGCCAATCCAGCCAGTTAGGGAGTTGAAAGTTGTGGACATTGGACTTAATTCCTTCACCCTGTCTTGGAAGAAAACACCAGGAGTTTCAGGATACAAAGTTTCCTGGATTCCCTTTCTTGGTAAGGGACTGCTTAAAAAAATTAACATGATATACTCTACAAATTAGTATAGTCACCCAATTGCACAACATGAAATCAACATTCTTTTTGTGTTTGAGTTCTTTTTCTGGTCTCTCGTGTCTCATCATGTTAGTGTTTCAACCTGGTAACTCCTCATAGCAGTGTTGTTTAAAACTTTTATCTCCCATACATGCTGAATTCTAATTATTTTCTATACTAGGGGGTAAAGAAGAGTCCCAAGTGGTACCTGCTGCTTCCACTACCTTCACCATGGGCAACCTTCAGGAGAGCTCGGCATATAAGATCCAGGTTTCCCCTGTAGTTGGTAGCAGAGAAGGTAGTCCGGTTCTGGTAACTGCACGAACTTGTGAGTCTTTTATTCCATTTACATTTAGCAGACATTTATTACTAATTTGCATGCAATTGTGCAGATTTTAAAGCTAGAGGAAATTGTGTCAGGAGGGAAAGGGAGAATAAAATAAATAAGACAATCACTAATATTTGGAAATCAATTAGCTTTACATATTTCATCTTAATTAGTTTTGTATACATCTCCTTTAGTGGATCTTGCAAAAGTGGAGGGATTTTCTGCTCTAAACACGACTGAGAGCAGCACAGTTCTGAACTGGACCCGTGTAGCAGGAGTCTCTGGCTATCTTCTCTCTTGGAGGCATATTTCAGGTCAGTGTTGTTACAGAAAAACTGTACTTTTGGATTATTTTAGCATGTCTGGTAAATGTCAGTCAACCCACAAGTTATTTCAATATGAGAGATGATTATTCCTCACCAGTTCTTTTATTGAATGTACTCTGTGTGTTTTAATATAAGAAACATAAGAAAAACATACAAAAAAAAATTGGAGATAAAAAAAAAAAAATTGGATTGGCAGAGCAGCATATAACAACATACTGCTCAGTTCTTGTGGAATAAAATCGCACATTTCTTTTTTACAGTGTTGGAGACAAAAACCGAAACTCTGGGTCCTGCCTTTTCATCCTATAAGATCAGTGACCTGCAGTATGGCAGAACATACATTTTCTCCATCAGGCCTTTGTATGGAGAAGTGGAGGGACCTATAAGCACCGTATATCAGAGAATACGTAAGAATCTGCACTAACACTTGCATCAAGTATCTATGAACTTCTGTGTTTGATTAGACAATCGATTGTATGTTAATATTCAGTATTTGTAGACAGATTTTTCCTATGGATCAAAGGATAAAATCAGTGCTTCGTAGTAACTAGTTACATTTACTCGGTTAGTAATTTTCAGAAGTAGTTTAACAGCATTTTACTTTTAATTGAGTAAAAATATTTTAGAGTATCACTACGTTTAGTTGAGTAACATTTCTAGCTACTCCGTCCAAGTAGCTTCACTTAGTGGAGAAAAAGCTTGTTTTAAACAAATATGCATCACTGAGAGGCACTTTTTTGGGTACCCAAAGCCTATTGGTTAAACGTTAATTTCTACCTGCTGAGTCTACCTTACTATTCGGATTTTAGATGATAATACAGTAAAAATTGTTCTGTTATTTAACCTATATAAATACTTTAAGTATTGATTAAGTTTTATTACTCAAAACAATTTAAATATGTTGTTATGATCATGGGTACTCCCTATACCAACTACTTTTTTACTCTTTCTTGAGTTTTTAAGGGCTACTTTTTACTTTTACTTGATTTAAAATATGATGAAGTTGTGCTTCTTTTACTTTTTGAGTACTCTACCCACCTCTGGATAAAATAGATACAAAAAATAATAAATGTTGCTGTTGCTTAACACAGTGATATTATATATTTAAACAAACAAAAAAAGTACTATGATTATTGATATTCTGAATATGATTATTTTAATAATAATAATTAAAAAAAATCTAATCAAACTGACTCTGGTGGGTATTTGTCATTTGTTCCCTGATTTGTTCCCTGGTCTGGGTTGAAAGTTATTTGCCCTGATAATGGATCTTACGATTAATATAAAGAGATGTTAAAATTGTAGAAAACACTGTCTGAGTGTCTGCAATCCAACTGTAATGTAAACTTGAGTATTTATGGCACAGTTAAAAATAGTACCATCATTTAATGTCAATATTTTCAGCCCCAATGAGATGTTTACTTACTCTTAAAATGAGCTCTTAGTCTTTGTCCACTGTGTAAGAAAATTGTGTAAAAAATTAATAATTCAGAACTTTAATATTTGGATGAATGCTATACACTTGTTTAAAATAACTTTGTGGAAATAAGAGCAAAGGTGAAAGGATGTGAGCCTGTGGGCAGCCAGTGCTTATGATGAGCTACCAGACTGAAAGTCTTTATGCTGACCCTCTGAGGGCGGATGGAAAGAAAATCTCTGATCCAGAACATCAAGACCTTATCAATATTTTAATCCGCCAGCCTTTTCAGAAGATTTGCATTTTCATAGAATTAAAAGCTAAAACCAGTAATAGCAATAAGCATATGCTTCAACAAGCGAAATATTTTTTGGGACCATGTCAAGCAATATAAATTCAGTATCATCAGTACCCTTTTCCCTCTTGTTAAAGATAAGCTCTGTGTGTGCACCTGGAAGCTCTATCTCTCCGGTTCTTTTTCCTGAAAAGAGATCACTCGGGACTCTTTTAACTCTTTTAATAACACTTCATTACTTATATATTCATTACTTATATATATTAAATAACATGACAACAGATTTTGATATAAATTGTAATCCTACTCAGATCAGAGAAGTTGCTTAGAGTTTACAGAAGGTAGCTGCTCACCTCTGGGCTCCCCTCTCAGGAAGTGGCACTGATTAACAGTTAAAGAAGCATTTTATACATCTCCTGTCTGCCACATCATCATATTTTACATCATACACATTTGCAGATGAGTAGACATCCACGGCTTCAGCCTTGTTAAAATATTACTCTTTGTTGTTAGCTGAAGGACACCACTCTCATTCCATTCCCAAATATTTGCCGCATACGGAATGAGGATTATAACTGTATATAGCCGGACCGAGGAACTGTCCTAATTAGATAAACTAGTGGGGAAAAAATCAGTTCTGACACGCAACTGGCAGCTAATATTGAGGTGTAATAAACTCACACATCATCAATGATAATTATCCTAACATTCAAACTGTAAAGGGTACAGTTCCATGGCCACAGTGGTGGTCAAGAGATCAACCAGGACTCTCTCCATGCAATAGTTTCACACAGAATGGAGATTAGAGCAATGGGCCTGAAATCTTCAGGTTTGCTTGCCCCTGTTTTTATTGGTATTGACCTTATTGTGGAGAATTTGGAAAGACATTGGGATGCCTGTGTTGAGTAGGGAATCAAACAATTTTGTAAAATCTCCATGTAGTGGAGGGGCCGAGTCTTTGAGTGGGCGGGCCTTGAGGCCATCTGGGCCAGTGGCCTTGTTTGACTCAAGTTTAGAAAGACATCCTCTGTGATATCTGTGGGTGCTCCTGTCAGGACATTTTTGCCAATTTCCTCACATTGCTGTGTATCTTCCTCTATAGTGAATCTGCAGAAATATTGCTCCAAATCCTATACAAAGCATTGATCAATGCATGGTAGAGGATCAAATTTGTTGTTGCTTTTGCCCATTAGTGTATTCAGACCCGTCCCAAGTTTCTTTTAAGTTGCAGCTAAAATATTTGCTTTCCACTTTGTTTTTATCCTCAGTATTTGCCATTAGTATGTCCTCTCTCAAATGTCTCCTTTTTTCCTGCATTAATCGCACATCACCAAAGCAGAAGGCAACCGTCCTGTCATTAAGAATTAATTGCTTAGAGACCCAAGGTTTGATATTTTGGAATATTTTTACAGTTTTAATTTCTAACACTGTTCTGAAAGAAGCTAATGTAGGATGTGATGGTTTCAGTTGTTTTATCTCCATCCTCCACCCAAAGAAAATGTCAGTTTATTGGATTAAAACAGTCTTGAAGTTGCTCTTTAGTTTTATCAGACCATATATGGATTTGCTCCCAAACTGAGTTTAGTCTTATTTTCTGAAAAAGTAACAAAAGAATATGTATGTCAACACACTCTAAAATAGATTAAGAACAATAAGATGCACTTCATATAGTGTAGATAGAGAGAAGATGTAAAAGAAATTAGACAGCATGTTGCACACAGTGGTGTCAGTCTCCATAACCTTAATAGCCCTCTAGAAATTTGCTTGTGTCATTACGTCTCTTCTCAGGCTTTCAGGCTTTTAACAGATAAAGAGTGAAAAAGATGTGCAAATAATCCATTTTAGAGTCTGACTCTTTTCACTGCCATCCTGGGACTAATTTACTTTTCAGTACTGCACCATCCCCCCCAAAGAGCTGCAAACAGACCTAGGTCTCCTGTCCAGTTTTCTCAAGTTTTTGTCTCCATTTAACGTTAGTTGTTTTATCACCACTTTATAAAGTCACAGCAGTAAAATGACCAACACATGAGCAAACATAATAATAAGATAATAAACATAATGAAGAGGATGTAAATAAGGTACATTCAAACATTGTGATGGCGTAACAAATAATTTGATTTAGAAATTTAATTATCACGACACGCTTCCTAATCCAGTCTAGCTTTCATAATAGGATTATTTTCTCTCCATTCATTACTTGGAGTGTATTTGTTTTTGTTTTTTTCTAGTATCAACCAATCACAGCTCTTATAAATTGGCTCTCCTCCATGCAACAGGGATCATACTTCCTTACTCTGAGAATCTTTATATTGTAAGATGACTTGAAAGCAGTTGTACATGGAGGAAACAACAACAACAACAACACAAATCTTACAGCAAAAAACGCAAAGAGAGACAAACATTCCTTACACCTCTGTCAGACACTGACACAAAGTCATCACAACCAAAGGGGATAACACTAGCTCTTAGGGGGTAGGATGTTTGCATTTAGAAAGCAAAGCCATTTGTATTGTTGGTAGTTAAAGAAGTTTAGCAAGGTAGTTTTTAAGTGATATTAAATTGCTTTCTCCCAAGAGACAACTTAAATAATTGAGATTAATATTATAACTTTTTGTAAAGTACTGCATATTTAATTTTGAATGTGGAGTCTTAATTTAAATTTTGATCTAATTAAATCTTACCCAATATCATTTTCAGTTTCATTCATCTTTTTCGTCTTAATGGTATCTTAGACTATGTAATTAAGCAAGTTTTTAAGCTGAGTACTTTTTAACTAAAATTGTGCATCTTTATATTTTTTAGTGGGGCGGGATGATGTTGTGAAACCAGACCAGTCTGTTCCAGCCACTGTGGCTCCTAACTCCCCTCCCATCACTGCTGACCCCCCAACTGCCTCCACCATTACTCAACCAGCCACCAGAGTCCCTGACCCCCCCACAGCTCCACCGCCTACTAAATCCATAACTAAAAAGCCACTGATTGAGCCCAGCGTCACTGAAGCCAAGAAGGTCACAGTCACGTCCATGAAACTGAGCACAACTGCCACAAAACTAACAGCTCCACCACAGCCAGGTATATTTACAGATGCTTCTTTTAGGTGGTTTAATGTGTACATTTCTATGTGTTAGGCATGTCTTTTCTGTTTCATCAGTGTGTGGGAAGACCAAAGCAGACATAGTGTTTTTGGTGGATGAGTCCTCAAGCATTGGAGTTAATAACTTTGCCAAGATGAAAGACTTCATGTTTCGAGTGGCTACTTACTTCCCTGTTATCGGCTCGCATGGCACACAGGTCTGTTTCTCAGAGAAAACATTCTCTGTCTTTCGCTGACTTTGATGAGATGCTGAAAATGTAGTCTGAGAAGTTTCATCGCTCTAACTGTAAGAATTTTTTGGGGGATATTTAAAATTTTTTTTGCATTTTTTTCATCATGCTGGTAATATTTTGCAAGACTTTTCTCTCGATCTTTAATAAATAACTGTAGCATGATGTTGTGTTCTTTTAACAATTAGACATCTTTCAAAAAACTGACATAATAAAAGTATGCAATTTCTTTTTAATCACAGAAAAGAACAACTTTTATACCAAATATAAATCCCACGATCATCCATATTATATTATATTATTCTTACTACATAAGATAACAAAGCAAATATATTTATGATGTGCTCTTTTCCCCTGTTGTTTTCCCTTCAGATAGCTGTGGTTCACTACAGCGATGAGCCCCGCGTTGAATTCAATTTAAGTGACTTCAAAGACAGAAACTCTTTGCTCAGGGCTATCAGAGGGCTGCGTTACACAGGTGGCAACACCAAAACAGGTTAGCTGAACACACTCAAAGGCGAACTGTGTTTTTTTTCTCTCTTTTTCCTCTACTGGGAAGTATTTCTTTTAAAAGTGATTCATTTAAGCTTAAATGTAACAGCTTAAAACATTTTCTAATGTAGAGAATCAGCATCACCTTATACTGTTATGATGTGGATGTATCTTAAATTTGCTTACACAGTTAGATGGTTTAAATACATTTTATTTGATTTAAAGATAAACTTCGTAAACATCAGAGGTTATTTGCAAAAAAATGTTTTTGTCTTCAGGGAAAGGCATCAGCTATGTCCTACAGGAATTGTTCAAGGAGTCTTTGGGAATGAGGCACGACGTGGCCCATGTTCTGGTTCTGATCACAGATGGCAGGGCCCAGGATGATGTGATGCCACCTTCCAGGATTGCCCGGGCTTTAGGTGAGTTCAGTAACTAATGTAATCCCAGCAAGAATAAAATGATACAGAATCATGCAAAGATGTTGTGGTAAAATATCCTGCAAGCACGAAAACCCACTGCAAATACATAAATGATGCTTGCATACAAACACAGAAAACACATGCAAAGGAAAAATTGTGCAAGAAGCGAAAACAATAACTCCCCCTGTGCTCCAGACCACATGGGGGAACAGGTACAGGTTTTATGTTTGTGGCATGTTTTAAATTTGCATCTTTCTATTTTCAATTTTCTTGAAAAAAATGTATGCTTGCTAGTCTCATTTTAATTTTTGCAAGACTTTTTCAATTTGCTGTGAATTCCTGCATTTGCACAGTGTGTGCACCCATCGGCCATCGTATGAGACTAACTAAACTACTTAGACAAAAAAATCTCTTAATCCTTTGTAAAAAGAAGGTACTTCTTTTGTAATAAACATTTGCTGAAAATGTTGTCTTTAGCTAAATAATTCAATTTCTATCTTTAGCTTTTAGAAAGACAAGACAAAGAGTGACACATTTCACCTTTAATGACATTCTCATTAAAAAGTTTAGGAATCAATTAGATTTATATATTTTTTTATGAATCATTTATAATCCAAATTAGTGCCTTAATGTAAAGTTGACGAATTTCAGAAATATATGTACATATGCATTCAGGGCATTAAACTTAATATTTAAGGGGCCTAATTATTTTTAGGAATGTTTTTACCAGTTTTGTACGTCAAGATTTTGCCAAGTAGCTCAGATTCTGACACATTATATTAAAGACATCAGTGACATCCAATTCTTTACACAAAGCAACTTTAGGTCTGGTTTTTCTTTGATATGATTTAGAGCTGACTGAGGTCCTTGTCCTGTTGGAACTTGAACCACCTCCTCAAACGTAAACTTTCCAAAGGTTTCTTTAAGGATAACCCTGTAGTTAGTCCAATCCACCTTCCCACCAACTGTGATAAGCTTTGCGCTGCTACAGAAAAACATCCCCACAACACAATGTTTCCACCTCAGTGTTTCCCAGCAGGGATGTTCAAGGTGATATGCAGTGTTTATGTTTTGGCAGAAATGTTGCTTCACTTAAAATAGTGTATGTTGTAGCACAATTCTGCTGTTATTTTCTTCTCCCAATTCATCCACAATTCCAGATTTTCAGCATTTATTAACTCTATTTAATGCATATTAAGGGTGACTAACGTGACGTTTGCCATTATGCAAGATCTTACATTTCTGGATGAATGAACAATGCTGTGTGAGCTACTAAATGGTTTTTATATTGCTTGTTTTACAAAATTGCTTCTCAAAACCTTATTCCTAAAATGTCTTTAAATTTCCTTGGTCTTCAGGACTTTTCATTATTTCTTAACAAACCTCCAAAGCCTTCACAAAACAGCTCGGCTATGTCTTTCCAATTGAAATGAGATGAATTTAAGAATTCATCAACTGAGTAAATCCATAACCTACTTTAAGGTTCTCTTATGCCTTAATTTTTTTATTGCAATGTCTATGATCTAATTATGTGGTATTTTGTTTTTATCTGTTACAAAGTACTAATGAATATATTGAGGATTTTTACTATGAGGTGACATTTAAAAAGTTTTGGTTGTTAAAAAACTTGGATTGAGAAGGTTTCACTTCAAACGAATAAAAAAAGAAAAAATTCCTTACCAACAAGTGTCATAGTTTTTTTAAATGCCAGTGAGAAGAAAACATATTACCTTATTTTTTTTTTAAACTTTACATTACATAAGGAGGGCAAAAACAAGACTTGTCTTGATATGTTTTTTTAAACCTTTTATTTTAATTTAATGCATCAAGCAATCAAGTCATGTTTAACTTGCTGAGTTGTTGTAGGTACATTTTATGTTACCTGATGTTTTGATCCATTTCTCCATAGGGGTTAGCATTTTAGCAGTTGGAGTTTCGAATGCAGACATCGAGGAGCTCAACAAAATTGCAGCTCCCAGCAGTTATACAAATATCTTTTACTCGCCCACCTTTGATGACTTCCCCTCCATAGAGAGAGAATTTATCCAGAGCATCTGCAGCGAAGAGCTTCTTTCTGAATTCAAACTAGAGGATGAGGTAAGAAAAGGAAAAAATGCCTCAATAACTCTATTCTTACTGTTAGTGCATAGTGCGCTTTGTAGAATGAGTTTATATTCCCAGACAAAACAAGCAAAGCAGGCTTAAGCCTGCAATTGCAAGTAAAACAAAATACTTTTCCTCTTATGGTTTTGATTCAATGTAATTTTATGCAGAACTCTTTTAGTGCCCACAAAAATGTGCTTTTTCAATTAGTGTAAAGAATAGATTTATTCATCTAGAAGAAGAAACATTCAGTTCATCTTCAAATTCTTAAACAATAGCTCTGCAGGAGCAAGCGCGTCACTGTTTCTTGACTTCATTTTGACGTCAGCGCAGTGGATAGAGAAGATGAATGCAGAAGGGAAACCAATGTCAATAAAGATTGTCCCCAGTGGCATCAGGTTATCATTGTGCTCTTTCCTGTCTTTTCATGCCCAGTTTGCTCAGTTGGATACACCGACCGAAGACCCAGAGGAGCTGAATAAGCCTTTAGATCCCTGCTCCTCACAGTGTGTCAAGGTGTGTACACCTAAACAAATGCAATAATTAAACAATATAACATATCTGTTGAGTTTAAAGCTGATAATCATCTTAATATTATGCTTCAACAGGGCCAGAAAGGGGAAAAGGTGACCTATCTGACACTTGGTTTACATTTTGTAAAATGTTTATAGGTGTTTTTATCTAACTTACATCTATTTTAGGGAGATGGTTTTGGTCTTGGAGGTCTGGTATGATTGACATTTTTATTTGATAGATTTCAGTTAATTAATTTCTGCTCACTTATTTCATCATGTAACTTTTAAAACTGTACTTTTGTTTTTGCAGAGATTCAGGCAAAGTCCTGGACAGTTTGATCCTTTCATATCATCCAAAGGAGAAAGAGGAGAGAAAGTAAGAACAAACACACCTACACATTCATGCATTTGAAAATCTCTGCTACACTGAATGTCTGCAGGCAGCATATTGTAAATTCCATACTTCTGATCCTAATATACAAGCAATCTTTAAATTGCTGGAGCACATCAAATGATACAGTGCCCTCCTCAATTATTGACGCCCCCGTTTAAGATGTGGTCTTTTGCTTCTAAAAATTCTCCTGTTTTTTAAACAACATAGAACCCAAATATAAAAAGGAGAAAAATTCAACCTTTTATTTAAATATATTACTCTGGTGGCAACAATAAAATAGCACATTTAGAAAAAAAAAAAAAGGTGACAGCATGTGCCCCACAATTATTGACACCCCCAGCAATTCTGCCAAAAAATTTAATTGATTTCCTTTAACTGTGTTTTTTTCTGTAGTTGCTAAAGTTCGTCAAGGTATCTAGGAACTTTTAATTATTAATTCATGACTTCCTGTTTCCCTGGGGTATAAATATGACATGAGACACTTTCCTAATTCTCTAACCCATGGCAAAGACACAAGGGCACATTATTCAAGTAAGGTAGATGTGAGTTGGCCCTCATAAGTCAGGCAATGGCTACAAGAAAATAGCCACTCCCCTCAACTTGCCCGTATCTACAGTCAGAGAAATCATTAAGAAACCACTGGAATAGTAACAAACAAGGCTGGAAGAGTTCCAGATAAACTTGCCATGATGCACAGTAAGGAGGATGGTAAGAGAAGTAAAAACAAGTCCTAAGCTTACTGTCACAGAATTGCATCAAAGAGTGGAATCTTGGGGTCACAAAAATCCAAAACAAACATCAGACGCTCTCTACATACCGACACGCTGTTTGGGAGGCATGCAAGGAAAAAGCCTTTTATCAACAACTCTCACAAAAGTAAATGTCTGGAATTTGCAAAGCAGCACTGGCACCTTAACTGGGATTGTTTGCTTTTTGTAACAAACAGTCAAAGTGGGTCTGGCATAAAACAGAGGGCGAGAATGCTGAAAAGCACCTCACTGTGAAGTACGGTGGAGGAACTGTGATGATGTGGGCCTTTTTCTCTTCCAAAGGCCCTGGAAACCTTATTAGGGTGCATGGCATTATGAACGCTTTCAAATACCAGGACATTCTATATAAAAAACATGATGGTCTGTGCCAGAAAGCTGAAGATGGGTCATCATTGGGTCTTTCAGCAGTATAATGATCCAAAACATGTGGCAAATCTACACAAAAATGGTTGAGCAGTCACAAACTCAAGGTCCTCCCATGGCCAACTCAGTCCCCAAACCTCAACCCAATCCAAATAACTGTGTGGTGAGCTAAAGTGAGGACCCAGGACACTGGATGATCTAGAAAGATTGTGTGAAGAAGAATAGTCAAAGATCCCTGGCTCTGTGTTCTTCAATCTTGTGAAAGGTTATAGGAGGAGAGTAAGCACTGTCTTGTTGGCAAAAGGGGTTGCACAAAGAGTAACATCAGGGGTGCCAATAATTGTGGGACACAGGATTTAGCTTTTTTTCTAAATGTGTGATTTTTATTTTTTATTTTTACCACTTGAATAAAAGGTTGGATTTTTTTTTTTTTTTTTTTAAAAGGAGAATTTTTAGAACTCATCAACCACATCTTAAATAGGGGTGCGAATAATTGTGGAGGGCACAGTATGCGTACATTTAAAAAACAAACAAACTATTATTTGGGGTTGAGGACAATTTGCCTTTGTATATGTGGCACTTAATTATTCCCCTCCACAAACTGGGAGTAAGAATTCTTACATGTAACAAAACATTCATTAACATTGAAAATTAACCAACTTCTAAGCTGCTCTGAGTATTTGATGTTGAGCATATTAGGTGTTAATTCACCTAAAATATTACAATTATTAAAGTTCTTAGTATGTTAAGGGAATGTGGCATTGGTTTAAAAATGTAAGTTCTTTATTTATAGGGCTCTCCTGGAACAGATGGTATCCCTGGGTTACCAGGGCGACCGGGAAGGACTGGACCACCTGGTTCTGCTGGTCAGCGGGTAACTAAGTTCAAAAATATTTTGGAAAAAAGTATATAGCATGTATAATGTTTATAGGAGTAACTATAATGAAAATAAAGTTATTTATTTTTTTTTTTTTGCTTCTTTTTCAGGGCCTTCCAGGTGTCCCAGGGGATATGGTGAGATTGATCAAAGTTTTGAAACATCTCAATACTAACATTTTAAACTCGAATTAGTTTAATTATTTTACTGAAATCGTCTTTCATCTGGATGCCACAAACAATTTAACAACTGTAGGTCTTTTGTCACTAAAACCATGTGGGTTAACAAAAATGCTGTCACGGAATTTTTTGGTTAAGCAATATATAACATAATGGCACACAATAGACAAATCAAAAAGAGATATGCATTTAGAACTGGTGTATGATCAATTATCAGATTCCTTTTTTTTAATGACAAATTATCAACCTAAATTCTCGATGCCTTTTAGATTTTCTTTTTTTTTTTCTCCCAAAACAGCAGAATGTTTCTGACAGCCTTAATAAAGAGCAAGATATAGTTACTTGTTTTTGATGGAAGTAATCCCAGATTGATGATGTATAGAACCAAACAAGAGTGATACATACAGTATGTTGATGTGACTGCAAAATGCAATGTGTGCTGGAAAGCAAATCCTCTACATTCCCTTAGACACAGTCTCAATGTCAAACATGGTGGTCGGAGCTTTCTTTGGGATATCCATCTTTAGCAAAAACATGAAATACTTTCAAATTGATTTTAAGATGAGGCTATAGTTAAGGCAAGGAAAGTTTATTTTAATAGCACAATTCAGTACTAAGACAGCTCAAAGTGCTTTGCATGACTTAAACATAAAAAAGATGCAAAATAAAAGAATAAAAGCAAGAAAAGATTAAAAAAAAAAGCATGATAAAAGCAGGTAGTAAAGCAAATAAAACTGTTTTACTAAAACTTTGTTAGACTAATGATACCTCAGTTAGTTTAACTTCAACAAAGGCAGTTCTACACAAATGATTTTTAAACTGTTTTATACAGTCTTCTGGATTTTTGTTCCAGATAAGTGGAGCACAGGAACTAAATCCTGCTTCTCCATATTTGGTTCTAGTTCGTGGTGAACAGAGTAGGCTTGAACTAGAAGACCTTAGTGGTCTGGGAGGTTGATACACTGACAACAAATCTGTTATGTATTGAGATGCTGGAGAATCCAGTGATTTATGGACTAACAGAAGAATTTTAAATTCTATTCTCCGAGCTACTGAGAGTCAGTGTAAATGCTTTAGAACCAGGTTGATATGCTCTACTTTCTTAGTTCTAGTGAGGACGCTTTTGTTAATTTGGAGAAAATGATGGCCTGTGGGATATTGATCTGTTTTATGATTCTAGCTAATGATCTGATGGGGTAATTGTCAGGTGGTGACATTATAAAATAAAGCTGCTTGTCTTCTGGATAGTTACAGTAGGGTTACTGATCTTCTATAATTTGAGCTAAGGGGAACCTGTAGATATTGAATAGGAGGGGGCCCAGAATAGATTCTTAATGAACCCTGTAGTGTAATCCTGAGAAATAATCTCTTCAAGATTATAAAACATTTGAGGATGGGATGGATTTTCACTCTCAAGGACAACAACCATAAACATATGTCTAAAATGATAGTTTTAATAGTTTAATAGTTTTTATTGAGATGGATTCATCTGTTGGAAAGAAAGAATAACCAGTCCAACCGAAATCCAAATGAGGATCTGTAGGGATACCTGAAAGTTGAAGTGCAGAGATACTCCAGAAAACAGTAGTATCTCTGTGGTTATAGTTAATGGTGCTTTCACATAGTATTCATTGAGGGGACAATATATCTACACACTCTCAGCCTTTTATTTACAAAGGTGTTGAAAAAATTTATTGCTTTTATGGTCAATCTGGATCAGATAATGTAGGTTTAAAGAAATTCTTAAGGTTGCAAAAGCCTAAATGTATTTGCTTTAGATCTCCAGTATATTAATACTTTTTTAACATGTCAAATTACAGTTTAGCTGAGCATTATAATCGCATCACAGTGTTTTACCTGTGTTCATGGTAGGGTCCCCCTGGCCTCCCTGGCTCAAAGGGACAGAGGGGAGAGAGGGTAAGTCCCGTCTTGAAAACATTTTCATGATTTGATTTGCTACATTTGACTTCTTGGATTAAGGCCATAAGAGCAGTTGCAGCTAAATGATACATATTAAAGTTATTTAATGTAGAAAATTCTTCTTTATTTTTGTTCCATTAAAGGGAGAGCCTGGTTATGTTATAGCTGGAACAGATTCAAATTATGTACCTGGAAGAAAAGGAGAACCCGGATCTTCGGTAAGTTGCATAGAAAGTTGATTTTGTTTTTTAATAGGGTGATGGTGAGCAGTTCAAACCAATATAATTGAATTCTTTTTAGGGCCCGCAGGGACCACCTGGGGTACCAGGAGCAAATGGATCCCCTGGCCTCCCTGGCCAACCAGGCCCACCAGGATCACCAGGAATATCTGTGAAAGTACATATTTATTATTTCTATTTTGCATAATAAACAGCTTTTTTAGGAAAACTACAGATGTTTTGATGCTAAGCTGCTTTTAATTGTGTGCTTTGAAGGGAGATCCTGGAGTGCCGGGAGCCAAAGTAAGCATGAAGCCTGTCTTGTGTTTCCTTGTTTCAAATAGCTTGCTGGTGCTTTTACTTTAATTTCACTTTGCTGGTTTTGTTAGATAATATGCTGGCCTTCTTTTTATATGAGATCACATTGTCATTAATTTTTGAAAGGGTTTGCGGGGGAAGCAAGGCATTAAAGGAGACAAAGGAGAGCCGGGAATAGATGTAAGCTCATAATTGTTAAGGTTTTTAGTGGAAAAAGATGTTGTCCAGAATATTTACATTTTAGATAAAGAAACTTTTCATACTCTGGTTTTTAAGAGTGTTTTCTTTTTGATATAACCTTTGCAAACTACCTCAGGGTATTGCAGGTCTTCCTGGTCCCATTGGTATAGATGGCGTACCAGGATTACAAGGTCAGAAAGGAGAAAAGGTAAAAGTAGCAATTACAGCTTTTATACTTGTCAATGTCTAAATCTAAGACTTACAGATTAAATACAGGTGCTGGTCATAAAATTAGAATATCATGAAAAAGTAGATTGATTTCAGTAATTCCATTTAAAAAGTGAAACTTGTATATTATATTCATACATTACATACAAACTCATATATTTCAGATGTTTATTTTGTTTAATTTTGATGATTACAAATGACAACAAATGAAAATCTCAAATTCATCATATCAGAAAATTAGAATATTACTGAAGACCAATAAAAACAAAGGATTTATAGAAATTTTGGCCAACTGAAAAGTATGAACATGAAAAGTATGAGCATGTACAGCACTCAGTATTTAGTTGGGCCTCCTTTGGCCTGTATTACTGCAGCAATGCGGCGTGGCATGGAGTCGATCAGTCTGTGGCACTGCTCAGGTGTTATGATAGCCCAGGTTGCTCTAATAGTGGCTTTTAGCTCTTCTGAATTGTTGGGTCTGGTGTATTGCATCTTCTTCTTCACAATACCCCATAGATTTTCTATGGGGTTAAGGTCAGGAGAGTTTGCTGGCCAATTAAGAACAGGGATACCATGGTCCTTCAACCAGGTACTGGTAGCTTTGGCACTGTGTGCAGGTGCCAAGTCCTGTTGGAAAATGAAATCTGCATCTCCAAAAAGTTGGTCAGCTGCAGGAAGCATGAAGTGCTCTAAAACTTCCTGGTATGTGGCTGCGTTGACCCTGGACCTCAGAAAACACAATGGACCAACACCAGCAGATGACATGGCACCCCAAACCATCACTGACTGTGGAAACTTTACACTGGACTTCAAGCAACGTGGATGAAGTGCCTCTCTTCTTTTCCTCCAGACTCTGGGACCTTGATTTCCAAAGGAAATGCAAAATTTACTTTCATCAGAGAACATGACTTTGGACCACTCACCAGCAGTCCAGTCCTGTTTCTCTTTAGACGCTTCTGACGCTGTCTGTGGTTCAAGAGTGGCTTGACACAAGGAATGCGACAGCAGAAACCCATGTCTTTCATACGTCTGTGTGTGGTGGTTCTTGAAGCACTCACTCCAGCTGCAGTCCACTCTTTGTGAATCTCCCCCACATTTTTGAATGGGTTTTGTTTCACAATCCTCTCCAGGGTGCGGTTATCTCTCTTGCTTGTACACTTTTTTCGACCACATCTTTTCCTTCCCTTCGCCTCTCTATTAATGTGCTTGGACACTGAGCTCTGTGAACAGCCAGCCTCTTTAGCGATGACCTTTTGTGTCTTGCCCTCCTTGTGCAAGGTGTCGATGGTCGTCTTTTGGACAACTGTCAAGTCAGCAGTCTTCCCCATGATTGTGTAGCCTATAGAACTAGACTGAAAGACCATTTAAAGGCTTTTGCAGGTGGTTTGAGTTAATTAGCTGATTAGAGTGTGGCACCAGGGGCCATCAATTTTGAACCTTTTCACAATATTCTAATTTTCTGATATGATGAATTTGAGATTTTCATTTGTTGTCATTTGTAATCATCAAAATTAAACAAAATAAACATCTGAAATATATGAGTTTGTATGTAATGTATGAATATAATATACAAGTTTCACTTTTTAAATGGAATTACTGAAATCAATCTACTTTTTCATGATATTCTAATTTTATGACCAGCACCTGTATATTATGGAAATATCTTCTTCAGGGTGAAGATGGGCTTGGTATACAAGGAGTTCAAGGTCCTCCAGGAGAGAAAGGAGAGAAGGTCAGTAGAGCTTTGAGCTTTGTGGTAGATTCGGCAATAGAGAACAGTGGAATATTGGTTTTAAAAGCTTTTGAGATTATTAGATTAGTCAGAACACCCGTTTTGATAAATTTGACCAAATAACAGAAGTAATATTAAAGGTTCTAAAGGATTTTTGTTTAATTTACAGGGAAATATGGGCCTTACAGGAACAGATGGAACAAAGGTACAAAACATGGATGTAAAGAATGCTAAAATGTTATACATTTTATAGCCATTTCAATGCAAAATAATGTTCGAATATAATTTGATCTGTAAGGGTGACCGTGGAGACCAAGGCATCCCAGGACTAGGTGGACCCCGGGTTTGTAGTTACTTTCTATCTTCAGCTGATTTCATGCAACAACTTTTGTTTGTTTTACCCTGCAGGGTATAAGAATTAAATGTACCTGAAATATTCACTCTGAGTGACTCATTTTCACTCACAGGGAAAAAAGGGATTGAAAGGAGAGAAAGGGGACAAGGTGAGTTCATCTCTATTTGTAGTGCATTCTCTATTAATTAGAATTAAAACTCTCTCTTTAAGTAATGCTAAAATAAATATTTTTTCACAGTGATACATATGGATAATCATGTTGGGTGTAGGTAAATGTAAACTAATTGAATCCTTGTCTATTCTTTTAGGGAGAGCAGGGAGAAAAGGGATCTGATGGACCTCAAGGACCTCATGTTAGTGAATTTAATTTTGTTATTTTTTCCAAATAGACACCACATAACAATACTTACCGCCTTCATTGGGACATTGTAAAAAGAATCAACCTTTTAGTTAGAAAAGGGGACCTGTTTCTGGATAGTAGATAGACTTTGTTCTCAGGCAACAACTTTGAAACCTAATGGTTTGTGAAACATGTTGTAGCACCAAATTCAACACATTTATATGTTTATTCAACTTTTGAAGGGACTAACTGGGCCGATGGGTTTAAAAGGAGACGAAGGACCAAGAGGAGCCCCAGGAGATCCTGCCAAGGGTGTAAGAACACATAAACATTAACTTAAACAGCACAAATAAAACACATCAGGCTAACTTTTTCTTTTTCTTTCTACACAACTGGCAGATAATTGGGCCAACTGGAAAAAAGGGTGCCAGGGTGAGCCGGTTTTTGCTTTTGTCTTTCTCAGCTATCTTTGTTAACTAGAGCACAGAGATTGTGCTACAGTACACTCTACTTGCAGTTCTACCAGACAAGTGTGGAGATTGTTGGAAAACCCAAAGGGTTTTAAAAGAAACACTGAAAATAACCAACTTAAGTAAAGCAATAGTAGCTCAAGAATTAGCTGGCCTAAATTCAACATTTTGGTACTAATGTAGAGATAATAAAAATATTTTTGCAGTGGAACCACTACCACAGCTTTTACCATGTCTAATCTATTTGTACTTAAATAAAAAAAATCACCTCAAGTATTTGATTAAAACCATAAATTGTGTATATCAACACATTTACCATAAATGCATCAGATTTGGACCAAATCATTTGAAGCATATATGATCAACATTGGTTTTAGTAGTTAATTGTGCCAGGCAAAGCTGTTATTTAGGCATAATTTGGTCAAATGTGTTATTCAGTTCATAAATGATATCTATTAAAATAAAAGCATAGATTTCCAAATCTATGCTTTTCTCTGTCAGACCCTTTAGTCACCACATTTACGCCGTATATCATCAGCTATGTTTGGAGCAGTTTATGAAGCAGACTGTGTGTAAAACATGGAAGATATAAAAGTGACTACTGCTTTTATAACCTTTGTTAAATAAGAAATTGTGATGCCTGACAACCTCCAAAAAAGACTGCTTAATACTTGTCTTTACTTGTGCATTCTCATGTGCACATGTGCTCGTGAAAGTTCATCTGCCTCAGCACTGGTCCAATTCATGATCAACACAAGACCAAAAACAAAGTCCCCAAATGTTGCTCTCACCCCTCCCTCTTTATGGAGCATCCATCAGAGCAGACTTGTGTGTTCTCTAGATTAACAGCTGTCCCAGCAGCAGTAGCTTCAAGGGGAGCTCAGGGTTTTAAGTTAAAAGTTCAATAGTCTGTTGCCGTTGTTCTGTAGAAGTACGTGTTGAGATCATTTGAAGTGATCCATTTACTGATTTAATGCGAGATTTTGAAAAAGTTTCAATGTTGAGAGGACCGTGGCAACCAGTGGAGCTCTTTGTCTCGTTGATCATTGTCTTGTTGGAAGTTAAATCTCCATCCCTGTTTCAGATCTTTTGCAGACTCCAACAGGTTCTCTTCCAGAATGCTCCTGTATTTGGCTCCATCCATCTTCACAACAATTTAAACCATCTTACCTGTCCCTGTTGAAGAAAAACAGAACCAAACCATTATACTGCTACTTGCTTTTATGCCAAACTTAACGTTTTGCATTGTTGTCAAAAAGTTCAATTTTAGTTTGATATGACCAGAGCACCTTCTGTTTGCTTTGTCTCCCAGGCGGCTTTTGACAAACTTTAAACAAGACTTTTTATGGATACCTTTCAGAAATGTCTGTCTTCCATAAAGGCCAGATTTGTGCAGTATACGACTGATTGTTGTCCTGTGGACAGATTCTCTCATCTCAGCAGTTCATCCACAGTGATCATGGGCCTCTTGGCTGCATCTCTGATCAGCCTTCTCCTTGTTTTAGCTGAAGGTTTAGAGGGGCGGCCTGGTCTTAGTAGATTTGCAGTGGTCTGACACTTCTCCAATTTTAATTTTACTGCTTGCACAGTGCTCCTTGGGATGTTTAAAGCTTGGGAAATATTTGTGTGGTCAAATCCGGCTTTAAACTTCTCAACAAAAGTATTTTGGACCCTCCTGGTGTGATTCTTGTTCTTCACGATGTTCTCTGTGCTTTAAACGGACCTCTGACACTTTCACAGAGCAGGTGCATTTATACAGAGAGTTGATTTCACACAGTTGGATTATGTCTATCATCAGTCATACAGGTCAACATTGGATCATTCAGAGATCCTCAATGAACTTCTGGAGAGAGATTGTTCCACTTTCAGTGGAGAGTTTGTTTTATTTTTGTCTTGTCTGATGTATGTTACTACTGTATTACAAAGCATTCTAAAAGTCATGAAATGCTTTTAAAAAGGATAATAGGGATCCAATCAGTAACCAGTAGTGCTGACATTAATCAATTGCAGAGTATTATTTGGTTTAGAGACAAAAATATTTAATGTCCATTCCAATAAACGAAGGGTATTGGGGAAACTCACCCCGTCCATCATGCATAACAGGAAATATTGCATTCTCATGACAACCAGGAAGACTTTTTTTGTAATCTGCTGAGAACATTTATGCTTTGTCATACATGCCATCAATTTCAGATGCATTTGGGCTTTTGCTTGGTGTTTCTGAAGATGTTTCAACAGCTACCCGCTCTCTCAATCATGTCTGCTTGCACCAGAGTGGTTTGAAGGGCTGGTATTTTTAAGCTGCATGTTGGTCTGTCCTCTTAAGCAGATGTCAAATGCAAATTAAAGAGCCACCTGTTGTCCTCCTGGGTTGTTTGTTGTGTATGGGATGTGTTTGAATCATGAGTCTGCTGATGTCAATTCCTAAGAAGTTTTTCCTTCACTGAATTGTAGATGCTTGTAAGATGAAACATTATAAATGTTTGTTGTGACTCGGATGACAGAATTCACTGAGGCTCAGGTAGATTGTTTAAAAGAAAAAGAGGAAAAAAAATCAATTTTGTGTCTCAAAAAACTATAATACACCTTACGGTGATACTTGGATACATCATCAGTGATTAACACAGGGTTTTTCGGTCTTTAATAATCAGACAACTTGATCCGGGCGACCCAGCCTCGGGCGATCACTCCCCGGCTTGTGTCCAAGTAGCGCACCATGGATCCCCACTATGGATCCAAAGCCAACGCAAGGCCTTTCCTGTGGCCTCAAGCATGTTATGCTGCCTTCCTCAACTGCAGTCCCCTAACACCAAGGAGATGAACACTCTCTGGAGTTAATGTCCTGCGAAACCTCTGCACCCGATTCCGACAGGTTCGCAGTGGGCCTTCCAGCCATTGCTCTGGCATTCTGTGGTGAGCTCAGAGTTTTGTCTCTCTTGTGTTCATTAGCCTCCTCAATCCAGTCCTCCCATGGGACAGTCAGGTCCTGTAGGACCACATGCTTGGTGATCTCTGATGTTAACACCATATCTGGATGGAGTGAAGCGGTAGCTATGTTTACTGGAAACTTGAGTTGCCGTCCCAGATCAACTTGAAGCTGCCAGTCATGAGCAGTAGTGAGGAGCCCTCCTGAGGAATTGGGCTGGTGGTTTGCCTTCAGCCCTGCTCTAACAAAGGTGATTGACTGTGTGGAATGATATTCGCATTCAGAGCTGTAACCAGCTGGTTTGTGCCATTCTCCTCTGCAGAGTAAAATAAAACCTTTTCTTCCTTGGATATCAACTCTCAGTGCTCATTTTTTACTCCACAACTGCTTCGGAGAAACCTGGGTCTTGCTGTTCTGTATCACTGTGCTGATTGAGTCCACCAAGGATTTTACAACTTTGTCATGGCGCCAACGATACCGCACCTCTCCTAAGGCCTTTGGGCAGTAGCTAATAATGTGCTCCATGGTGCCCCTTCCCTGGCATAGTTTACACTCAGGACTATCTGCCAGGCCCCAAGGTGTGAAGGTTGGTTGGACTTGGGAGAATGTCATAGACAGATTGCATGAGGAACTTTGTGCGAAGAAGTTCAGCACTCCAGAGCTCTGCCCATGTGCACTTGTCAACGTGCTTCCACCTAGTCCATGCCCCTTGCTTGGATATGCCAACTATCTTGATCTGACGTTCTTCCCACCTCTGCATGGATCTCTTCTTGAACCAGTTGGCCCTTTTCCTTTCAGCTGGCATGGTCGTAGCATTGCTTGGAAAAGCTGCCCAGGCTTGCCCTCCCCACTGCGTCGTCTTTGACCAAGGTTTTATGCCTCTAAAATCTTGGAAAACTCAATACAGTCATAGTAAGTTAGAGTAGGTGTTCAAATAAGGTATGTCTTTATCATTTAAAGAGCCTTTGAATGTAAAAAAAACTTTAAGCTGATATTAAACACAGTTTTTCATTAAGCCCACATTTTCTTTATTACATCTTTATCTTAAAATTTCCATTCCTCAGTGTTGTGTTTAGATTAACTGTAAATAGAAATGGCACTCATTAGGGCTTGAAAACACCCGTCTGTGTGTAATGAATTTATCTCTTACCAACCAAAATAACAGAATTTTACTTTCCAATAGTATTCTAATTTCATTGAAAATGGGAAAATATGTGTCAAAAGTTGGTATTTTTTTTTAGCCCAGTGTTGCTAAAAAAAAAAAAAGAAAAGAAAAAAAAAGAAATACTTAAGCTAAATGTGTTTTTAAGTTGACCATATTTATTTGTGTTATATATTATAACTTGTTGAAGCTACATCTCTCAGCTTTGGGGAAGTGATGCTTTTGATGTTTTGTTACATGAAAACATTGTTAATTAATTATTCGGGGTATTCTTGCTCACTCACTCAGCCCTCTGGGTCCGCTTATCAAACACAATTAAGATTTCTCTCATTAACTTTTGCAGTTGGTTTCTGAATGCTTCGTTAAAGGGGACCTTTTTAATCTCAGTCCAGGGGGTATCATTTAGAGTGGAAAAAAACTTTGTCCAGACTCATGATGACTGCCTGTGTCCACGTTGTCTATGTGAAAATGTAATTTCTTCCAGGGAGATGTCGGCCCGGTTGGACCCACGGGTCCTCAGGGAATCAAAGGAGACAGAGGAGATAAAGGACAAAAGGTTAAAAGAGAGAAAAAATTGTTTTTGCCTAAATCGTTTTACTTGTGATTAGAGAAACTGTAAGCATACTGTTGCTGTTTGCTTTGGTAAATGCAGGGAAGTCCTGGTTTTGGGATACCAGGTTTGCCTGGACAAAAGGGGATAAATGGTGAGAGGGTGAGTCAATGACAGTTTTTTTTTGGTCATCTAGTAAATATGAAAGATTAAGAAATTTTAACTGAGTCTAAATATTTTGTTACTAGGGAAATGTTGGACTATCAGGAAAACCAGGGCCAAAGGTGAGTGAAATTAAAGAGTATTTTTGGAGATATTAAATCTCACTAGATTGCATGTCTAGTGTATAAAACTATTTGTTTTTATTATTTTTATTTTTTTTGGGGGGGGGGGGGGTCTGTATTAAGAATTTGACCTAAATTCCAAGTGACTTCTGCAAAAAACATTAGCTTTAAAATAAGTAACAAATAGGAAGAATTGATTAAATTAAGATTAACAAATGTCAACATTTTCACATTGAAGTGGTAGCAATTTGCAAAAGATCATTAGCTTCAGTTAAGCAAAACAAAGTCTTTTTGTTTTATTTCTACTTTTCCACCAGCTTTTATTGAGGAAAATTAATCAGGGAGACATGCACCTTTGTGAAATGATATCAACAATATCAACAGCTGCATAATATTCAAAAGATACAAGTTTGTGTTTTTAATTTCCGAACAAAAATATACTTTTTGCAAAGCATTCAAATGAATTACAAAAGAAACCTAAGGATTTTAATCATTTCGGCAAAAACAAACTTACTTTTAGAATTTTATCACTGCTTGAGTAAAGGTTTTCTGCAGAAAAGCTCATGCAAACAATTTAATCAGTTACAGTAGTTTACTTCTTCCACTGACAAGTATATTATGGTAGTTCCCTCATCTACTTTCAGGCATCATTTGCATTATGAAATGGGCACTATCATAGCAGATAATGACTCATTATTGGGCTTGTGGGGTTCCTCTGCATGTTTTTCTAGGTATTTTCCAGGTGGAAGGTTTCTTCTCAGGCTTCCCTGAGTAACCTCATTCCCCATCACAGCAGGCAACAGATTTTAGCAAAAATGCTTTAAAGCGAACTGTGAACTACTTACCTGTCACCACAGGCAGACAAAGTAATTTGAAATCTAGTATTTAAAGCAAATTATTTAGACACAGCATTATCTTTTCAACCTGTAAAATTCTTGAGGTTCATTCTAATGTTTAAATGTTTTTTAGGGCAGGGATGGTGCAAAAGGCGAAAAGGGGACTGTTGGCTTACCTGGAAATCCTGGAGACCCAGGATTAAGAGGTAAAGATGTAAGTAAGTCCTGTGTGGATAAATAGCAATTAAAATTAGTTATTGGTGTAATGCAGTTTTATGATGCATTTTTATGATGTAGGAATCTTTAAAATGATGATAATTACTATTTCGGTCCAAAACACAACAAACTATAGTGCCATGAAACCCAAGGCAAAGTAAAAGTGCAGCAAAAGTATTTAAACTGTGTTGTCATTTTGCATTTATCTATAATTCCTTGTTCTTGCAATTAATTGTATCTGAGAGTTATAATGTTAATGAGGCTGTATAAAACCATCTTGTACTTGTCCGATACTTATTTATGCAATAAGAATAGATTTCTTCCAATGCACCCTCTCAATAAAATCCCAAAAATTTAAATGGTGCATGCTTTTTGCACTACACTGCATTTCTAGCCAATTTTGCATTAAATCATAAGTAAAGAATGTCCAATAAAGCATAAGTAAAGTTCCATCAATCAAACCTTTTCATTGAAGTGAAGGTGGACTTCTTATTTCTGTAGCCAAGTACAGTATGCCATGGAATAATATTAATTCTTACTTGTCCACAAAGGGAGCATCTGGACTTAAGGGAGAACCAGGGATGAAGGTATGATCAGCCTTACTACATAATAATCGTGTTTAATTTGAGCAAGATTTTACCACCTAACCCTAATTCTGAGGTCATAGAGTTTTCTATATTAAAAATGTGTCTTCAATTAGCCCATGCCTGAAAAATGCCTGTTTAAAGTTTATCTTATTGTGCATTTTGCAGGTGAACCAGGGTCAACAGGAGAGCCTGGTGAAAGAGGAATTAGGGTATGTATATATATAAATATATAGAGAGCGAGAAAGAGATATTTGAAGATGTTTTTTTACTTGAACCTGGAATAAAATGGCAAAAGCAGCACATACATTTTAATAAAATAAAGCATACAGACATTTGAAAAGCAAACAGTCAGTCACCATTATCCCGAAAACAATTTAAGAACAACTGGTATCAAAAGGATCAATGAGTAAAATTAATATAATATTTAAATCGATCAGTTTGTATAAATTACTTGAGATTTCTAATATAAAACCTTCTTTTTTTCCAAACTTATTCACATAATTTGGTTTTCCTACTTCATAGCTTCAGTTATGAAACATTAGTTTACTTTGCATTGCTTTTAAACCTGTAGAAAAATTAATACTTTGTCACTCTTTTGTTGACCAGGGTCCACTGGGGTTACCGGGGCGACCAGGTGACCCTGGAGAAAAAGGCGAACCTGGTGTTCCTGTAAGTGATGGTATTTGATGGTCGCTGCTCTCCATGATTCATTATAGTTAGCTAATTATTCCCCCTCCCTTTATTTTTTGAAGGGTGTTGATGGAAAGAAAGGTGACAAAGGAGAGACGGTATGTTTGCACACACTCTCCCCTCCTCCCTTTTATTGATGATGCTGTTTATTGCTTTTCCTTCTGGCTGCTTTCTGATCATTCTTCTGTGGCACTCACCCTTTAAATGCTACACAACCTTTTATCCTCTTGTAAAGATATGATTCCTGTTTTGATATGATTCTAATTAACTTGGCCTTTTGTGTGAGTCACCCTTGGGAGCTCAGTCTAATTTTCAGCTGCGTTACAAACACTACATGTTTTGTGTAACATCTTAGATTTTTAACTGTTGCATTGTTCACATTCTTTTGCTCCTGCTGGGATTGGAACAAAGGGGAAACCTGGACCTCCGGGAACACAAGTAAACAAATCAGCATTACTATTTTAATATTTTCATCATTTAAAACCTGAGGTTTTACAATATTTGTTCAAATTAACTTTATGTTCTTTAGAATATTTGAAATTTGTTGTTCTGTTTATCACCAGATTGTGGCTGACAACAACATTCTGACCAGAGTCATCAAGGTCAGTAGAAAATAAATAACTTACAGCATCGTTAGTCGTAACTTAATCATTTGTGATTAAATGACAACTACACCTTTTCTTTGTTCTCTTTATGTCATCAGGGTGACCCTGGAGAACCGGGTCAGCCTGGCTTGAGAGGAGAAGCAGGTTTACCTGGACCAAGGGTAAGGATTCTTGTCCTTTTAGATAAGTGTTAACTACATAAAAAAATATTTTCAAACAAAGATCAAGGGCGAAAAGTGAAAGCTCATAATAGATGGTTTATATTTGTTGTGGTAAACATGTTCATCAAAATGCTGGTGAAGATTCTCGGTCATCCAGGTCATAGTCATTCCAAAACAGTTAAAAAACAAAACACTGAACTTTGTTTTCCAAGTTTGAAGACGTTTTGCCTCCCATCAACGGAGTTTTTCCATTTAAAATGTCAGAATTAGCATTGAGTTCCAAGCTTTATAGAGGGGCCCATCAAAGCCTTGTTTTGGCTCAGAAAACATTCACACTCAACTGGAAGAACAGATCCGCCCCTTAGGAATGGGAAATCTTTGTTAGCCTGCAATACCCAATACTGGTCTGTGCCTCTGAATGTTCATCAAAAACTAGTGATTCCTCTCTATAATAATGTTTAACTCTTTAATGCAGCCTTGAGTTGCAACTCAGAGGCTAACTTGTCTTCCAGCAGGAAAGCACAAAACAATTTTTTAGTATTTTTCTACATCATCCAACTTGCTATACAAAGCTATTGTTTGTCAATGAATTTTGATAAAAGTAATGTATACTCACCAGTATACTTGCAATAATGAGTCATGATCAATTATTTGAGACAAATGCAAATCCCTCAGACTTTATGGATACTAAATAAAAGTGGAACCACCATAATATCTGCGAAACACAAACAAATAATAGTACTTAGAGCTATACTGAATTTCATTGAACTTTATTGATCTCTAACTGGAAAAATTCACCTCTGCATTTAATCCATTTTCTTGGGGATCAGTGGGCTGCCATTGTGCGGCACCCGGGCAGCAGTGTGGGGTTAAGTGTCTTTCTCAGGGACCCAGACCCAGAGCCTGAGTCGGGCTTGAACTTAGAACCTCCAGCAACCAGGCGCAATGCCTACACAAGCTATATGATAGTACGTATAGACACCAAGCACTAAAACTTTCCAGTAATGTTCAGTGACACTAATCTGTAAAAAGTTTAAAGGTTTAAACGTTTACAATAATTACAATACAAGATGACAGAAAGCTATGAAATTCTAAATTTTAGCAGTAAGAGTTTCATGGTGACTGCTTCAAATGCATCCTGACAGATGCTAGAACAGAGCACATAAGATTCTTAAAAGATCAAAACAGTTGCCTATTAACACACGCAGACTTTAATTATAAAAAGCAGCATTGCTTATTAGGAAAGAATTTAGTCAATATCGAAGGTGGTAATAATAAAGTAGATTACTATAGCTTCCATAAACCCTAGCACTTTTAATGAAGACCAGCTTAAAGTCTGTCATTTAGGTTAATGTTGTGCTAAAAGTCTTGTTAGGTTAATGTCTCCTGGTGAAAGGTCTCCACTTGTTGATCCAGAGTTGTTTTCCTTTACAAACACACGCTTAACTCTGGCCTGGCTGTTTACATTTTAAATACTGTTTCAATAATGTTGCTGTGCTACATGTACTGCACCTTAACAGGTAAGAAATCTGTACATCTTTTTTACTCTGGATGAGCGGCGGTGATGCATTACGGAGAGAGAAAAAAAAGAAACTGAACTTCCAGCAAATTACATTCCAGGCAGGAAAGGTTATAGCAGGTAGTCACAATACATTTTTTTAAAGACACAAGTCGTGGAACAAAGCACAATAGATTTAAGTTATCAATATGTCACACAACCCTGTTTACAAGTTGCTTTAGTCTACAGACCGTAATTGACCATAATTAATTTCTGTTATTAAGATAAAATGAAAGCAAAAGAAAGGCAGTCACTGTAAAGGTGTATAAAAGTATAAACTAGTCATCATCTTGTGGTAACATAATCTCACATAGTTACTTTTAGAATACTGCAATATTAAACGTGCATTTACTCAGTGGAAAATAATTAGTTAAAATATAAATATATTTCGCATAATCAAAACCTGATTTTAGTCAGGTGCAGGAAGACTTAAAATAAATGTTTTAAATTTTTTCAGACTTCACAAAGCATCAATTTGCAAGCAGGACCACAGCATCACAGATCCTTAACCATACTCGATAGGCAAGAGATGTTTTTCCACACATCTTTATTTATACTAGACAATCCTAAAGAAATGTTTATTCCCATCTAACCCAAGTTTTTTTTTTTTTTTATTGGTCTGATAGAGTTTTAAAAATTTGCCGGGATTATTACCTGGATGACATGTTCTCTTTTCTTTTACATTTTAATTGATTTAGAGAAGAGGGTCTTGCATAAAGGTTTAACTAAAAGCAAATAGGAGGACAATGACTACTGCTCATAAAATACCACTCACTTTTATTTTTCTCTAGGGTCCAGAAGGGAAACCTGGATTACCAGGACAGTCTCAGGTGCATCAGAATAAAAAAATGATCTTCTTTAACTTATTCTGTTTGCCTGAATGGGTTCTCATAACAAATATTTCACATTACAGGGCTCTGGAAAAGATGGACTTGACGGTGTTCCAGGAAAACCCGGAGTAAAGGTTGAAAAGTTGAAAAATACAGTCAACCTCTTTAACTTCTGTTTTCATTGAATGGAATGAAACGAAGGATGTTCTTTTATCATTGTAGGGTGACAAAGGGCAAAAAGGAGAGCCTGGTCCAGTGAGTAATATATTTTGGGGAAAACCAAAACATAAAACAAACCTTTCTGTTAAACAGCTTTCAAATTAATGCAAAGCATTTTTAAATGCAGTGGAAGATTTTTATACATTAGTGAGCTCTCTGTGTGGATGTATCTATAGACTCCAACACTACAGGAGATTTTAATGCTGTAGGCTGTATAGGTTTTAGACAGCAAAAACAGCTGCAGCAACACTAACCCTACTTAAGCTATATGAACTAGACTCTTAATCTATTTTTAATGGACAAGTTTTTTTATGTGATTTAACTTAATTGAATATATGAATTGTGTAATTAGCCATCAATTTTCTTTTACTTATTCAGGTCCAGATTGTGATAATGAGATTAATTATATCATTAGAAACTGTTCTTATAAGATGCTGCAAAGCAAAGGAAAGATGTGATCTAATGATACATAATTGTTCTTCATAATATCCCCATTAAGTTTCTATAATACTATAATGTTCTGGTGTGTATCACCATGTAATGGGTATTAAACTGCATTATGTTTGGTGTGGTATTGTCTAAGAGTGTAGTAAATCAGACTTGGTGAACCCTATGAAACTTGAAACTTTATAAACAGGTCTTCCAGATACTTGCAGAAACCGTTCAATGAAGCCTAACAATTTTTCTCTCATTTACATCTAATAAGTGTAAAAGTTAACATAGAAACTTATTACATTAGAAATATAATTGTGAATCACTACAAGTCTGCTTTATCCTTGGATATACAATATACAATGGGAGGTTGGAAGTAATTCCACCAATATTGCACCTTAGATGCACTTTGGAAGGTAGTTAACTATAAGTAAAATGTATGAACTTTAAGGGATAATGCAAGATTGCAGAAATTATAATAATAAAAAAATAATAATAGAACTTTATTGATCTCACATTGGAGAAATTCCCCTCTACATTTAACCCATCCCCTTAGGGAGCAGTGGGCTGCCATTTTGCAGCACCCAGCGAGCAGTATGGGGTTAAGGGTCTTTGCTCAGGGACCCAGAGGGGCAGTCTGTGGGAGTGGTGATTGATCTCAGAACCTCAGGATTCCAAGCTCTGTGCCCTAACAACTAGGCTGCCATGCCCCCGATATTGCTATTAAACATTTTATCATCTTCTAGCTTCAGTGTAAACTGGGAAATGGTATAGATTAAGATGAAATACTGAGAACATTTACCCTGTATTTAAAGTACTGAACGCATTCGGACAGTATGTCCTTTCTCCAAGGAAAAATCTGTTGAATCTAAGACTGCAAGTTATGAGCTACAACTGTCTAAAAACACCATTGCAGCCTGTACCAAAATGAGCTGAAAGGCAACTCTGAGTGGATGAAGCAGATAATTTAAAAGTCAATCTAAAGTTTGCCAATCCCAGGGAAATGCAAGTTTAGTTCAAGTGATGCATTTGTGCAACACCACCAAATTGGTACTGTTTTCAACTAATCTAATTTGCACTTCACCCAATCTCACTTTTAGATATTGTTGTGACAAAACTTTAACTAACTCTGCTATACCCTATAAATAGGCAATCCATTATCATTGCTGGTCCACATGCTAATTAGCCCTTCACAATTGCGCTATACAGGGTGGCTCATTGATTTGGACAAAGAGCTTATGACTTCTGCTTGCTTGGTCAAGGAGGGAAAGACACCCTTGGAATAATGCTTGCTTGGTAGTGTGCACCGATGATATAAGAATGTCATCTTAAGTGCAAGAATTAAACTGGAATATTTGCTCCCACTTTAAAAGATGGAAAATAAAGGTGGAATTAATTTGTTCTTAGCTGATTTGGAAAAATATGAGGGCATCATCATCACAATGTGACTAGATTGTTTAGTGAAATAATCTGGAATACTTGAAATGTTAGATGGCTATAAAGTTTCCAAATTTCAGATTTTAAATTTGTATTAGGTGTATTTAACTGCTTTCCCTAACATTTTCCAAGTTTAAACTGAGTTATATTTATGCCAATGAACAGAGAGGAGAAAAGGGAGACCAAGGGATTGCTGGAATGCCTGGATTACCAGGAAGTCCGGTGAGTATCACCTCAAAAACCTCCAGATTAACCTTTATGGTCGAATTGGGTTTAGATGTAATGATTCAGTTAACAGCTAATGTAATGTCAAGGTAGTTCACAAAAAAGCCAAATGGGTCCATTTGCATTGGTTTTATTTCAGGGGAGACCAGGAATAGATGGGAAAAGAGGCCTGACTGGAAAAGATGTAAGAAATGCTTTATACATTTACAGTATTAAATGCCCAGTCTGTATTTTGTCTGTATTAACTTATAAAAAAAAATCTTAATTTTTTTTTCCAGGGTGAAAAAGGACCCAAAGGAGATGATGGAAAAAAGGTCTTTATAAAATATTTCAAAAGAAACATCAATTGTGGTTCCTTTTCTTTGACTGAAAACATTTATCTTAATTCAAGGGAGATAAAGGAGATTCAGGTGTGAATGTAAGTTGTTTTAAAAGTTCTGATATATAAACAAAAATTGCAATGTAAAAAGCTCAATGTTTAGTTTTATTACCTTCAATCTCTAACTTTTTATTTTCTTTAAAGGGGAAGGATGGAAACAAAGGGGAGCCAGGGCCTCCAGGCTTGCCTGGTAGGCAGGTGCTTGTCACTCCTGAGGTAGAAATGAACCCATGTTTTTATTTTGATTTCTTAATTAGCAGATGGAGACATCAGATCTGATGTCTGATATTTGAAACCTTTTAAATCTGTTACTGTGAGAGATTCAGGTCGAACCGAACTAATTCCTGGGTTATTTTTTTTCTTTTTAATGCTTCCCCCCCAACTAATTATAGGTATATTGATGCAATTACATCTCTCAATTTGACTTTTACTGCAAAATAAACAATATGTACATCATTTTAAATGGTGTTAAAATTTTACATTTATAAAATATTATGCTTGAAGTTGTATTAATATCAGGTGTTCTTTTTTCATTTGTGTACCATAAATCTTATGTTGAAATATAAGATCATCATCATAAAAAGCAAAAAAAAGAGAGAAAACCTTTGTTAAATACAACACATTTTTTCATGAATATCTCCTACATATGGTGAGCATCAACATCTATCAAGAAATTGTTGAGAAGAAAAACCTCAAAATACATAGCCTGATAAACCAGACTAAATGTGAGATTAAAAGTGTAATTTACTCGCAGGCAAAAATTATTTTGGCCGCTGGTGGGTGGGGACTAGTTTTCTAGGCTACAAAATACATACTTTTATGTCAAACTCTGAAAAGTGCTGTATAAAATATAAAATAAAAGGATGCAATACTAGAAGTGATGAATTGCTGATGTTTGTCTGTATAAGAAATAGTGAAAAAAAAACTTTAACAATTATAGTCTTCGTGTTTTCAGATCATATTTTCAAATGACTGTTCACGAAACGTATCATTTAGCCTAACATATGCTTAAACATTTTTTTTTTCATTTGCTTATTTATGTGGAACTATTTATGTTCAGGGATCCACAATTGATGAAATCCGGCAGGCATTTCCAATCCCGATGGGTCCACCAGGAGCTACTGTGAGTTTACCGTTTCTTCCTACACGTTTTCTGCATACACCACGAGGAACTCATAAATAATTGTATAGTCTTTCTGGTGTTGCTTGGCATAATTCCTGCATTTGCCTATATAGAATATAAATCCTTAATGAATGATAGCTGCATTATGCTTTTGCTTGCAACTGGCTATAGATAGAGAATGCATTGTAAGTGTGATGCCATGCATATTGGATAAATTCTCACAATGTTTCGCTCCTTTCTTTCTGTGTGTAGGGGGCACCAGGAATGAAGGTAAGATTGTAACACTGCTCATTTTGAATAAGGGTTTTCAAACAAACAAGGCAGTTGTGGCCTGATACTTTTTCATGTTTTTCAGGGTGATAAAGGTGAACAAGGCCTGAAAGGGGATAAGGTAGTTAATGCTGAATTATATGTGGAACATATGGACATTAACATTGCCTTTTTATGCTGTATATTAACGCACATGTCTATGCAGGGTGATGCTGGAGCTCCTGGAAAGTCTCTGGAGATGAAGGTTGAATAAATGACATTCTGATTCTTCCTCTGGGATATTTGCTGAAGGTTTATAAGATTGAATATCTAGAAATATTTGTTTCTATTTTAGGACATTGAGAGGATGTTTGAAGATTATGGAATAAGGGTAAGCTTTGAACATCACCATGTACATAATGGCCTCATGAAAATAGTAATGGTGAAAGAGCAGAACTGCAAAACATATAGTAAATAAAGCATTTGTTCCCCAGCTGCCTCTGTTGAAGGCTTTGATTGACAGGCTGCTGCAGGACGGTATAGAGGAGCTGCTTCATGTGCTCATTTCATCCAAGAAAAAGGAAAAAACAGACACTCACACCTCCAATGTCATCACTGAGTACACAGTACGTAATGTGAAACTGAATTTTTTTTTCTTACTCATGTCCTTTGTTCCCTCAGAGGCTTTAAACTGTCAGGGTAGAAACAATAGAAATAAAATATATAGACAGTCAGTGGAGATTTTGGTATGAAAATTCTTATGAGGCCACAGGCTATTCCCAACAGGAAATTTGACAATGTAATCCAAACATAGACGTATTACACTGAGCCTCACTTGAAGTACAGATACAACTTGCTTTGCACAAGTGCTAAATCACACAGTAATAACTATGTGACAAAGTGTGTTTAAGAATCCCCACATTATTTACTGACAACTAGAAGCAAACTGTTGCTGTCCATGGTGCTGACAGAAACTGAATGCATCGCCTGCATTGTATGAAGGATTTGATCGACTAAATTAAACAACACAGCCAACGACAACAAAGACGTGCCGTATCAAGTCAAAGCTGTTAAGAAGATAGATTAGGAACCCGCTGCAAAAAGAAATATAATATATTCTTCTCTTTAATTCCTGCAATAGTCAATGATCAATAAAGCATAGCCATATTTGACTTACCAATAATTGCTGTTAATAGTCAATTAGTCTGTGGATAAATTATTTTCATGGGACAGCATTACCAGCACATTCAGTCTTTGTTATCCGGTTTCATTCCAATTAAATATTCTCTTCAGAGAGAAATTTCTCTCATATTCAGTGCTTGTCACTAGTATTTTGGTATTGATTTAAAGAATGGTCAAGGCTTCTTGGGTTGTTTTTACTAATGGGCTTCATCAGAGAAAGTATTGAGTTGTCTTTACTGAGTTTCCTGTGGTGATAGAGAGACATCAACTTAGTTTTTAGCTTTACCTAATTTATTTTTGGCTAGTGTTTAATCGCAAATTCCAATCTACCCGCTGAAAACAACTTCACAAACCTAGAGAAGAGTGCGCAATCAATACGCTTTAATGCAATAAAATCGACAATCTTGGTGTGCCTCTGCTCCACTTGACTCACCAGTGTTACAGGCCAGCTCATCAGCCTTTTAGTCTTTTTTTACATGTCATGCCAAATTATTATTTTTTGACTAATCAGAGGAGTAATTATCTTTATTGTAAACTTTCTAGAGTTCCTTGAAATTTGACCTCACCAGCCAGCCACTGACAGAACTGGACACTGAGGACAGAGATTTAGAGGACCAGCTTGGTGATACTTTGTCATCCGTAAGTATTCATTACTGTAAGAACTAAGCAGTAAGAATTTAAAATCCTCAAACTAGAAGGAAAAATTCACAGCTCCTGCCTAAAGTTTATACCCACTGACCATATTTCTGGAATCAAATATTTCCCTTTCAAGAAAAAGAAAAAACATTAAATATACAATTTATTGATTTATTAAAACAAAAACATTATTAAAACAAAAGCATTTGCATTCAAAATAGAACAAGAATTAAATATATATGAATACATTTCTCCTAATATTTGGTTATCTGACCCATAGTGCATTGCACATCTGACATAATTCTCTCTGCATATTTTAAGAATTATATTAAAGAATTGTAAGATTTTAGTTACTTGTAAGTTCAAATTGTTGTTTTATCTGTAGTTGCTAGAGACCTGACTTATAAAATTAGTCTGCAAATTATTGAATAAGGTTGAGGTTTGGTAGCTTTCATTCTGGAAGCTTAACTTGGGGAATGTTGACACTGCTACCCGGCTGCTGCACAATGGCAGCCCACGGCTCTCCAAGGCGATGGGTCAAATGAAGAGAGTGAATTTTCCCATTGTGGGACATTAAAGGGATTTACTTTTTTTTATTAAAATTTTTATTTTTTATGCATGTTTGCGTTATTATCACATCCATCCATATAACCCAAAGTGTCCCTCTCATGTGCATTGATTGCTAATGGACAAAGGCGCGTGAATAACAGTGTGGGAACTGCACAGTGCCGAAGCAATACCTGCTCCATGATTCCTTTTTTCTTTTTTCGTAACAGGGAAGAAATTTACTTTTAAGTCCAAGAGTTTTTAGAAATAATTTTTTTCTCAAAAATGGAAAAATTTACTCATGCTCGCAAAACTCACAGATGTGACAGAATTTGATAAGTCTTAAAAAGCACTAAGAGTAGTTTTGTGTCACTGATTTGATGAACATGAATCTTTATTGGTTTGTTAAATGAAATTCCACACATGCACTTTAAGAAAATGCAAAGCAGCAGTGTCAAACACAGCAGTACGATGGAACCCTTTTAACTAAGCACCTTTCATTCAATTGTTTCTCAAAAGGATCCTTTGTCTGAAACTCTGGAGGGTCCGACATTGTGGACCATGACTACAGTAGATGGAGAAGAGAAATTAAATGATATTGAGACCAAATTAACAGGATCCAAAGAGACGGGAGAAGAAGAATGGGATAGGGCCGAAGAGTCATCACTTAAAAGGAATCAGACTCTGGTCAACTCTACTTTGAACTATACGAATGAGGTAAAGGATTTTTTGACATTGTTGGAAACGATTCAATGCTGTTCATTGCTGTGATTTGTTGTTATTCTGTTTCATTTGTCATTTTCCTCTTTATTGTAAAATAATAATTACGGGTAATGTAGTTAAATTAAATAGGAATAAAAACATATATATTTTGTATCTACCTTTGACATTTTTTATCCTTTAATGTTCCATTAAAATATTCAAATATGATTCAGTGAATAAGACCAAAGCGTTTGTGTTAATGACAATTTTTATCTATTTCTCTCACCTGATCCCACAAATGTTCAGAATTTGTATATTTGTTTTTAGACAGTCTCAGGGTTGCCTAAAACTGTTCTGGAGACTGTTCTCCTCACTCAGGATGACCCACTGAAGAAGAACGCTGCACCAAAGAAGAAGAACAGGGGACATGGGAAAGTAAAGCTGCCATTGCTTTCTCAGTAACAAAATCTAAACATGCATAAAGCTCATAAAGCTACTCTGTCAGTTTAAATTAATGCCCATATTTAATGGACCACATTTGCCTTTGATGTTTTAGCTCAAAATGCACAAATACTTTAATTGATGTGATATCATTTTTTAAAGACATGAAAATATTTACTTTTCTGTGCAGAAATTTGACATTTATCTAAACCACTTTGTAATAATATTGTTGTAGAATTATACAAGCATGGATGCACTAATAAGAGAAAACGAGTATAGCGTAGTCATTATACTTTGAAGTTTTTCACCTTAATATAGCTCAGAACAGTGATAAATGACTAATTTTTAACCAGCTCCAAAAAATACTTGCGAATGGCTTTGCATTTTTTATCAACTGAATAATTTTTGTCACAATTCAACTGAATATATTTATAGAAATTCATGTCAATGGGCTAAAATTCAAAGGCTTTGTGGTGGTTGAAATAAATGGCTGTAAACAATTTTGATTTGATATCACCGATATTTTTGCATTAATCTTGATTATCATTAACTACTTTTGATTTTAATCTTAACTTATCAACCATAGTTTTACCAAAATCTAAAGCATGAAGAACTTTTACTTTTTTTCTCTCTCATTGACTGTTGACTTCTTAACCAGGGCAAAGGAAATAAAGGACGGCATAAGAGGCAGAGACATCGCCTGGTAAATGTCCTTAAAGGGGGTTAAACTAAAACGGGAAACTGAACTAATATTTTGATTAAACTAAACATAAACAAAGAAATTAGGGGTGTAACGAAACCTTCTAACATAAAAACAGCATTTCTGGTCAATGTGATATCATTCTAACGAAATTATAATCAGTACAGCATAACATTGGCAAAATTATTTTACCCAGAATGAACTGTCCCCCCACATCGCTCCCTTGGTTCTAAACACAAGTATAGGTTGAAATATAAAAAAAAAAATTAGACTACCCTTTATAAAGCTAATGCATCATAAACTGATCAACATTTGATCAACCCTGCAGTCAGTGCCAGCTTGTGGTATTTTTTATACTTATGGATCAGCAAAATGTATTGTTAATTATAATGCACTGCACATAACTATGCAGCTATTTCTTTGTATTTACTCTTCTAACAACTGAGCATAAAATTATGACAACTAACACTGCATATAATTCTTTATTAGTCCAAACCATGGATGTGAGCTGTGTTGGTTTAAATATGGTGGTCCAGGGAGACATAGAAAAAGGTGACTGAGCAACATATTTTAAAACAGCATATCTGTTGTCAACATATTTTCTATTTTATTCATTTGCATGCAGGGTGGTAAGTGTTCCATAGTTTTCTAAAAGTTTTGACACAAAGTCATTTGAAATTCATTTGATTTTATTTTTTGTTGTTTGTTATTGAATATTTTTAAGCCCAATTTATAATATGTCTAAAGTTAGATAGTATATTGAGTATTGTTGCTGTTAAAATAACATACAAACATATATTAAATATGCAAGACTGAAAGAAACTGTTCATGATTACCTGATTTTTTTTTTTTTTTTTCCCCTTTTGAAAGTCTAGATTTTCTTGCAAGGGTCCAGTTCCATGGCTCACTGCATCCTGCTTCTGCACTACAAACAATATATTTCATAACAGACATAATTTTCAGAAATATTTTCTACACAATAAGATGATATTGGTTCTTTCTGTTTGAAATTAAAACTGAAGGTAAAAAGCATAAAAGAGGAAAGGGGAAAAAGGGCATTCAGTCTTTGTCTGATAAAACATGTATAAGCTTTTAGCTATTCTTAGGAGTACCATTTAAGCTTGACCTCCTGCTGTGTTAGGTTTGAGATTTGTTTTATGAAGTAAAAAAAGGAAGAGGTAGTTTAGTTTTTGTGTTTTGTGGAAGGAGCCCATTATTGAAGACAACTTAGTTTACAGTTCTTAATCATACACCATGAATTGAAAATACTTGGTGCTGCTAAATTTTGCTTTACACTGACTGACCCTCTTATCGGTCATAAATTGTGATAATGGTGCCATAGCTTCAGTCTTCTAAGGTGATAAAGAACAACGGCATAGCTTTAGGATTTTTACTTTGTTGGAAAAAAATGAAGGTTCCTAATTTACCAAAATTACATTGCTAAACCATCATCTTGTCTGGTTTTCTTACATAAAGTGCCTTATCCCATCTTGTAAACTGAATGAACCGTTACACCCCTAATTTCAACTAACAGTTTTCTCCCTACTAAAGCTAAAAACAGACTGCTTTGCGATTCTAACATGATTTAAAAACAATTTAACAAGAAATAACCACTCCTTTACAAAATTTGAAGGAATTATAACAAATTATTAACACATTCTAACTACAACACTCCCATTAAATTCTTTTATGGATGTTTCTTTGTATAACATGAAGCATGTTCTTGTTGCAATACATATATGTCTCTAATTATACTGTTGACTATTTAATGCAGTTTCTTGGGTTTCGCTCTCCTCAACCACACAAACTATGTAAATGTTAATCCAATTTCAAAACATCCTATTTTAATTGTACTTTTTTATCTTTTCAGATAAGTAATGAGCAAAAAGAAGAAGAAAATGAGGAATTTTATGGCAGCGAAGAATACACTTATGAATATGAGGTAGGCCGCTTTTGCACTAAATTAGTAATTCAGGCTCTGCTGGAAACTTTCTCTTAAATGTGATGTTAATGATGTGGATTTTCTTACTCAAAGCACCGGGGATGTAGAGAGGCTCCCATCCCCCAGTTATCTCTAAGGATTCAAATATATCTGTGCCCACATGAATACTGGAAAACGTTGATTAATAACACACCCACTACCTCAATTTAATCATTAGGGATGAATTAGTTTGTCATTTCCGCTCTCTGTATCTGCTGTGTACTTTGTATGATGGATTTTCATGTTTAAAATTTGTGTTGAGAAAAGTTGTTCTCTACTTTGAAAACAGGAAGAACCTCTCCCTGATGAAGAAACAGTCTCTTGGGCGAGGACAGAGAAAACAGAGGTACTTTTTCTTCAAACAGGATGTTTTCATCTGTGACAGCTGGACTGAGTATAAATGTTATGATTCATATTTAATGTAGATTATGCTGAATGCTTCCCTGCATGTGCCTTGAAGTCCAAACAGTAGAATTCCCAAGTCCTCGGCATGAAAACAAAGCATAAACTATGTGCTTCAAATAATAAACAAAATAACTGCTGTTATAATAGAGATTTTTAGTGTAATCATCCTCTTAAATTAATCTGCATAGGAGGAGCAGTTATCCACTCAACTTCCTCCCCAGTTTGAAACCTCCAGTCGTCCTCTAGCCACTGACCAGGAAACGAATGCTCAGGTAACTACACATTATCCATGACGTACCTCCTTATTTCAGCCTGGTCATCCAGCACAAGGACACATCCATAAAACGAAAGGCTTCCACTTCGTTCCATTAAAAAAAACGATACAGGAATATATTATTTAAGCAGTTTAGGAATGTCCCCTGTGTGTTATTCAAGGAAAGTTAATTTTCTCTCTGGAAAGTAAACTTTTCTAAGGTTTTCACCCAAAGATAAAGTCAGAAGGGATGTATCTCTATAGTGTTATTTCATTTATATGCTTGGAAATATTTAAATCTACTAGATATTTTTCAGATTTTGCCTCATTATGAACAGAAAGCTCTCTGTATGTCCCTTGGGTGTGTTATAGACTTATCCGAACTAACATGTAATGAGTAACAGGAACATTATTTATGGATTTCATAATGAGTTTGCCACTCAGTGATAGAATCAGCTTTTGCTGCATTAACACGCACCACTGCATAAGTGATCTTCTTACCACTTCTGTTTTAAAATTGCTGAAGCTCAATGAAATTTGCATACGAGCGATGGTAACCATACATTTTGAAGTTTGCTGCACTTTATCAACAGGCTTATGGTCTTTACTTAGACTTAGCCATTCTCAAATGTTTTTGTTTCATTCTGGTTTAGCTCTGTCTGTTTACAGTAGTTGCCATCCTGCTGCATGGTAAATCTCTGCCCATCTTTCATAAAGTTTTTGAAATGAGGATTGCAAATCCCAGTAGGATGCAGAGGTACTGCAGAGGTGTCTTGATATATTGTCTAAACCAAATGAAAAAAAAAATCAGAAGACACCAAAGAAAAAGTTGAGTAAATCTTTGGGAGGTAGATAAACCCAGTTTTATAATCAGTACCTTTGCATACTGCATCAACAAGTTAATGGTGACTATTGAAACTGGTTCCTCACTTGCAAACTAGAGGCAAATGCCCATTGCGGCATTCTTAGTACTCTCGTGATCCCTTATGTTCTCAGGCTGTCATGCTCACAATAGCAGGATTGTAAGAGTTAGACAAGGATCTGTCACCTTGCTTAATAACAGGCGATTTCACAGAAAAGGCTTCCTTTAGTCCTCCCTCATTAGGATTAGAACATCACCATCCTTAAAAGAGTAAACCGCTGGCCTGCAGAAGAGTGTAAACGATGTAAAGAGTAAATCTTTAGGCTCAAGAAGTCTTCCACATGGGGAAACACAAAGAACCCAACTACAAGACTTGGTCAACTTGTTTTCTTCCTACCAGGAATACTAAAATAGAACATAGTGAAAACTGCAATTTTGCTTGAAAGAGGAACATACTTTAATACTTTTATATTACCACCACACAAGTATCAAAGGTTTACATTATGGCCAGACTTAGTGATGACTTTGGAGTTGGTTTATATTCATTTTGTTGTATATTTTCAGATGGGATTAGTTCTAATACCCTCTGGCATTTACAGGTTAATACCAGACACACATCAGGGATGAACTTGGGAAATGTACGTGGTACAAGCCTAGTTATTGCCATGTCATTGGATTTTCCCACTCTTTAGCTGCCCGCAGGTCCTACAGAGTTACAGCTGTGTGACTCTCTTTCCGTTTTTTTACTTTCGGTTTGATAAAGCACATAAATCACATCTTGGGATATTGTTTGGTAACTTCATCATCCTTTTCTCACTACTTTTTTGATGATCTGCCTGCTGTGTTTCTTTGTCTTCCTAATCCTTTTTTAAAAATGCTTCTACCAAACCCCCAGGAGTAGATGCACTAACTGGACAAAAAGCATCACAGAAACTGATTCTACATCCTGATTAAGAGTTTTGTTGAGGGAATGATTTGCAATTAATTTAGGTAAATCAGAGTAAAAATAAGCAGAATACATATTGGAACACCATCTTTTGGGGATTTTAGGTCAAGAATGTCTTTACCTCCATAGTTAAGTGATAAATATGCTACGTTTTGTTCTTGACCAAAGTCTTGATAAAATCATAAAGGTTTTTATTTGTAATATGGTTACATGTGAAAGCAAAAGGGGGTAGGGATACTTTTAGCTGCTGGAGAACTGTTGGTAATGTTATCACATGTACGCATCCTTCAGGTGTGAATGTGCATAAATGATTGCTTGACTTTTTGTCAGACATTGTAACTTGAGTTTGAGACATACCAGCATGTGGCTGTTAAAGAAAAAAATATTTTAGCATTTGAATAGGTTATGTTCCTGTGTCTCTTCCCAATAAATAGTAAAAAGATGCATTTTAAATATGTTAATTTTAACTTTCAACTTAGTATATGTTACAGTATGCCCCTTGTTCTACTTATGTCAAGAGTTTGCATGTAATTGTGTTTTTTTTTTTAGTTTGTAGGGTTTCGAACGACTGCCAGTGTTAGCTTTAAAGGCATACTGTGTAACATTTTGCCACTAGAGGCGCTAGACCTGTAACTGTACGTATTTTACTTCTACTAAACAACAAAAGTCATAACAAAGACATATGACTGTATACTAGGAGCAAAGTTTTAACTTTACTCTAATTATAGCGTTAAGAAAAGAGTTTTTACATCCAGCTACTTCTTTCAGCCTGCGTCAACGAACAACTCTTGTTTTTCCTCACGTACGATCTTGTTCACTTTTTCTCTTTTTCGCCTCCTCAGAAGGCTGTATATTAGTCTGAGAAATAATTTAAAATAACTCACATGCGGTGTGCCTTTAATCTAAAAATTGTATTTCTGTCATCCTTATGGCAAATATGTTTATGTGGCTATAGCCACATTTGGAATAAATTACAAAAACAAACTTGGAGAAGCATGACAAATAAGTTTTGTGGTAAATATTTATTTCTAAAGTCTTAATTTTGAACTTAAATTCCATTACATTTATGTGCAATATTTGAATTTTTTGCTATATTTCGATAAGGATATTTATTATTTGACTGATTTGACATTTTTATGTGTGATTTTTATCACTACATAACTTTTAATAGTTGGTGGATGATATTAGACCAGCATTGCTCTGCATTTATGTTTATAATGTTGTGAATTTACAAATAAATTAAAGAAAAAACAACTTATGAGCATCACAGCTTTTTGTTGCTGTGTGTTGGAACAGCCAGTAGTCCAAGGTGTATCCCAACACACAGTAAGAAGCTCCTCCCATGAAAAAAATTAGAAAATTAGAATTGATTTAAGACATTATTAAAAATTATTATAATACTTATTACTTCAATTGTATTTCTTTTTCTTCTTTTTTTATACCCAGGAGAGTTTTAAGCTAAAACATATTTCTAATGCTACCCTTTGATTTTGTTCTCCTTAGATTATTACAACACCAACAGTCTCTCCATTACAGCTTAAGGCTGGTGTAGAAAAGGTGAGGAGGGAATCATGCTGTTTCATTGTTGGTTTTTGTCCTTTAAAAAGCAAAACGCTGTTACTGTAAAAGGGCTGTCTATTTAAGTCTGTGTCTCTCAGAAACATTACATAAAACCTACCCTGTCAAATTTGACAAAAATTGATATTAAAGTGAAAATGGGCAAATTAAGATTGCTAACATTTTGGTGTGACCTTACTTTTGCTTCAATTTCAAAATAGGCCTTCAGGCTTGAAATTGTTGGTCCTTTTTAGTTGTAATTGCAACATTTATACTCTGTATGATGCTTCACTTTTGTAGCTATCCATATTTAAGATTTGTTCTGCTTGTACCACCAGGAAAATGTGGCACTGCCTACTCCTCCAGCAACAGGAGAACCAGATGAGGTACAGGTTCCATTTTAAATCTTATAGATTTATTTAAAACCAATTTTTCCCTAAATCTTTGCATGCTTTGGATTCAAAATCTTTGAACCCTTCACATGTCATAAGGTCATAATCTTTGAACCCTTCACATGTCATAAGGTCATAGGTCATAATAGATAACATTTTCAGCTTTGAAAAACTCCAAACCTAAGTTAATCTGAAAATATGCTGCAAGACTGAGTTTCAAATGTTTCACAAAGAAGAATGGGCAAAAGTTGGAATAGAATCAGCAGTTTTTTATTTATATTTATGCAAAATCCTGATTTAGCATGGCTAAAAGCTGTGATACGTCACCGCACAATTATGGTCTACCTTATGGATGTCTCTGTATAGAATCCAATAAATGCTCTTGTCAAAATGTGAAAAACTTCCTATGACATTATTTTGCCTGATACTAATTCTACTCAAAATGCATGTGGGATTCTCTTATGATGCTTTATCCTAAAAACTTCACCAGTTTAAACAGTGCATATATCCATGTATCTAACAGCAATGCACAAACATTTATCAGATGGTTGGACAGAATGTTTTTTCTGTGCAGCATGCAAATTCATTCTTATTAATCTTGCTTGTTTAAAAATAATGCAAACATCTAAAATGCACAAGGTTTAGACCTTTAATATTTATATTTAGTAGAAAATATCTGGAGTTAATTTTAATTCCTCTCTCTGTCTCTTATGTCTTTAAACAGGAACTCTCTTAATTTCCCAGAGACTACAAACTTTATTACTATTCACTGACCATAAACTGTGAGGGATTTGGTGAAGATTCCTGAAACCGAACAACATTTCCCAAAAGGGATCTCCTTCCCATACAAAGAAAATATTCCAAATCTATGTCCATACAATTGTTGTTGTTTTTTCTTGAAAAAGAGCATATTAGTGGTGTAGACCTCATGTTCATTCAGTAGGTCCAGCATAGCCACAGTTTGTTGACTTTTTTTTAATTCCAAATTAATTTATTCCAATGGCTTTTAGCGATTAGGCATCATGTATACTATAGCTTTACAGTTTGATTCGATGTGTCTTTAGAGGTTAAGGAAATTATATTTATTGACACATATTTTGATGCTTTAATTTTTCAAATATTTTAATTACAATTATTTCAATTCTGTTTTGAGCTGTTATGTGGATACATTTGGCACTGTTTCCACTGGTGAAAGTTGTCTGTCATTCCTTTGTATGTATTTAACCTCTTTGTAAATTTATGTCAAAGTAAAATTGTTACACACTGTAAGCCAGTCTCTTTTTAATTTTTTGATTGTTATAAAAATCCATTACACATTGCAGAAAAAAAGCATGTGAACACACTGCTATTTTGCAAGTTTGCCCACTTAAAAATCATGGAGGGGTCTGAAATTCACATCGTAGGTGCATGTCCACTGTGAGAGATATATAAAAAAAAAATAGAAATAAAAATGTGTGTAACTATTTTGTAACTATTTATTTTTATGATACAGATGCAAATAAGTATTTGGAATCCTGTGAAAATCTATGTTAAATGAAGTGTTGAGCTATACTTTCTCTCATTAAAACGTCTTTAAACATATTTTGTGACAAGTGTATGGTATGGAAAAAACATTTGTACACTTGCCATCATCAGTTACTGCCACTGCTGGCAGAATAAAACACTGCAGCTGTAAACAACCCCACCCTCAATAGCCAAGAAAGTACTGGGTCTCAAAGGGACCAAATCCCAAGGGAAGGGAATTTACCCAGGTTAACTTTTAAGAAAACTCTACCTGAGCTTTTATAAGCTCCAGGGCTTTGTAGTAGGACTATAGAAAAGGGGTTAATTTTGAAGGTTTGCTTTGTTCAGATAATTTACCATGCTCCTGACTGCTCAGGTGTGAGTAAACCCTACAGCAAGAGCTTGAAAAAGTTCAGTCTAGGCAACTCGACATAAAGTTTTCTAAAAGATGTTTTGCCTCTCATCCAAGAGGCTTCTTCAGTTCTAACTAGTTCTAACTAGTTGGGAGCACTGAAATGAATATACTGTAGGTCTATGGCAAGACTATCTAGGGCCTTGTGGAAGAAGATTGTAACTGCTGATGATTCTAGGGGCCTGAAATCAAACATTTTATTGTTAACACAACAGCCAGTTGAGAGGTAAAGCACAACACCCCTACAGTGAAACTTGCCATGAAAACAGCTTCAGAGAGACAATGAAAAATAATTGAGCAAGATATATACAATTACATGACTGCAGAAAAAAATTACACCAATGCCTTTGGTATTAGCATTGTTATGAAACATTAAAGCCTACCTCAACAACCGCTTTATGGTCAGTTCTGTCAGAAAAGTGTTTAGAGCTACTCTCTCATAAACTAGAGTGGGGTCCCTAACAATGTTATTTATATCAATTTATTTGCAATATTCTATTTAAAAGGTAAAACAGTTTTACCCAGGTGAGCTGGGTAGAGACATTTTTTAACTAACTGAAAACAAATAACTTCCTTGATTCCTGCAAAATAAAAATTTGTGGCACTTAACAGGCACCTGGACTTCAAACTAGAGTGAAAAGAGACACCTTTAGGCATGACTCAATGGTAGGTTTCAGATGGTTTTCTACAAAGAAATGAAAAATAAATGAAAGTTTTTAATATTTTAACAACAACATGGCTTATGTAATAAGTTTCACGTTGCAGGTATTTATGCCAGGTGCTCCAGGTGGAAGAAATCGGATTAAAGAAATACAAAAAGTAATTCTCTATTCTCGTTATATCCCTTCTTTAAAAATTAATGCTTTAAAACATGAAAATGCAATTTCCTGGTGCCTGCAGAGCAGGTTTAAGATTTTGCACTTATTTTTTGTTGCAGCAACTGGCCTCTGGTGCTCAGGGTTACAGCAAATGGAGAGTAAGTGTGTGATCTGCAATGTAAAACACAAATATTTAGAATGTTTTTGAGTTATTTTCATTTTAAAAAATACACTCATTTCTATAATGAAACTTGCTTTTTCTAGACAGAAAAGCTCCTCAACAATGTCAACAGTAGAGAAATGGAAGAGAAAAAGTTATACAGTGAGATAAACAGAGAGGTAATATTTGGAGAAGATGATCTGACTGGAGGAGAGGGGGTAGCCGAACCAGGTGGATACCCAGAAACTGACCCGGATCCAGTCTATGAGGAGATAGAGGAGGAGAGGAGTGGCGACTATGACTGGGAGATGGAGGAAGATGTAGATCGGGAAAGGGAAAATGAAGAGGAAGAGGAGTTGGAGAGGCAAAGAGTGAGGGAGAGGTTGGAAATGGAAAGGGAAAGAGAGGAGCTGGAGAAGGAGAGGGAGGCTGAATATGAGATGGAGAAAGAGGAAGATGTGGATGGGGAGACGACGGAGCAGGACGTTGATAGAAACTTGGAAAGGGAGGAGTGGGAAAGGCAGAGTGCAGAGATGGAGAGGCAAAGGTTGGGGGGATACAGTGAAGAAACTGGACAGCCATCACCTTATCCTCCTGAGTACTTTTTTCTGAAGGTAAGAACACAAAAGTAAATCACCAAAGCACCCTAAGACACTGAATAAAATATTAAAGGTAAAGTGGAGGATTTTCGCTAATTTTTGAAAAGACCCGCCCCCTCTGATTAAATAAAATGCACATGCACAACCCTGCGCCAGAGAGGGAATGCCTATTAGAAAGCTGCATGAAGCTGACACCCCACCCACGTCAAAAAACTCTGCAAATAGACTTAATGGTTAGTGCAACGTTAGTGCAGATTTGTGCAGAAAAAAATATCGTTTGTGCTACTCTTGTTTAAGAGATATTAAAGATTATTTTTTAGGTCATCCAGAGGTCCTTTTTTAGGGCTTCATTTGTGCTGATTTGTGCAGTTAAAACGGTGATTTGTGCTATTTTAGTTTTTAAGATATAATCATTTTAATTTTTGGCTGCTGACGTCACCATCCCCCCATCAAGCTCCGATTTGATCCAAAGTGGTCTCATTTTTTAGTGCTTCGTTTGTGCTGATTTTAGCCGTTAAAACGGTCATTTGTGCTGCTTGCATGTCCGATTCAAACTATATTCTCTATAATTGCAGGTGATGATCACAACCGACTACATTTATTACACATCTACAACTAATTTCACCTGCTAATTTCACCTGCTGTTTCAGGCCGCTTTTTATCCTGTAAATTCTTGTCAGTAATTTAGTCTGGGACAAAAGTAAATTATATCTCACTGTCAACACTGGAAAGAAGGGAAGTCTTTTTAAAATGTTTCTACTGATAAATCAGTGTCATTATTATGAAGATTACCGAGCCTTTTTGTCCCCTTCTTATTAGATTATTTATATATTCATGCTAATTGGCAAAGTTCTCTAGGGAAACATGTTTTTATTGTTATTTTATTATATATATATATATATATTTTTTTTTTTTTTACTTTCCACTGTTATAAGAATACTTATTTTATACAGTGGCTTGGTTGCCCCATGCTGGAAAGGAAAGTAGTTATTCAACAACAGCAGTTGTTGTCCGCTGTCAGAACGCCTTGGTGGAAGAAGATGTGGCCAGATGCACTGTTTGGTCTAACCACTTTTCTCAAGAAAGCAGTTAATTTCATATATTTGACCGTTTTAACTGCACAAATCAGCACAAACGAAGCACTAAAAAATGAGACCACTTTGGATCAAATCGGAGCTTGATGGGGGGATGGTGACGTCATCAGCCAAAAATTAAAATGATTATATCTTAAAAACTAAAATAGCACAAATGACTGTTTTAACTGCACAAATCAGCACAAACGAAGCACTAAAAAAGGAGACCACTTTGGTTCAAATTGGAGTTTAATGGGGGGATGGTGACCTCTGGATGACCAAAAAAATAATCTTTAATATCTCCTAAACAAAAGTAGAACAAACAATATTTTTTTCTGCACAAATCTGCACTAACGTTGCACTAACCATTCAGTCTACTTGCAGAGTTTTTTGACGTGGGTGGGGTGTCGGCTTCACGCAGCTCTATTAGAACCATGCGAGAGCGTGCACAAGCCCATTTCTCATCGTGCACGCTCTGTTTAAAAGTTGCTGTTTGCATCGCTTACTTTCCAAAAGAAGATTTGCAATTTTTTCACCATGTCAGACTCACCACTTATTTTGTTGATCCACCTGGAGTAAGAACATCATCCGCTATACCTTTAATGATAAAACAATTTTTCATCATGAAATACGGTAGCTCACCCAAAATCTTAGAGGATCCTAATTTAAACATTTTTATTTCTATTGTTGTTCGCCTTAATAGCAGCACTTAATTTACATTAGATTTTATATTTTTTTAAAAGATTAGTGTATAATTGATACTCCGATTTAAATTTTTTCGAATAGAAAAAAAACCAAAACAGGTTTTTTAGCCACATTGCTAGCATACTCAATTGAGATTTAGGTTTGTGTTTTAAATTTCAGAATATACATGAAATCCATACTTAGATCTATTTACTCATGTGGCAAATAGCAATTTATCTATTTTTTTAATGGCATTGAATGTGTACTTTGCATGATTAAACTCAAATATTTCATAGATGGGTTTAGCAGTTCGGAAAAAATATGTTTTAATGTAATACATATGTGTTTCCAAAATAGTAAAAAAAAATCCACTAGACTTTTGTTTCCTAGTGGATTCTTTTTTTTTTTTTTTTTTTTACTTTTTTGGAATGACTATGACATGGATGACTGAGAATCTTCACCAGCACACATACAGTATGTTTGTTTTTCTACTGCAGGGGCACCCAGGTGAAAATGGGAAACCGGGACCAAAGGTGACTACTGATTTTTATTCATATTTATATGAACTGGTAAATACACTGCCCAACAATCTATCCTTGAAAAGATAAAGATAGACATTATATATTAACTTTTTTTTTTTTTTAAATCACTTTTAACAAGAGTTGTGAACATTTTACTGCTAATTGATAATTGTTGAGATGTTTCATAAAATTTATGGCATCCATGACTCTTATGTTGGGCTGAGTGAGTTAGGTCTGTGATCAATAATTTTGTATCAAACGATTTTAGAGATTTTTAAACCAGAAGCACAGAGATTAACTAATTTAACATCATTATCAGATTTGATATAAGCTCAGTTAACACATTTTAAGCAGAGATATAATAGAATTGTCTCAATAAATTTAAAACCTTAGTTTTCACATAGATGTTACGGAATCCATTAATTTGTGAAATGAATCGATGTTTATGACAAAGAGGAAGATTATGCCATTGCTGAAGGAGCAAATTGTGTCTCTCTGTATCAATCACAGGTTTATTACACACATCATAGGAGTGGTTCTATAGAACTGTGACATAAGGGTTTTTAGTGAGAGAACCCAGAGATTGATGCATATTTTCTTTAAAGAATAGAACGTATCCTTTTTTCATATCTTGACCTCAACAGATCAGGTCATGCATTTCTAAATTTTGTTCTAAAACTGGAACTCTTTATTTGCAGCTTTTACATACAAAATAAATGTATAAAGATAATAAATGTGTAACCTATATAGCCTTTGAAAAATCTAAGTATCACAGGATGAGTTGATTTAATAGTCAAACAGATTACTATATTATTCTTTTGGACTGGATGGCTGTCAAGATCGGATTAACAAATTTGACCCACATGCAGAAAAACCACTCAGAGAGCACGGAAAAAGTTAAACAGGTTTATTGAAGGCGCTAACAGGAGTTGGATCTGGAACACAGTGAGCAGGTGACCCGGAACTGGAAGTGAGAAGGGAAGTTCAGTGGTCAGTTCAGGTACTTTGGGAATCTTGGAAGCTCTGAGATTTGCAAGGTGAGGAACTCACGTTTGTGGGGGGTCTTGTCAGTCCTTGAATCCAGACTGTGTTGTTAATCCAGAGAAGGGAGCAAACGTTGGAGGGCGGACAGGTAGTCTAGCGTTGGATCTGGAGCAGCAAAGGAGCGGCCTGTCACTCAGATTTCAGATGCCAAAAATAACAAACACTCTGGTGTCGAAGTAGTGACAGTCCACTGCTCAAACACTCCTCCAGATAATGATCCAACAAGCCGCAGGTGTGCATGAAGAGACAGCGAAGAGAGGTCACCTCCTGGTGGTGGACACACAAATAGACCACACAACTGGATTCCTAACAATGGCAGCATCTTGTTTTATTTATATACAGTTATAAAAGCATCATTAAGTAAATTGATAAATAAAACAACGGAATAATGCATCCTTTTAAATCAAACAACACATTTTTCTATATTAAATTGCCTTGTCAAATTAATTCAATTCAGTTTATCTATATAGCGCCAATTCACAACACGTCATCTCAAGGCACTTTACAGTTCACCAGATCATCCAGTCAGATTGATTCAAAGTTTCCTATTTAAGGAAAACCAGTTGATTGCATCAACTCATTGACTCTTCAGCAATCCCTCACACTAAGCATGCTTGAAGCGACAGTGGAACCCCAGTCGGCCATCTGCTGAGGCCGACTGGGGTTCAAGAAGACAGAAGCAGAGATATAGTAAAAGCAGAGATTTTATTTTATTTAACCTTTGTTTTACCAGGAAGTCCCATGAGATAAAATCTCTTTTTCGAGGGAGACCTGGGAGATACAAAAGGCAACTGTAAAATAGCTCCGCAAGTGTCTCTATCCAGGAAACTCCCATGCCAGGCAGACAAGCTCTGAGGCAGCTCCCATCTCAGAGGATAAAGAGGGCACATCTAGCCAGCCACAGTCAGAGAAACAGGACTATACTGAAAAACAGGCCGATCTCGAACATCTAAATTAGACAAGCTATGTACAAGACAATGTATATTTTTTATCCCTTTTGCATTACAGGGAATTTGTAAGACCTGTGCAATTCAAAAAACTTGGAATTTTTTGTTAGGCCACATAAAATGTATTATTTCAAGCCCAAATTGAAACGACAGTCCCTCCCTTGATGAGTGCAAATGTCTTGTTAAAACTGTCATTAGGGTGTAAAAGGGCATCAAGACAGTTTAGCGTCTAGTGTAGCAACATTTTGATTGAAATGTTTATTATTTTGATAAGCATAGAATTATGTGAATGGATGATAACAGGTCATCAGAGATGAACTGTGCATTAAGCAGTTTAGTCATATGAAGCAGCGCACTAAGCAGTTATGAAGATATATTTATACAGGAAACCCTTTTTGTTGTGTTAATCTAGCTTGTCATTTCCTGGATAGTTCGTGGCACCCATCAGTGTGGCACAGAGTTCAGCTTTCCTTTTATTACCCGAAGCGTCATGCCTATTTTCTGATTAGTAACTATCTGGATATTGTGTTGATTGACATCATGTAAAAGACAGATGATAGTTCATCAGGTGGTTGGATATTTTAGTCCAGACACATTTAAAGAGCCAACGCTGCCTATCCTGCTACAACAGACGTGATCCAATTTAGAAGCATGTTTTTCAGGTTTAGGGCATCTTTATTTAAAAAAATGGTAAAAATTGAATTTAACTCAATAAAAAAATAAGAACAAACAAACAAACACTGCCTCAGGGAAGTATATTACATCAATCTTTTCTGCATTAATTTAAAACTTTTATAATTTCCCAACCATGACCTAAATGCTTTTTGCTGCAAGATGAAGGAGCACATAGAAGACTGAACTATGTGGTGGATGCTATGGTATACATTAAGCCTTCTTCATCATTTATCATATTAAAATGCATGGTACAGTTACACATTCAACCTAGAGATGGCTGTCTACCCAAAGTGGAGAAGGACACCATTATCAGGGTTCGGTTTGAGGTTAGAGGACCCAAATACAGAGGCTGAGAGGCAGGGGTGAGTTCTTGCGGTTGTTTTAATGTATTAACACAGGTAACATAGGCAGGAATCCAAAAATCCAACATGAAAAATGTTAAACAAACCAGAAACATGGTGTCACATGCTTGTCAGGAGGCCAAGCAGTCTTGGAGGTGGGACCCAAACTGGTTGAAAGAAGAACATGCTTTGTAGAGTTTTCAGCAGACAAAACTTTAATTTCTTCTTGTACAGGACATCAACCAAACCACACCAACCAAAAACAATGGCAGACATGTTTCTTAAATAGAGGAGGAACTAAATTGGAAGAAACCATTTTTAAAAGGCTGTTCAGCTTCACAATAAGAAGAAAAGGAAATTTTGGTTTAAACAAACAACTACTTAAGAAATACTTTTACCAATCAATACAGAAACAAATATTTTAATTCAATCCAAACAAATACTCAAACTCAATAAAGAAAACACCATACATCAGATCAATCTCCCCTCTCTTAAATTATCCAATGGTACAGTCCTGTACACACCTGCTTGGAGAGTGAAACAGCAGAGGTGAGTATTTCAAAATATTGTAAATCTTTAAGCCATGAATGTCCCTTTTATGAATAGTTAAACAAAAACAAAATATTGTAAAGTGAAATCAATTTACCTTTTTACAAATATGAAAACAAGATGTGGCCAACCAAAGAACCACAACCCAAACAAATCCAGTTCACCCAAAACAACAAAAATAAACCAATGTAGAAAACCAGATCCTGTGTTTAGCTGCTACTTTGGCCAATATACAAGTAACAATGGCCCATTGTTACACATGGAGACATCAGGGGGAGAGAGCATGTGGAGTCAGGCAAAGGCGAGGAGAGACGAGGTAAGACGAGAAACCAGCACTGCGGAACTGCACAAGGAGTATATTTAAGGTGGAACAAAGAGAGGACTAACAAGCAGATTGGGAGCAGGTGTGAAGAGAGGAGTCTAGGAAGAAGCTAGGGAAAAGAAGTCCAACACACAAGAGGGCAACAAATTACACCTAAGAACTCAAATATATCCAGAAAATACAACAAAATAGAAATTAAACCAATGAAACTAGAAAACATGGAGCAAAGTAAAACAAAACACAACCAAGAACGTGACAACCATTGGTTTAAGAAGCAACGTGGTAGCAATGTAAGAGTTGCAAAGATCCAAAGCTTAGGACTGGGCAGTTGAATTCTTAGGCATAGATGAACAAAGTCTTTATGCAGGAAATTCATATGATTTTCCATTTGCAGTTTGCCACAAGCTATGTAAGGGAGGTGGCAAATCAAACCATGCAAAACACCCTGTGTAGTGAAATCTACAAAGACTGAAATAACAGGGGTTCACTTTCCAGCATGACATCATTTATTGCCAGAGGTACAGCGGATTGATTTAAATAAAAACATTGTAATATTCAAACCAGACTTTAGTTCAAGAATCTGTACCAACACCTCGAGATAGATTTTTATAGACACTCTCCGTCCAATCAGAACACCTAGAGCTGTTTTCACTAAAACAACATAGAAACGCATTGATTTTTTCTGTTAAATAATTAGCTATTGTTGGAGGTCAGTTGGTGGCTTTGGATATCAATACTACAAGATTAAAGTTGCCTTAAAATAAATGTAGACCTCTCTTCATGTATTTGTTATAAAATTCTTGAAAAATAATGTTCCCTCATCCATTAATTTCAGCTCTTACTGAAATAGATTAACTTTTAATACAAACCTGATAGAATACCTTTGGGTTTATGGTTGTAAATTGACAAATAAAAATAGAAAAACAGTTATAATGTGATTATTTTTGATGAGTCATGTTTATTCTTGCACATATTATACTGAAGTCAGTGTGGTTATCATCATGTGGACATAAACCAAGATCAATATTTGCTGCATGAAATGGGCCACCAGTTCATAAAAATATAATGGCTATCGGAGCTCAGGGAGAGCATGTCTCCCGTCTCGCCTGTCAGTAACACCATCCTTTGATGTCTCTGCTCTATTTCTGTATGACTCTGAGACAGATTAAAGCAGACATTAATAATTCCCCTTGTTAAACATGCTGACAACCCTTGTTTTTTTGTGTAATTCCTTTGAATTTGCTGATTTGGGTAAAATAAAAAGTTGTCATTCTTCATTTAATTTCTTCAACTAAGCAATCTTTTTTTATACTTTTCAGGGTGAAATTGGTGAAAAAGGACAAAAGGTAAAGCTTTTGGTAAAATTGTATCACCACATGTATTTGTTGTCAATATATTGGAGACAATTACCTGTTTTTGTTTTTTTTAGGGTGAGCCAGGCATTGGCCATAGAGGACCAGAGGGACAAGCTGGTCCTCCAGGGCAAAAGGTAAAAAAATCCCTCCCTATTATATAGTAAACATACCAACATTACTCCATCAAATAATTGACAACTTACTTCTTGGAAGTTAAATTCTTAGAACATCAATTCATCCATGCAGTCTTCTATAACATTTGTTTTAATTAATTTTCTCACTGCAGTTTTAATTTGGGGAAATTAATTGGTCCTGTGGCTCACCCCCACGTTTTTAACTTGTGCTTGAGCTTTTCATTCGCTAGAATGACTTGAGCTGAATCCAATTATTCAAATGTGATGAAGGAGCTTAATAATCACGTTGCATGTAATAAGTGGTTATCTGAGTGTTTGTCTTGTAATCTTTCAATTCGTAAGATTTTATCTTATCTCATATTGGTTTGCCATGCTCCCTCAGGGTGAGCCAGGAGAACCAGGACCTCCAGGAGCGCAGGGCATCCAAGGTATTCGTGGAAATGCAGGAATTCATGGCTCCCCAGGATTTAAGGGGAATCCAGGTGACCCAGGAGAACCAGGCAGAGATGTAAATCCTCATAAAAATAGTAACAAAAGCACTTTGAGCTAATCTCTCTGTTGAATAAATCTGCATATTTGATATTTATTTTCTATAAATGTATATAGACTTTATTCTATAAAGATTTTCTATAAATGTAGGGTGAACGGGGTAAAAGAGGGAAGAATGGATCATCTGGACCTCCAGGACCTAGAGGGCCACCAGGACCTGATGTATAAAAATACTTTCCTTTATCTCATATTCTTATCTTTTCATTTCAGTTTTATTAAGAGAACAAGATAGGACACCCTATATAAGCCTGTTGTATATAACAATAGATGAATTTAAAATAATTCTAATACATTTTAACAGAAAAAACTTGTCAAATAACTAAAACTGAACAAATAACTAAAACTGGTCAAACAAACAAACTTTATCAGGCATACACGGAATATCAGGCCCTTACAAATATGGCACAAGTTTGTAAGTTTAGTAAGGGGATTGATGAAGTTGTAAATTATCTGAAATCAGTCAGAATTGAAAATATTTTGTAACTAGAAGGCATCCAAATCCATCTGACTATATTCCATAGGGGTAGGATATACAAGAAGTTACAAAAGGAAGTTTCCAAAACTCCTAAAAAGAAATCACAGGACTTGTGTGATCAGGTAAAGACCACAGGAATTTAACTTAAATAGAAGGAGGAAACAAATATCCAATTTTCAGGGAAGAAAATATTATACCAGCTGTGAGTTATGGAGATTGATTAGGGATGTCTTGGGGAAGCTTTGCTGCTGTAGGATCTGGCAAGATTACCCTTATATAATCCACTCTGAAATCCTGTATATCAGAAGATCCTTGAGAAAAATATGTGACTTTCTAGGGAGAAAAATAAGATTTACAACAGACCTGAACAACTGAAACATACACATGTGGACGAAATAATTGGTACCGCTCTGTAATGGCGGAAAAAAACAACAATTTTCACAGAAATAATTTGAATGAATGAATAGGAATTTATTTGAGACAATTTGACAAACAACAATAAATGAATAAACCAAATACACACAAAAGAGACTAGTTAACATAAACCAAACGAAACACCAATATCCAAAGTACCTAAATTCACCTGAACATAAATAGAAAAAAAAACCTCCACCAAATAAACCTGTCAGTATGTACAGCCAGAGAAATGACATTGGTTGAAAATTGACAGATTCAGTTAGAATCTGACACAAGTAATAATAAATAAAATGTTCTATAAAAAGGAACAAATTATAGTAAGACATTGTTTTTCAAATGCTTGTAATGCTTCAACAGAGTGATAAAAATAAAAAATAAAAAAAACATGAAACCTAGAGGAAAATGATGGTACCCTTAACCTAATGTTTAGGTGCACAACCTTTAGAATCAATCACTGCATTAAAAAAATATCCTGTAACTTTTCATGAAAAGTTTGAAGGCTTCCTTTTCCAGACATGTTTCAGCTCCTTCAGAGATGCTCAATATGATTTAGGACAGGAGCCTTTCAAGTTTGTTTAACGGTTTCCTCTTAGTCATTCTCTGGTGTTTTTAGTAGTGTGTCAGTATTTTGTTGCAAGACCCATGACACCAAGCTTTCTGACACTGGGTAGCACATTTCTTTCTAGAGTTCCTCAATGGTCTTTAGATTTCATTGTACCCTGCAGAGATTCAAGACACCCTGTGCCAGATGAAGCAAAGCAGCCCCAGTGCACAGCAGAGCTTCCTCCATGTTTCACAGTAGGGACAACGTTCTTTTACAGTATTGATATGCTTCATTTTTCTGACTTTGAACAGAGAGCTGATGTGTCTTTTGCAAAAAGTTACATTTTTGTCTTAGTCTATGACATTCAATTTGTGACTTGTCTACATGCGTTCCTACAAATTTTAGTTCTTATGATTTGTTTTCAATAATAACTCCTTGAGTCCACTTTCGTTCGAACAACGGGGGATGGTACGATCTGACGCCAATGGTTTTAGAGCTTGAAGTTTACCTTTAATCTCTTTAAAAATTTTCAGGGATCTTTTTTTACCATGTTACAATCTCTCTGATTCATCAGTTTTACTCATCCAAGGAGGTTGGCTGCAGACATATGGATCTTAAATTTCTGAATAATATGTGCAATTTTAGCCATCATCTGCTTGAAAATGGTCTTATAGTCCATCCATCCATCCATCCAACACGTTAAATCTAAGTGAGGTCACGAGGGGTTCTGGTTCTTCAGGCGTCAATGGGCGAGAGGCAGGGTACACCCTGGACAGGTCGCCAGTCCCCCGCAGGGCAACAAAGAGAAGCACACACTCACACCTAAGGAGAATTTAACCACCTAAGCTCAATTAACTTAACAGTCATGTTTTTTGAACCAACACATGCACAGGGAGAACATGTAAACTCAATGCAGAAAGACCCCAGGTCGGGGATCGAACCCTGAACTCTTGCTGCAAGGCAGCAGTGCTACCCAGCCGGTCTAATAGGCTTTACCTTTAATTTGCTAGTTTATAGTTTTTTTCAATTCTCCTCAGAGAACGTTTTCCTTTGCTTGCTGTAGTCCATGTTGAGTGTGGTATACACCATGCCACCAAACAGTATAGCTGCTAAGTTTGAATTCAGTGGCTGCATCCTCTGAAGGCCAGATTTGTTGGCCGATTACTTCGTAGCGCAATGCCTTGGCCTGTTTTGATTGGAAGACTCCTATTTATGGGGCCGATGAATGCAGCCTTCTTTTTGCCCATTTTGTCCTACATAGCCTTGGGTATCCCCTGATTCATTGCAAGTGCAAGCAGGCCAGCTGCTCTGTGCTCAGAGGAAAAGGGGAAATGGCCCCAAACAGTGGTGAATATTGTAAGTGCAGTTTAGTATAATACAAGTATGTAAATAGTTCTGTCTGAAATTAATGAAACTAGGTGCTTTAAATAGTTATTGAGTCGGATATGTGGTGGGTTATGTTTGGTTTATTGAAAGTTTTTTTTTTTCCTTCCCTGTTGAAATTAGTTTGGCTGACATTTAAGCAGAGATTACAATATATGTGCAGTGTGGGGACTATAAATCTGATATTCATGACAATGGTACTGCTGCTGAAGCTCCTCAACAATGTAATTAGCAAACAGAACAGTAATGAGAAGTTTGGTACTCATTCTTTACCTGCTTTTTGTGTCAACTGTCATGGTTGCCAGGCAACAGAGCGCACGCGCATGAAAGCCCGAGAAGGCTGGACCTGTTTGAATCCATAACCAAACTCTTCCGAAGTCCTTATTTTCATGGACCTTAAAGGACCCCAACACAGATAGACTGGGTCCTTGGAGGATGCAGCCTCTGAAATCGAAAACACCCGTGACTGCTTGAACCCCTTTATATAGCCCCACTGACTGATTACAAGATTAACACCTGTGATGCCAATTAGTAGACACACCTTGATTTCACATGTTCCTACTGTCACAGTGTTTTCAGTTTTTTTCCAGAGTTTCCATTATTTTTGTCAAGACCTGTTTAATGGGTTTATTTTTTTTATTATTCTGTTGAAGCATGGTTAAAAAGCAATGTCTGACTTTAATTTGTTCATTTTCATAGAAGTTTTGTTTAATATTACTTTTTTCAGATTCAGGGCGTTTCTGTGACCAGTGTACGATTTTCTTTAATTAAAAGAGGGATAACAACAATTTTGTCTACAAGTGTACCAGTAAATTCAGCAAGGAAGGATTGGCTGAAAACTAAGACGTCAAGTCCTAAAGCCAAATTCTGGGTCTTATTAAGATTCTGTACGGTGACTTGAAACTGTCTTTACATGAAAGACACTTCTCAAACACCTCTCAGGCGAATTCAAGGATTCAAGGGGCAAACATTCCTTAGACCGATGTCAGAGACTGATTGATGGTTACATGAATCATCTTACTGAAGTTATCTCACCCAAAGGCTGGCTTTAATACATTCCAGCATTATGCATCAGAAGTAAGCTCATCATAAAGCACCTTTTTTTTAAGTAAAACAACTTAATTTTTCTTAGTTCAGGTACCTCACCTTATTTAAGTTAAACTAAACATCAATATAGCAACATTGGTTTATAAACAGATTAAGAATTAATAGGGTGTCCTATTTTCTTTACATTAATTGTTTAGGTTTTTGCTATCATGTAAAATTAGCAGTTTTTTAACCAGTTTTAACCTTTTACAATATCATATCTAAGTGGACCACATGAAAGCTAAAGTTTTCATCTCCTCTTTTAAGGGTCTTCCTGGATTACCTGGTGTTAAAGGAGAAAAGGTATAAACACAGTCCTTGGTTGCATTGCAAAAATCATAAATTTTTGATTTTGATTTCCAGATTTGCAGTATAAGTTAAAAATTTCAGCCTCACAGTCTAAATAATGAGAATGTAGTGAATTCTCTTCCCAGCCAGAGTACAATGGTAATTAAAACTGGCATGGAAAACACTTAAAGTCTGCATAAACCACATATACAGTATGCACCAATGCTTTGGATATTATTGAACCACTGTGCTCACGCTACACTTTGTCTGTTCTTAAATACATTTCTTTAGTGTTTGAATGCATGAAAATCAACAAAATCTACAAGGCTTATTTTGTATTTTATTCTACTGATTAAAATGTTGTGTGTTTTTATTCTGCTATGGCAAGTCTGAAACTGTTGTTCGATGCTTAGAAGCCCCTCATAATTTTTTCCCTTATTTTTTGTAAAGAAACATTTTTTTACCGGTTTGATACCCATGGCATAAGCATTGTGATCTTTATAGCAAATAACAGCAGGTTGTCTTGTAGCACCTAACCCTAACCTTAGTCCAAGTCTAGATAAGATTTAATCATTGAGGCATCAAGGCCAAACCAACTGACTATTTACAGCAGAATTCCTGAAACGATAATATTTTCATTGCTGCAACCATTCTTATAAAATGTACTTGTTTCAGCTCATTAGTATATAAACTAAAAGCTTCAGACTTACTGGTTGCACTGTCATGTCTAGTTTATCATCTAGGTGCACTGCAACAAGTGAACAAAAACTTGTGTTTAAGCATAACCTGTACTACATGCCACTTAACCTGGGAATCTGACAAACTGTTAATGAACAGAAAATCCTAAAGTGTGAAATACATCCAGCTACACAATACCTGGTTTATCATTACATGCAGATAGTGTGAGTGAAGGTAGCAGGTGGTGATCTAGGACTTAACTCAAAGCTTTTTTTCTGTCATTGTTACTGTAGAGGCAAAAAAACACATGTACATACACTATATTGCCAAAAGTATTTGCTCACCTGCCTTGACTCACATATGAGCTTAAGTGACATCCCGTTCCTAATCCATAGGGTTCAATATGACATCGGTCCACCCTTTGCAGCTAGAACAGCTTCAACTCTTCTGGGAAGGCTGTCCACAAGGTTTAGGAGTGTGTTTATGGGAATTTTTGACCATTCTTCCAGAAGCGCATTTGTGAGGTTGCACACTGATGTTGGACGAGAAGGCCTGGCTCTCAGTCTCCGCTCTAATTCATCCCAAAGGTGTTCTATCGGGTTGAGGTCAGGACTCTGTGCAGGCCAGTCAAGTTCATGCACACCAGACTCTGTCATCCATGTCTTTATGGACCTTGCTTTGTGCACTGGTGCACAGTCATGTTGGAAGAGGAAGGGGCCAGCTCCAAACTGTTCCCACAAAGTTGGGAGCATGGAATTGTCCAAAATGTCTTGGTATGCTGAAGCATTCAGAGTTCCTTTCACTGGAACTAAGGGGCCAAGCCCAGCTCCTGAAAAACAACCCCACACCATAATCCCCCCTCCACCAAACTTTACACTTGGCACAATGCAGTCAGACAAGTACCGTTCTCCTGGCAACCGCCAAAACCAGACCCGTCCATCAGATTGCCAGATGGAGAAGCGCGATTCGTCACTCCAGAGAACGCGTCTCCACTGCTCTAGAGTCCAGTGGCGGCGTGCTTTACACCACCGCATCCGACGCTTTGCATTGCACTTGGTGATGTATGGCTTGGATGCAGCTGCTCGACCATGGAAACCCATTCCATGAAGCTCTCTGCGCACTGTTCTATAGCTAATCTGAAGGCCACATGAAGTTTGGAGGTCTGTAGTGATTGACTCTGCAGAAAGTTGGCGACCTCTTCGCACTATGCGCTTCAGCATCCGCTGACCCCGCTCCGTCAGTTTACGTGGCCTACCACTTCGTGGCTGAGTTGCTGTCGTTCCCAAACACTTCCATTTTCTTATAATACAGCTGACAGTTGACTGTGGAATATTTAGGAGCGAGGAAATTTCACGACTGGATTTGTTGCACAGGTGGCATCCTATCACAGTTCCACGCTGGAATTCACTGAGCTCCTGAGAGCGACCCATTCTTTCACAAATGTTTGTAAAAACAGTCTGCATGCCTAGGTGCTTGAATTTATACACCTGTGGCCATGGAAGTGATTGGAACACCTGATTCCAACAATTTGGATGGGTGAGCAAATACTTTTGGCAATATAGTGTATGTTATCAAAACCCTATAATCATCTAATCTTACCATTTGTATGTACAGGTTCCAAGTAAAAATATTTATCTGTTTCATTTGCATTATGCGTGGCATCACCTTTGCAAATCCCATTGATTTTCTGACTCATACTGTGGTTCAAAATCTCATTCCTGATTTGGTCTCTGATTTCTGATCCCTGTCAAACACAATTAACTATTTCACTGCTCACTAAAGAGCTGTTGGAGTTGAACACTGCATATAATTTTTTAGTTTTTAAGAGTTCTTTTATTATTATTATTCTCTGTTAAATAATAATAAACACACAATTGTGTCATCAGGGTGATGGCATTCCAGGACAGCCTGGTGCTAGAGGGTTGCCTGGTCCACCAGGGAGAACGGTGAGCTCTTTCATACAGTGTCTCATCTTCTCTTGATCCAGTTTAAGTCCTTATAGGTATTTCTTTATGAGATATCAATTTATGATGATTGTTACATTCCTTTTTAGGGGGAAAAGGGCACACCAGGCAATAAAGGAACTCCGGGTCATATTGTGAGAATCTTTTAAATTCTTCATAATACTGTAGCAAACATTCTTCTCTGTTTGTTCGATTCTTTTGCTTTTTTATTTCTTCTAATTAGGGTCCAAAAGGCTTACGTGGTAGCAAAGGAGAAAAGGTGAGAGGGCATTTACATCAAGGAGATCTTTTGAAATGAGCTCCTGGCTGCCCCCTTATCTTCATGCATGTTTGAATGGAATTAAGGGTTTAAATAATTTCTTATATTAAAATTTATCATTAAGGAAAGGTTATGTTGCATGATACATTATTATAGATAAAGGGCTTAGTTTGTTGTGATTTATTTTAGATTGCTTGTTATGTGATGAAAACTTAAAAAAAAAATGCAGCAATAGAAAAATAATGTTGACACTGTAGAGAGCCATAAAACATCTGAATACTATGATTTTATTCCAAAGAAACACAAATAACTAAAAAAAATAAATTAAAAAAAAAGTGGATTCATGGATCATTCCCTCCAGAAAAGGGGACTTGATTGAAACTGCAACCTTGTTGCTTAAACATTCTCCAAATGGATTTCAAAACATTTTGGTGATGAAAGCAGAGTTAAAGTAGCTGCTTAATGATGCTTTAGATAAATACTTATGTTGTAATTAAACCAGATTTGTCACTTTAATGATGACAGGTGATGTGATGAGTATGTTTCTATTGTATTATGACTCACGGTTATCATTGAGGTTAGATGGCAGATTAAGGATAATATATCAAATAGAAATGTAGACATTTTGTAGGAAAGTTATCTGATAAACAAGTCAAAATAAATCCACGATTGTGTTTGCATGCAGACTTTAAGACTTGCCTTTTCAGTAAAGTAAGCTCAGAGAGTAAAGTGCTTGAGAAGTTTTTATACTGCTTTGGAAAACATGCTTTGCCCTTTCTTTAAAGCAAAAGAATTAAAAGTTTTACATTTTACATTAAAAGCCTCTTAAAGGTATAGGGGAGGATTTTTGCATATTTTTAAAAGGCCCAGCTCCCTCCACTTAAAAAAAAAATGCACATGCACAAACTGTATCTGCTCTCGAGACAGAACGCCTATTAAACGCGTGCGACAGCAGGCATGAGCCCATTTCTCTTCATATACGGTCTGTTTAAAAATTGCTGCTTGCGTTGCTCATACAAGCTTTTCTTTTTTTCCAAAATATTTTTATTAAATTTTAACACACACTGAACTATAGTACAGCACAGTATATATCAACAAATCTAAACATACACCAAATTAAGATTACAACAATATAACAGAAAGAACAAAACTATAAATGATAAGAAAAAATTAATACATAAAATATAAAATGAAAAAATAAATAAATAAATAAAATGCTTCTCAGTTGATATCAGTATCGCTTACACTTGACATCCCATTACCTCCACCCTCTTCCAGAAAGGACAAGAATGGGTACCATATCTCCTCAAATTAGTTACATTTACCTTTTAATA